CTTGTTCTCACGGATGGTCTTGAGCAGACCCGGGAGCAGGCTAGTGCGGACAACCTGGAACTCAAGGGTCTTGGGATTGGCCAGCTTGACGGCGGTGTTTCCGTCATCCTTGCGGTTCAACCAGCCAAAGTTCTCATCATGCGAGCACAGAATCAATGGCAACACCTCTGACCAACCAGCCAAGGCAGTCTCCACACGAACAATATCAGAAAGCTTGTTAATGGGGAGAGGTTGAGCAACCGTGCCGGAGATGTCGGGAAATCCACGGGGCAGTGAGTTGAAGCCATAAGCAATGGCCACATCCTCCATGATATCACACTGGTGAAGAACATCGGCACGGGTTGGGGGAATTTCCACGTTGATGGTGTCTGGAGAAGTGGTCGAAGGCTTAGCACGGAAGGCCATCTTTGTGAGAAGAGTACAGATCTCGGCGGGGCTAAGGTTCAAGCCACAGCACTGGTTGATGTACGAGACTTCAGCCTGAGCGGTGCGGGGAGCGAGGTCGGGGGTGACGCGAGTTTCGTTGTTGTGCTCAGACACAATCTGGACAGGCTCGATGGTGAACGGCTCCAGGGTGTATTGGGAGAACATGGTGACCATCATCTTGTTCACAATATCCAACTTTGTCTTATCGAGGGCTGTGATCTCAATGAAAACATTGGTTGTGTTCAGGCTGATCTTTGAGTGGTCGCCGTTGATAATGGGTGGCAGAGAGCAAACAGTCCGGTTGGAGTCGTAGATGACTGGGTAGACTGGAGAGTCGCGAATGATGTGCAGGTATTTGCCTAGCTGTTGGTGCTTCTCATAGAAGTTCATCAATTCCTCGCCATCCATCTCCTGGGTCTGGTTCAATGGGATAAACTTGATGTCCTTGGGAGGAAGAGCCTCATAAGTGAAGGGACCCTTCACAGTGTCCAAATCGTGGGTACCAATTGATACCAGAGTTCGTTGCCTGGCCAGGTTCTGATGGAGCTTGTCTTGGAGAGCAATGAAGGACGCATAACGAGCCTGGTCGAACTTAATGTTCCGTAGAATTGCACCAGCCACGTAGGGTCTGATTTTCGTGGTCTATTTTGGTCAGCGGTGTCCCCTCCACCTAAGTAGTAGTTGAAGTACTAACATCTTCCTTGACAATAATCTGCTCCATCTGTGCCGGCTGAGTCAACTTGTACTCGGGCAGGGGGTTCCGGCCCAGGAAGATGTTCAACATGAGCGCAATGCCCTCGAAGCACAGCAAGTCATATCTAAACTTTTCTTAGTCTGTGCTCTTTCATTTCTTCTCTTCAGATATCATGCATACCGGTTGGCGGGGATCTCGATTTTGAGTTGCGGAGGTTCTTGCTTTCCATCGACAATAGGGCGGTCCGAGTTTGTAGTCTGAAAAGATCAGTATTGGTTATAATCAGGGTTGGGACGATGTACATCTTCGTCAAGCTCAATTCCTATTCAGAGTCAGTCATGCCCCGCAAAGTCTTCCCGGTCAACCCACCAAATTCGAAACATAGCTCATCAAACTCCTCCGTAGTATACCTGCAGCGAAGTCAGTACAGTTCAATGTCAAACCTCAGAAGACGTACTCTCGGCCTAACTCTTGGAAAAGAGCGGCCTTGTCGACCGAGATAGTAGGCATGGTGGGAGTTGCGAATTCTGGTATCAATCAGCGAAATGTCTGGAAAAGAAGGGCAAAACCCAAGTAGGCAATTCCGAGAGAATACAGCGAAAGCCCGTACAGAAATTCAGAAAGTAGTGATCGGTGCCAAAGTCTTGGATGACTCTTGCGCTGGTGGAAATTCTGCCCGCAAGCCACCACCGCCACAGATCCCCCTCTTTTGTGACAATGGTATTAGTGTGGTAATTCCCCTCCATATTCAAAGATTTATGTGTACACCGCCAGTATGTAATTTACACCAGTAAACACTCAAAGCTCGACTGCCCTGTTCTAGTTGCTGCATCATCGAAGGGGGCTTTTTTCTTTTCTCATTACGAACTTGTATCAAATCTATTAATCTGCTATTGATCAGGGTACTCTTCAATTGTCGAGGTATGCTTCTGCTGAAGGTGTCCATGCGGCCCAAAACCCCACCCTCACTCTACCACCATCCATCCCCTTGTCATCTCGCGAAGTCGGAACTAATCCTTATCAGACATCCCATTGCCTCCTACACCTCCTCTGCCGAATCGCTGTCAGGTCCAACGCCGCCCTCTTTCCTTTCAGGACCGGGACACGTCGCATCTTCTTAATACATATCCAAATCCACAATGGAGGGCCAGAACGAGAACGATGAGCTCTATCCCATCGCCGTGCTCATTGATGAGTTGAAGGTAGGTCTCCCTCCAGTCGTGCAGACAATATTGAGCTCACATTTCTTTAGCACGATGATGTCCTTCTCAGACTCAATGCCATTCACCGTCTATCCACGATCGCGCTTGCACTTGGACCCGACCGAACTCGGGAGGAGCTAATCCCATTTCTTGATGGTTTGTCCAGCCTTCAATCGCCTAGCACCCCCTCTAACACTGGTAGATTCCGTCGAGGACGAGGACGAAGTTTTGACTGCGCTGAGTGAAGAGCTGGGCAATTTCACAGAATATGTTGGGGGCCCGGAATACGGGCACGTGTTGCTCTCCCCGTTGGAGAATTTGGCGGCTATCGAGGAGCCGTTGGTGCGGGAGAAGGTACCACACCAGCTGAAACTTTCCGAGATTTGTGCTGACGTTCTAGGCCGTTGAATCTCTCAACAAGGTATGCGAGCAGCTCTCGGCGAACCAAGTCGAGGAACATTTTGTCCCGCTAGTCCTCCGCTTGTCAAAGGCAGACTGGTTCACCTCGAAGGTCTCTGCGACTGGTCTTTACTCCACACCATACAAGAAGGCTACTCCGACATTGCAACAAAGCCTCCGACAGCATTTTGGAGCTTTGGTACATGATGAAACTCCTATGGTGCGGCGACAGGCGGCCAACAATCTGGCCAAGTTTGTCAAGGAAATGCAAAGCCAGGTCGTTATCGATGAAATAATTCCCCTCTTCCAATACTTGGCGAGCGATGATCAAGACAGCGTCCGTCTGCTTACAGTTGACATTCTTATTGCGATTGCGGAGGAAATTCCCAAAGAACAGCAACCCAGCCACGGCGTCTTGTTGACGTCGCTGCGGAATCTGTTTGAGGATAAGAGCTGGAGGGTTCGATACATGGTTGCAGATCGATATGAAAAGGTACATTGCCTTTACCGATTTTCAAACTATTGGGCAACACTGATGTCTACAGATCGCAAAAGCTGTCCACGAAGAGGTTGTCACTCGTGACATGGTACCTGCCTTTGTCAAGCTCCTTAAAGATACAGAGGCTGAGGTTCGCACCGCAATTGCTGGCCAGATTCCTGGTACGATAGTTGTGGACTCAAATGGTATATGGTTGATACCTAACTGACACATTCAGGGTTCTGCAATTTGATCGATCGCGACACGCTCCTCAATGAGATCATGACCAGCGTTGAAGACCTTGTCTCTGACCCCTCTCAGCACGTCCGGGCTTCCCTCGGTACTCAGATAAGCGGGCTCGCGCCTATCCTGGGCAAGGAGGAGTAAGCATCCTGCCTATCTGCTAGCAATAACCTGTACTGACTGTCCAGGACTATTGCCCACCTGCTCCCCATGTTCCTCCAGATGCTTAAGGATGAATTCCCCGACGTCCGACTGCACATCATCTCGAAGCTCGAGCAAGTTAACAAGGGTAGGCGCTCCTTGATGTTTTTTTTTAAGTATGCCTCCTAACCTTTTATAGTCATTGGTATCCAGCTTCTCTCGCAGTCTCTTCTTCCTGCCATTGTTCAACTGGCCGAGGATAAGCAATGGCGTGTTCGCCTTGCTATCATTGAATACATTCCACTTCTTGCCAGTCAACTTGGAGTCGAGTTCTTTGACGAGCAGCTAAGCGATCTTTGCATGGGCTGGCTCGGAGACACAGTCTTCTCCATCCGAGAGGCTGCCACTGAGAACTTGAAGAAATTGACAGAGGTATTTGGCGTGGAGTGGTCAAAAGCTTCTATCATTCCTAAGGTGATGGCCATGGGACAACACCCTAACTATCTTTACCGCATGACGACATGCTTTGCCGTCTCTGTAAGTTCCCTCCCTCACTACATCGATCAATGCTGATTATCAGACCCTCACTCCCGTTGTCAACCTCGAAATTATTGAGAACTCTCTCCTCCCTATCCTAGAACGCCTAGTGACGGATGAAATCCCCAATATCCGTTTCAACGTCGCCAAGTCCTACGCCGTTCTCATCGCCACACTGCGCCGTCTGCCAGCCGATAAGACCCTGGTTGAGGTGGAGAAGTCCGAAGAGCCTATCACGCCATCACCCCAGAGCCTGGAGTTGATTCAGTCAAGGGTTGTACCTAGCCTAGAGAAGTTGCAGGAGGATGATGATGTGGATGTCCGATACTTTGCTACTACTGCTGGTGGCAATCAGGACGAGATGCAGACCTCTCCTTAAACTATGCACTTGTTCGGCCGATACCCAACAAGGCATCCTGTCAGGTTAGAGAATAGCCAAGCGTCCTTTTCTTCCAGGCGTTTTTAATGTGGAGGTTTTACATAACGTTTAGCCAGTGTAGGTAGTCAAAAGCAAATGCACAACTAAAGAGCTTCGGTGCATGTAAACACACCTAAATAATTTGTCTACGATAGAGTGCCTGCACACTACATACATATCGTATGTATGTAGGCAGTGAGAAAAGGGGAGGGTCCTAAGCCGGCGCTGAAGAGAGATTCCCCGGTGGCCCCAAGGGCAATTGCGATTCATTTGTCAGCAAGAAGCCACCCGTCCATCCATGGTCGGACTGTTTATTTTTCGCTGGCAGTATATCAAAAATAAATTTGTGAGACAAATATCAACATTCTAAACATGTTTATTTGAGCCTCGTTGTATCTCAATAGCATCTTAATTTGCCTGTGACTCTACAAAACTCCTCGTTTATGTTATTCTTCGGTTGTCATGTCGTGGCCGTACCAGTTTATTTCTCTCTCCGAAGACGAAAAGCTGCATCGCAGAGAGCTGCTTGATCTTCGAGGGTATTACGCACAATGGTCAATTATTGTGGTCATTGTTGCCATTCGAATTTTTCGCTTTACTACAAGATCCACTGCTAAGCGGGATGCCCGGGTTTCTGCAAAGACCCGACACTATCTTGTCTGCGGACTGTGGCTATCATGGCTTTTAGGCCTTTCAATATGGAACAGTGGAGATGGTATGTCTTTGTCGCCTGATCGGATTGAGGAATGAGTTAACATCAGCATGCTAGACTACCTCCATTTGACCAAAGCATTAGGCCAAGTTGGCCTGTCCCAACTGCCACTGCAGGTTCTAATGTCTCCGGCATACATCTCTCAGCCGGCAGCCTCATCTGTACTATCTGTTCTGACCGGTATTTCTCAGCCAGCATTGACACCGTACCACCGTCTCTTTGGTCGGGCAGTTGTCTCCCTCCTGGTGGCTCACGCCGCGATGTATACACTGTTCTTCGTGCAATCCAGCCATCCTGAATTCGGTACATTACTCTTCAAGCGAGTCCAAGACTTGGATGTCCAATGTGGCCTGGTCGCAATATTATTGGCGGTGCTGCTCATTCTTTTCGTGCGGCCTGCTTCCCAGAAGGGCCTCCAGGCTTGGCTTGTACAGGGAACCATTCAAGAACGCAGAAAGATGTTCTACTTTGTTCATGTCTCTTTGGTAGTCTTATTGTGTGTTGCGGCTTATTCTCATGTTAAGCAGGCGCAGAAGTACATACTGCAGGCTTTAACAGCTTCTTTACTCAATTTGGTATGCTCTTGGGTGGTATGTTAGTATAGGTGGGGAAATACAACCTGGCGTCTATACAGCCATGGCAGATGGTCCCTTTGAATCTTCATTCCCTTAGCTAGTATCTTGATATATATTCTAGGGGTGTCATATATAGAAACATTTAGCTTGAACCTCACCCACCCATCTATAGAAAAGGAAATAGCCTTACTTCTAAGGTTCGATTGAACAGGAGTTGATTTTTGATATATTTTGTGATATATTTTGTTTTGCAATTGTTTAGATCTTGTTTTCTGAGAGGAATTGATCTACAACGTATGGAATTAGGCCCCCTTTTTTTTATCCCCCTTGATGATAGAAGATCAAGGGGTACCGATTCATTCCAAGGTTGTATACATCCATAGTACATGCATGAACTGTGTTGTGTACTCTTTTGACATAGATTCGAGAGTACTCCAGTCTGCTACTTCTTGAAGGGTTTCAAAGATTTTCATATACTCCTATTTTTAAAAGATATTCTTGATGTTCCATAGTACGATGTACATTAGTGTAATCGAAGCACTTTGGTGACACGTATATGAAAAGATTACACTGTCCCCTGCCGCTGGGCAACGCCACATACTGGTAGGTTGGCCCCATCAAGAATTGGGGGCCACACAAATAAAAAGACCATACTATAATGTTATTGATAGGCTTTGTCTTTTGAATCCTTGCAACGGTATATAACAGATACGGAGTACTCCGTACTCCGTCCACTACCTACAAAGTAGATTGTGACGATTACGTTAGAAAGGCTTGGCGGAGAAGGTTAATAGCCCACGGTCAGCCTTGGAATTCTAGACTTATGGAGAACCCTCCTTAAGACCTAGCCTCGTTCTCCTTCTTCATGCCTCTCCCCAATGGCAGCATGCGCATTCAACGGTTGATCGTATTACTTGCGATCGGTGTTCTTGCGTGTCTTTCTCTCCTACTACTACGATCATCGAAGTCCCCAGAGAACCCCATAGATTTGCCTCCTCCCGAACCGATACAGCACCCTCAACTCCATGCGGGGCAGAACACATATCTCCCCGAAAAGGAACATCCGATCACTCGTCTGATTGGAAATGCTCAACAGGATTTCAACCATGCGCAGTCACGGCAATCAAAAACCCTGGCGGAGGCTGTGAGCGAATACCAGCGCCGCTATAATATGCACCCGCCGCCACATTTCGACAAATGGTTCGAGTTTGCCCAGTCAAGAAATATACAGCTCATCGATGATTTTGACACCATTTACCACTCCCTTCTTCCCTTCTGGGGTGTGAAACCTAGCACAATTCGCGAACGGGCACGTGAGACACTTGGATTTGACAATGCGGTAATCGGTGTTCTGATTCGCGACGGCAAGGTGTCCTTAACGGACGGAGGGGGTGACGATCGCAAGTGGCAGCGAGATGCCACAGCCGGTATGATGAATGCTTTTGTGAAATATCTGCCTGACATGGATCTGGTATTCAACACTCACGACGAGCCGCGCGTGATCCTCCCTAGCGAAGACCTCCAGCGATTGGTACAGACAGCCAAGGACTTCGCTATCCCCGCAGCATTCAAGAAAATTCCTACCAATGCTTGGTCCCCACGTGCTTCAGACCTAAACAAAGGCGACCGCATCGACGAGGTGCGCACCACTCGTTTCAACCGCTTCGCACACCAACCGACCTGGACAAACTCCCGAATCTCTTGTCCTGTTGATAGCCCCGCGCGCTCACTCGACGAAAATCCCCCCGATGACGTTGATCCTTATGCGTATGGCGAGCTTGGCTTCATCTACAATACCACGGCGGCCTCTGATATCTGCAATACCCCCTCTCTCCGTTATTCATACGGATTCTTTGACCGACCCAACGCATTTGATGTCGTCCATGACCTGTTCCCCGTTTTCTCGCAGAGCAAGATCTCCAGCTTCCAGGACATTATTTACCCGAGTCCCTGGTACTGGGCCGACAAGGTCCCCTACAACACTAAAAAGGACTATGCGTGGGAGGCCAAGACCGACCGAATGTACTGGCGTGGCTCCACAACCGGTGGGTTTTCGCGCGCAGGTGGCTGGCGCCGACAACATCGGCAGCAATTTGTCGACAACGTCAACGGCTTAGGCACTACCAAAATTCTCGCTCGCCAGGGAGATAGCTGGGTTTCACAAGCGATAAACCGGGACGCCTACCGTGACTCCTTCGATGTCAAATTCACACTTATCGGCCAATGTGACCCGGATGACTGCAATGCGCAAACTGAATACTTTGGAGTGTTTAAGCAAGCCGGGCAACAAGATGCATGGGCACATAAATTCCTGGTCGACATTGACGGCAACGCTTTTAGCGGGCGATTCCACGCTTTCTTGCATAGCAACAGCTTCGTCTACAAGATCGCTATCTTCCGCGAATGGCACGACGAGTGGCTGAAACCCTGGGTACATTACGTCCCTCTCAGTTTGAAAGGCAATGAGTACGTTGAGAGCATGCGATACTTTACCTCTGAAGAAGAGGGCAAAAAAGCCGCTCTTCAAATCGCCAGCCAGGGTCAGCGCTGGGCACAGCAGACCCTGCGAAATGAGGATCTGGAGGTTTGGTTCTTCAGGTTACTCCTAGAGTAAGTACCTTGTGATTCTATAAGAGAATTCTGCTAACTTGCTCGCTTTTCAGGTATGGTCGCTTGGTAGACGACAACCGTGAACAACTAGGGTTCGTTCTTTGATCTGTATATATTCCCTCGACGAGATGATGGCTTTTTGTTTTTGGATTCATGTTAATACCCCTTTCCCTTGGACTGTTTCCTACCAATAATATTTGTGCATGTGGAGGCGGCGTTTGGTATGCAATAGATTGAGAAAAGCTGTAAACTGCCTACAATTTACAGTATAATATGATTGCATTCCTGAATTTGTATCCTGATCATCTAAATTCTAAATTATCAGGTACACTCTGTACCCAATATATGTACATGTAGGTACCCGCCATCAACCCCGCTGGCTGGAGGTTTATATGGCTGACTCAGGCATGACGCTATCGACCAGGTGGGCAGGTGGATGGCCCAAGCTCCCGAGGTCCGTTTGTCTCGAATAGATTATAATTGACTTAATCTCACCATTCTAGGCTTTCCTTTCAATACATGATCCCAATATCCCAATATGGGCAAATCCCTATCTCGTGCCTTGAGCGGCACGGCTATCTTTGCCTACGGCTTCTTTACAGTATTTTTATACGGCCTCATTGCCATAGCGAAAGGCACATACTTCAAACGCCCCACTGAAAAAGACAAACTGGACCTACAGCTTGGTGAGCTATCCACCATCGTGAAAGTTCTTTGCTGACTTTCTAGCTCGCGATCGCCTGTGGGATTTATCTAGAGACTTCGATGGCCTCTCTCACCACATTCTAACATTGCCCAGTGGGTTCAAGTTCCACTTTGTCAGTAATGATATTCCAAACACACCAGAAACCATCAATTCCGATAAAGCATTAGTCATCTTCATCCACGGATTCCCCGATAGCTGGGCGATCTGGCGACGTATTATCGGAAACCCTGCTTTACAAGAGGCCGTTTCGCTCGTTGCGATTGACCTTCCCGGATATGGAGGAACAGAGAGCCTGGAAGAATATAATGCAACAAACGTTTTAGAGAAATTGACAGAGCTGATCATCACGCTACGAACCCAATATGGTGTTGATTCGGGCAATGAAAGCAACAGGAAGAGAACCATAATTGTGGCTCATGATTGGGGTTGTGTCTTGTCCATGCGCCTCGCTGCCGAAGCTCCGTCCCTGGCCCATCGGTTCATCCTGTCCAACGGACCATCAGTATGTCAGAACGCTGGTGAATATCATATTTTAACTAACGATTTAGATGAAATTGGTTGAATCCAATATCCATCGTCTGCTCTTCTCGGCCAATAAGATGCTCAGTAACGCCTGGCGTGCACCACTGCACGCCCGCGTCCCGCTGCTACGAGCACTCAGAACTCTCGCCCCTCTCGCCCGCCAGCTCGTTCTATCCGGATATGTCTTTGCCATGCAGCTACCCACGCCAATGGTCTATTACCTCCTATCCGGAGGCAACTGGTCATTGTTGAAAAGTAGTCACCTCGCATCGTACAACAAGGACGAATATACCCAACTCGACATGGCCGACAGTATGGCGAGCACCATGGGCCCGTCCGCCGCAGAATCGGATACCAAAACTACCAGCGGTGAGGCCTATCCCGCCAGCATCCGCGAGCGCGCCTTCACACATGTCATGCACATGGCGGCTTATTACCGTGATCGGGCGGCGACGGCGCGTTGGGACAAGTCCATTGAGACAGTTACTAGCTTGCACAGCATTGCGTCTGGAAAGCGACGGGCGAGCAGCGGAGCTGGGCTGTTTGATGAAGGTCCCGCGGGCGCTCTCAAAGCCAACACGACCATTTTCTGGGGCAAGGATGACATTGCTCTTGACCCGAGGATTTGCCTTGATGGGATGGGTGATTACTTGGTGCAGGGGTCCCAAATTGTGCTACTTCCCCGTACTGGACATTGGACTCCGCTTGAGCGTGAGAGCGGTGCAGCTTTTATCAAGGCCATTGAATGGGCTGCCCAAGGCGAAAAGGAAGATATTGGGACAGCCATTGTTGAATCCTACCCTGGTGTTCAGGTCATTTTTTCACGATAAAGATACATATGTATGCAGGCAATATTCAATGTTTTTTTCGTATTGCGGGGGGCAACCCGGTTTAAAGCGGTTAGAGCGCAGGCGATGTTTCACCTAGACCACTTAGAGTAGTTAGAGGGTGGATTCAATGTATATTTTGTAGTAATAAAAACGGAGAACAGAGAACGGAGAATATAGAACAGAGTACGGAGAATGTAGAATATAGAATGTATAAAGCGTTGAATAGAAGGAAATATATTAAAGGTCAATCTCCAGGATTGATGATTTACCGGGAGGAGAAATCACTCCACTTTCCCCTCGGGAGCTTTGACCTTAATTTTGCGTACATCTCGGCCTTTGCTTTCCCTTTGCTTAGCTTTGCTTAAGAATCTTACGACCTGCCACTCTCTCAATCTCAAGAGTTCAACCTGACACAACATGCAGTGAAGGAAAAAAATCTCCTGTTCTCGTCCCCCCTCGAATCTGCGTCCGGTCCAGGTACCACAGTCGGTGTATCTCACTCCCACCGGTCCGAACTGTCATTACCAATTGACAAGTTAAGATTAGCTGGATAATTCTGCTTCTGTTGGGGACGTTTCTTGAACCCTTCAGAACTTACTGGGCATTTGGCCATTCTTTTGTTTGGAAAAAGTGGCGTGATGGATTCCAACGGAGGAGCAGTCTACTGCACGGTATCTAACCCCCCTTTTACTAGGCTTATGGCGTAAACTGACGATAGGACAGCTACTGTTAAGCGACAGTTATCTTCCTGGTATGTTTTTATTTATGTGAAATGTGGAACTGTTCTAATTATTTATAGGTGCTATGGTCCTTGCCCATTCCCTACGCGACAATGGCACAAAAGCGAGGTTGGTGGCGCTCTTTACGCCAGACAGGCTACAATCAACCACCATCGATGAGCTAAGGGTACGTACATTATTCCCCAAACGATGCCTTTGTCTCACAAATTAGACCATATACGATGAGCTGATCCCGGTGAGCTCAATGGTAAACGACACGCCGGCGAACCTCTGGCTCATGGATCGCCCAGATTTGATTGCCACATTCACCAAGATCGAGCTTTGGCGCCTGACACAATACCAGCGGGTCGTATACATTGATTGTGATGTCATAGCTCTCCGAGCCCCCGACGAGCTTTTATCACTGGAAGCAGACTTTGCTGCTGCGCCTGATGTCGGATGGCCGGATTGCTTTAATAGTGGAATGATGGTTCTCCGACCTAATCTACAGGATTATTATGCGCTAAAAGCACTTGCCCAGCGAGGTATCAGCTTCGATGGCGCCGACCAGGGTCTGTTGAACATGCATTTCCGGGACTGGCATAGGCTAAGCTTCACGTATAATTGCACCCCAAGTGCCAATTACCAGTACATTCCTGCGTACAAGCATTTCCAGAGTACCATCAGTCTTATTCATTTTATTGGTGCTCAGAAGCCGTGGAACATGCCGAGGCAGATTGTCCCACTGGAGTCCCCGTACAATCAGCTTCTAGGTCGGTGGTGGGCTGTCTATGACAGACACTATCGTCCGGTATTTGTGAGTGATATCCGATATGATGAAGACGTGAACTGACATTTATAGGTACCGACCGCGCCAGTAGATATCGGAAAGACGGTGCTGGTTCAAGGCGATCAAGTTCATTCACCTCGTTATGACCACCTCCCTCGTTATGACAACAGTCCTCGCTATGACACCCCTCATTATGAGGCACAGCCGATGCCTGAGCTGCAGCCCTACCATACTGAAGAATCCACAAGCTTCCATGATGAATCACACCAAGCACCGCCAGTCGAACATCGCCATCCAGAACCGCACCACGAACACTCTACTCCCACCAATGTACGCCATACTGCCGTTCCTGTGTTGAGCATGGTACCGCAGTATGTTCGCGGAGAGGAGCACGTCTCAACGTTTATTCCAACAATGCCTCCTACGCCAATCAATTTTGCGGCCCAAGTGAGCCATGAGATACACGAGACACAGATACAACCCCAGGCGCAGACCCAGACCCAGGTACAGATACACTACCCCGATGGCCATATTCACCAACCACAACCTATCGCGCCAATCCCTCCGATTATCGAGTATCAATCGCCCCCATCTCCCGTCCCAGAGATTTCAACCTTTGAGGCGCCAAAATCCGAGTGGGATCCCTCACGGTCAGAGCATATCCCCCGATATCGTCTACAGTGCTAATATCCCATAGTGAGCCACCGCCGGTCAACACGAAACCTGAAGGTTTCAGTTTACAACAGAAAACCTACAATATGTCCGAAGACACGCATCTATTCCAACCGCCGTCATCCTACCCCGAGGCACCGAAAAATATGTGGTATCAGGTCCCAGCCAAACCGGAACCCAAACCTACCACTGTCTTCCCCTGGGAGAGTCATGCTCCGAAACCCACCCGCGTCTTCGCCGAGGAGGCACCTTTGGAGTTAGTGGAAACTTCTGCCATACCCGAGGAACCAGAGCAACATTCACTCCCAAGCGAGCCCACCCCTCCCGGGCCCTCACCTTCCTATACTCGAGTACCCTTCGAACCCAGTGCCGAATCATGGCAAACATACACCCGCTCCAACGCCTGGGATGAGGACCCTGAGATCCAGCGCTACATTGAGACAATCCAAGCACGGCGCTCGAAATCACAAGTGACTAGTCCGGGAGCCAACTCCGACAGCCCCGGGAAATCACCCCCTACCCCAGGCTCCCGCCCAAGTACTAAGATTACCGACTTCCCAACAGAAGTTGAGCGCCCCAGTCTGCCCGTAACGCCGGCTCCAATCCGCCGCACCAGCTATGGGGATGAAGCCTCCGGTACGGCCGACCTCCCTGCTGCAGAGGGCGTGCCTAGCCAGGAGGAATGGGTGGGTGTCACGGTTGATGTGTTCTCTTCTCTCCTCAGCGCAACGTACTTATTGTGGCGGTCTATAGAATCCCCTGGCTCAGCTCGAGGAGCTGCATCGTCGGCACTCGGAGGTCTTGGAGCATCCTGAGCTACTGTTTAGTCGGCTCGGCGCTGCCTCATATCGTGAGCGTTGATAGTACTCATTCCTTTTCTTTACTTTTTTTTGACATTTGGATAATCTGATTCGTTTTTGTTTTATGATTGAACATGATTAGGACATATACTCCATCTTGCTTGATTATTTTGCATATGCATATGTACTAGAAATTTCTTGAACGATATTTTGTTATGAAATAATAATGGCAACACTGAACGGAGTATTGAATTCTTCCCATTCTTTTTACATTTCAACTGGAAATCCATGTATGGATGTACGAATTTTGTCGAGAGTAAGACTAGAAATATATACAGCGGTATCTATCCATAGGGATTTCAACTGTTTTGGTTGTTTGTCGCTCGTGCTTCTAGGCTTGCATGTGTATAACGTAAAAAACAAACCTTTTAACGTATCCCGAGTGGTCTACAGAGTACACAAGCGAGACATAGTAAATGCGATATTTTACAACCATATATCTCAACAACCGCGTTGTTGTTTGATTTCATTGTCATTCGATAGCTATTGATAAGGCTTTTGAGCAATATATATCAATCTTAAGAAAATCTAAAAGCTGCATTGTGATGGTGTTACAATTTACCTTAGATTACATTCCAAAAAGCTAGGTAGAAATATATACATCGCAATCACATAGTCATAAAGATTTCGTAAACTCTGAAGAGAAGCTACATATCACCTAAAAATTATTGAGCTATTAAGAAAACTCTATATGAACTATGTACTGTTGTTTAGATATCAAGTTGTAATTTATCGCATTTTATGTGTTTGGGATGGACCACTCGCATGTGAAATACGTTAATAACAGATTGCCATTACTTGGAGCATATAAAGGAAGTTGAAAAGCTTCATTGGCTGTTTCCAGAGTCTACTCACCGCTTGATCCGTCCTACTTCAAAATTCTCTAGTCACATCTGAACCAAAGCAATGGATGTCAAAGATCCACACGAGATCGATATCTCATACTATACAAAGTAGGACGCAGGCACTTAGTAATCGAAGAAAGCGCGCAATAACAGAGAACAGACTTCGAGGCTTCGATTCCAGTATATGATACCCGGTATTCAATGGCAATCAAGGCCTTTTCTTGCCAATATGTACCAGACCTTGGGAAACCTTCCAATTGACCTCCCGTATTAGCCAATACAAATTATGGGATAGCATATAAATGGCTTTGAAGGTCATGTAATTTTGATTGCGTGAGGTAGAGTATCAGGTTAGGTTAGGACAGATGGAAGAAAAAGGAAGAGCCGGGCCTAATGTAGATAAAAACATTTACTCCTGAGCGAAAGTCTCCGCACCACCCTCAGCCTCTGCGGCCTGCTGCTCGGCAAGACGCTGCTGCTCAGCGGCCTGCTGAGCGGCAATAGCCTTGGCACCGTAATCCTGGCTCATGGGCTGGAGAACGGGCTGCTCCTCCTTGGGCTCGATAATGGTGACCGAGTCGGGGAGAGTCTTCTGGGGGCCGGCCTTGCCCTCGGGGTCGGAACCGCGCATGATCTTAACCTTGATACCGAGGACACCCTGGCGGAGGAGAACGTGACGGGTAGCGGAGTCAATGAACTCCTTGGCGGGCTGACCGGAGTGGATCATGAAACCATCCTGTTACTTGTTAGCCATAATGTTCTTCTCAAAACTAGTTTGCGATCGGCTCGTTGGGGTGCAATTTCCCCGGTATAGACGTACAGTGAACTTCATGGACTTGGCACGGGCGGCACGGAGCTTTCCGGACACAACAACCTCGCAACCCTTAGCACCGGACTCCATAATGAAACGGAGGACACCGTAGCAGGCACGACGGACGGCAAGACCGTTAAGGAGCTTGTAGCGGAGGGACTCGCACTGAGCGACAGCGGAGAGACCGCGGTTCTGGACCTTGGCGGCGTAGAGGGAGACGGAGTTCTCGGGGAACTTGAAGCGCTTCTGGATGAGGGAGGTAAGCTCGCGGATGCGGCGACCCTGCTCACCAAGAACCTCCTGGGTGTGGGTGGCACGGACAACTGGAAAGCCCGTTAGCATCAAATCCCCATTCGAATTCCGCAGATCCCATCGCGATCGCAAATCGTTCTCTTCCTCCTCTTTTCCCGGCAATTTCACCAGCAATTTTCAAGCGACCACATAGAATAGATTGGTTTTCGGGTTTGACGTACTGATGTCGGTGACAGTGGGAGTCACACGGACTTCCACACCGGAGTAGCCCTCCTCGGCCAGCTCGCGCTGGAAGAACTCGTTCAGCTCGGCATAGAAGACACCGTCAGCGACGAACTTTCTGCGCTTGGAAATAGCACCCTGAACAGCGGCCATTTTGTCGTTCCTGGTGGTGTTGGAATCGGGGGTTGTCGACGGAGGGGATCGTGGTCGAGAGACTTCAATTCTGAGAGTGTATTATTTAGTGGGGATTTTTCGGGACTAGGGCTGCTTTCCTGTTTGGGCCAGGGCTCAACCCTCGCTTGCCGGCGCCTTTCCTCTTTGGTCCTAGAGTTGCCACCTTATCATTTAGGCATTAATAAGGCAGTAAGGCAGCCATGGCGTAACTACATAATATTACCTACCATTTAAGGCCTGGTAACTACTACCTACATGCATAGTAGTACTTCGAGTGGACATCAGTGGACGAATCACTTTATTGGTCGTCTGAACGCGGATGCATAACATAAAAGTTGTAAATGCTTGAAAATCATAAATGTTTCCTTTTAACCCCGGTCATTGCATCTCTACTCCTAACTCGGTCGGTTTGTCGGTGCGCTCCGCTGGGAATGCAAGCTTAGATACGCCCGACGTCACAGCAGCTGCCATCCCTGATACATCAGTTGCTTTAATAGTACTGTCTGCCCTTGCAGTCTCAATACCAGTCAACACTGTACCTTCCCGGATCTCACTGGGTGCCGGTGAGGAACGGGGGCCGTTCATCTCCGCATCTGTTCGACCGAATACCTCATTCCACCACCGTGTTTCACTGACCCGGGGAAAGATAAGTCGTTCCTTGCCGCGCTGATGGTCATCGACCACAGGATCATACTTATGGTTCGTGAATTGTTCCCGGCGAGCGAGGAAGTAATCCCAAACGCTGCGAGTTCGTTCACTGGCCTTGCACTCCATGCGTTCTTTCTCGTTATTGAACAAGAATGTACCAAATTGGCAGGAGTAGAGGTGATAGAGAAGTCGTCGCAAGAAACGCTCATTAAACTCAAACCGTGTCGGATATTGATGAAGCAGCTGATATGTTGCATCCAAGAACTGATGGAACACAGGGCTCGTCTCTTTTGGTTTGGTCATTTCCTTTTCGGATACCCCCGAGCGCGGTGTAGTAGGCTTCTTCGCAGGAGTGTCAGAGTCGTATGTTTGAAGCTCTCCATCCGAGTCTGGTAAAGAGTCGCGGCTATTGTTGTCCCGACCAAAGAATCCTTTCGCACTAAGGAATGCATTTTCAATGGCCTTCCCTGCACCCCCACCGTCACCAAAGGCACGGTTAGGATCTCCACCGATTCTTTCATTTTCGATCTGGAACCATTTCTCGCTGTTCAAATGACCAGACCGGTGCCGGAACATGTGTCCAAATGAAAGCCAGTCTTTCTCTACCAGCACCATGAAGCCCTCCAGCGTCCGAAAGTAGGGGTCCAAACAAATCTGGCTCAGTGCACTAAGTTGACTAGTGCGGTCCCAGCCATCAGAGCAGTGGATCAAAACATGAGAATGAGTGAGACCAACTTGACGAGTGATTATTCTAGCTCCCTCTAAGATCCCGCCAATGTGCTTCAACCAGCCGCTACGCGCTAGTTGATCACGACTTGGCCCTAATGGAGTGACGTCTGACTCCTTTAAAGCATCGATCACCTTGTTCAGCGAGTCTCGCATGACATGGATATTGTCAATACCAAGATATGCCTTGGTAGCGAATTTGTAGTTGTCCATGTTCTCTGATCCAAGTCCAACAGCTTGCATGGCAAATGCATTCACCGTAGGGCGTGCGTCAACGATCAAGTTCGACTGCTGGGCGCCATATATCGATAGATGCTCTTCAGAATCGCCACTTGTAGCGGCTAACAAGTCGTCCTCGAGTTCCTCAGCATTGTTCAACTCAGGGACTATCACCTGGCTCATCTCTGGACTGCTGGAATCTGTTTCTCTCTCTGTGGCCGAGAAGCGCGCCAGCGGCCGCTCGGAGCGAGAAGTTAAGAAGATAGCGGACAGAAGCTTTTCATCCTGAATGCTTCGGTTCTGGCGGACACCGACCAGCGGCTGTGAGCTTCTGGTGATAGTGCAATTATTGACAGGGTGAAAGTATGTGAGAGCAGGAATTCTTGCTCGAGATCGATAGCGCCCTGCGTAATTAAGCGTATTGTCGGAGATGGAACAAGGTACAGGGATAAGGGCGGGATATGTCGGGGAGAACTAAGCTGTATTAGTAGAGCAGATCTGGACTAGTTTGCGTGGACATACCTCATAGTTCACATTGATTTCTGAAAGACGCCATGCTTTTCCTTCATCCAAGCAGCCCTGGCGTGCCCATTCCTTGCGCGGGTCATACAGGTTCCACCCATTGAACTCCTTTTCTGGTGGGGGAGGTTGATAGCTAAAGGCGTAAAGCTTATCGATACGACTGGATTTGCACGTCCATTGCTTGATACTTTCAAAGACATCTCGCGCTTTGTGCTCATTTACAAAGTAAAAACAGACGAATGTGAAGTCTCGGCATCGGAGGCGGATGGAAGAGAGCTGGCGGGAGGCGGCGGGAGCTGGCCGCAGGGTGCAAAAAGCGATGATAGGGTATGTGATCCACAGTTCTCTGGGCCTTGTTGTCGCGCCCTTTATCTGGTCTTCTGGGGAGACTGGTGGGGTATGCGAAAAGATGAGGTGGTGAGGGGTTAGATGGAGGGTACCATCGACCTGCTCTCCGCGGCGAGCCAAGGTCACATTCTCAACCTGGAGCAACATGTTAGTGAGTGGGATATATGTAACGCCCAAGATATGTTCTCCGAACCTTAGCAATCCGTGTTTTCTCCATGCCGTGTAAATCACTGGCGCGTGGTCTTCATGCTTAATATGTTGTTGGGTGGGGGGAACAGTGAAAACAGTAGGATCGGAGGGCACAGCAGTGATCGCGAGTGAGATGGATCAATATAGGTATGTATATTTTATTGCTGACGTGTAATCAATCAGGCCGACTATAATCAGTCTTAAGCACCTGCCTGGGCAGCCTTGGAGGTATGAGGCGCGCGGAATAGTTGGGATGAGAGGTGTTACATACACGTCACGGGCCTTGATCGGTTGTGGGGCCTCATCAAGGTCACGCCTACGACATCTGTCTAGGTGTATTATATATTGTATACATTTTTGTTATACTCGGTGTAAATAGAATGATTCCAAATGAGGTACCAGGGCATATGATTTCAAAATTTGCTAATGATATTCGGAGATGCACAGGACTTGGTTGACTGAACGGTCAAAGTGTTTGAATATGAAGGTGTTGAAGGTATTGAAGGTATTGACTATTTAATCCACGAGATATCCCAAGCCAGGAGACACTCCGGAATCCCTTGGCAGGTCTTCTTTGGCTTTATCGTTGAACAGCTGCACAACATTTTTTTACATGCATAACAGGCAAAAACTGGAACCAGGAAACATGAAAGGTCAAAAAAGAATAAACAACAATACTTCTACTGAGACTACTAGGTAAATTCAGCGTTAAATGGCTGTAGAAGGTGAGCAGAACCCAATCGTAGAAGTAATGTTTTTCACATCAAAAATCAAATGTGATGTGAGTTAAAACCCGTTATTGCTGAGGTTGATATCGTACTGAAGATCTTACGAGAACTGATTAGACTGCTTCCCGTCCACGGGTGTACTTTCAGTTCAAGGGATATCACTCGAGCCCGTGTGAGAGACCTCATCATGAGAGATGCGAGCTTGGTGATTGACACCAAAGATCTTCGATGAGGGTTCAGGAAGCCGAAGACGGTATGTACCCTCTCACTCAAGTACTGCTTTTGACCTAATCGAATTTTCAAACTCTCAGGGCAACTTGCCCTTTTTTGGGTGCACAAATGAATTCCATAGAGAACTATGAATTGTATTATAAAACCTAGAGGAGTATAATGGCTGATCTAATGGGTCCTCTCCCCTAGGTGCTTAAACGCTTAAACATAGAGGCATACTAGAAAATAATAAAATTGAAGAGTGTGAAAAGAGCGAAGCGGCCCTGTCTGCCTTCTTGTGGAATTGGTATCAACTTGATTGTAGCCAATAGTTGATCAATGGCCACAACAACTGAAATTCTTACTATTCGATCGAAGAGACGTAAATCAAGTGCAGACTTTCTACCTTATATGCACGCTAAAATTTCTCGTGATCGGTTACCGAGAATTCCAAGTAGATGTCCTTCGGAAGAGCTTTATGTGAGACAATATCCATACCTAGACCCTCCCTACAACATACATAAGCCATAAAAATAACCCATATATCAGTTTTCAACACTAGTGAGGTACGCTAGGCTGCTGATAATTTCCCAGTGCACTAGAACCCACAAATTTGAACCTATTGGAGTAAGTTCAAGAACCCACAAACCCGGCAAACCTGCAAATAAACTTACGAACGAAGTTTATGCGTAGAACTAGACTAAATATGGAAGGTATTAGCACTTTTATACATGCTACATAAAATTCGCGGCTTATAAAATTAAGGGTATGGGGTAGTTACGGGGTCAAGATTACATATGTACTTATACCTCTGGAATTTTTCCTCCTATCGCTGCCCTCCATATACAGTTCGCGATTGGCCAAGACTGTCAAATCTAGTGCTACTGACCGCCACCGTATCATCAACACCCGTGCACTCACTGATTTCTGTCAGTCTATCAAATGCCGATCAAGCCACCAAGATCAGAGGCCCCTCATTCTGTGGAGATACACAATCCTCCAGGACCCAGGTCTCTCATTCCATGGAAATATACAGCCCATCATGATCCAAGCAATCAATTCCTTAGACCGAACTAGAAACTACTGAGCTATTAGGATGTTGGGTGCTGTGAAAGTCGTCAACGTTAACTATCTAATACTAGTTGGTGATTGGCCTTGATGATCTCTGGCCGTGGGGTTAGTTATCGCTACCTATGTACATACATATATCTCCGCAGTCTGTTTCCTCCAGGGTCTCCGCGCTCTCCCCAGACCCACCCCCACAGACGCTTGGTAGACCCGCTAATAATCTTACCCAGCGCAGTAAGCCATCAGTCAATCAAAGATCAGCCGTCATAGGTGTCGGTTATTGTATGAGTGATTACCGACAAGTGCCAATCAGGTAGTAAGGAAAGTTGCCGATGAACACTAGAGATCAATTACATACAGCATTTTTTATTTGCAAATATCAATCTCAGATGCCGACAGTAGTGGATAGCTGTAAGAGGGATGAATATAAATACTGGAGGGAGAACGAGTCACTTTAGATTGTCATCAACAAGTGTCTTGCCTATATTTCTTAACCTTGCACCGGCCTGTCAATTTCTTGCAACAGTGAGCTTTTGACACAATGACAAGTTCACTGTTACTCCGATCCTTGCTTCCCTTTGCGGCTAGCATTGGTCTCGTCTGTGCAAATCCTTCGAAAATTGTTGACTCGCGATTCCTAAAGGTCCCAAGCTCCCCACCTGCGGGACGACAGATTGTCGACGCAAACTACCAGTCTTACTCCATCGAATTTAGCTATATGCATGACTATGCTGGGAATGACACGTACGTGGTAAACTTTGAAGGTTTTCTTATGTACGTTTGAGAGATTTTATTGACTTTTATGATAAGACATCCAAACGAGTTCTCCCTTCGCATGCTCAAGAACCTTGAGAAAATCTCGGGGGCTTACCCAATCATGCGGATAGGAGGCTCGACCTCGAATCGAGCCATATATGATGCAAACCAAAAGGAAGCAGTGATTCCCACATTTGATCGTCCTACGGATGACCAGCCCTCTCGGCTGACTATTGGTCCTTCATGGATGGAATCCTTCCACCAATGGGGCAAAGACATCAAGTACATCTACGGTCTCAGCTTCTATGATCAGAATTCCTCTTTTATCGACGGCCGTGACGGCATCGACGAGACTGCGATTCAGGCAAAGGTTGCCTATGATTCGCTAGGTGACCAGCTATACGCCTTTGAGATTGGAAATGAGATGAACTGTACGTCTTGGTCAACTAGCTGAAGACCTCTAATCTGGTTCAAGGAATATAAGCTAACATGATTTCAGTGTGGCAATGCACTATTGATCGTCCCTGCGACTGGACGATAGACTCGTATGTCTCTCAGTGGAATGATTATGCCAACGCTGTTCAGGCAGCTATTGGGAATTACGAGAATATCTTCCAGGGATGTGTCTTTACGTCACTCGCGGGAATCTCGTACAATACTACCCCCAGCTGGAGCGTTGAAGATGCTGTGAATGCTGGAATGAACAGCACCAAGTCCAAAACAATAGCTGACCACCAGGTATGCATTTCAATGACTTCCCTGTAGATGGAGATACTGGAGCAAATACTAATTGACTTGGCCTTTTATAGTATCTGGGAATGAGCCAAATGGGCTGCCCCGGCCGTGGGCCAGTACCAACCATCGAGGGTAACGTGCTTAACCGCACCCAGATCCATCGCCTACTGTATGAGCACGAGCGTATCGGCAATGTTACTAAAGACACTGGAATGAAATATGTCCTGGGCGAGACAAACGCAATTGGGTGCCAGGGCGCCCCTGGTATCTCAGATGTGTTCGCTGAGGCCCTGTGGTCGGTGGACTATATTCTATACCTTGCTACCCTCAACATCGAGCGTGTCCATTTCCATATGGGGACTCAGTACCGATACAGCCCATGGCAGCCAATTGACTACCTCAACACCACAGCACAGGTCAAGCCGCTGTATTATGGGAACATGATGACCTCGAAGATCTTTGCAGGGGGCAACAAGCAGGTTGATCTCTTGCTCAATGAGACTACTCTTGCTGCCTACACCATCTATGACGCGGGTGAGGGGCGTAAGAGAAACTGTGCGCGGCCTGAGTCCGTGGTAGTGGCCAACATGGCCATGTGGAACTCAACGCAGCTGGCACACCACCGACCCTATACCAAAGTGCAGCTTCCCAAAGAGTTCAAGCACGGCAAGGTAAGGAGGTTGACCAGCCCTGGTGTCGAGACTTCCAAGCACATCACTTTTGCCGGACAATGGGTGGATAACAAGGGCTATATCCGTGGACGTGAGGAGACTGAGAAGCTGCACGGTGGTTCTGTCCTTGTTGGTGCGGGTGAGGCTGTCCTTGTGTCGATGTAAAAGTTGTTGCGATGATTTGGGATCACGGCCTCATTTAGCGATACTTCTGGGTCCGTTTGCATGAAACATCGAACCATTCGTCTCAGCAGCAGTCTCTTGGTCGATGCTTTGGAGGAATTGATTTGGTATATTAGTCTTTTCAATTCATTAAAATCTACTGCTTCTTTTATCATTTTGATCGCCAATTGTGGTCCATTCTGTCTCCCTTTCAAGAGTAATTTCTTTTGATCTCCAAAAAACCTCCAAAAAAAAAAGCCCGAAAACAGGCTTCTTTTTTATGATTGATTTTGAGGTTGCGATAGCTTCACCCTGAGCAGATGCTGATAACTTCACTAGGCGTGCCTCACCGGTCGTTGACTACAACTGGCGGTAAACATCGTACATGAAAACCGGAATCAAATATGGTAAAATGACGATTTATGATTACATATATAGGCATATATCCATGGATGCAATGTAGGCCAGGATCATTATGAGCTTCCCCCGCATTTCTTTCATAACTAATCCCAACCATTCTGGAGTATATACCTTGCCCCCAATTCCAAAGTCCCGGAACCCTGAAGGGCGAGGTCGTCCAAAAGATCATCAATGAGCGATATACTAGAAAGAGATGCAGTTGAAAACGATGAGGGTGATATCATCCATAGGTGTTTGTGACAGATTTGGCAGGATCTTTCGAATGAAGCTTATGAGACTGTTTGGGCATGCTTAGTACCTACAAATCATGGTTTCTCGGTAATTGTGTCTAGATATTCAGGGAGACTCGCGATTATCTAGATTAAGAAATTGCTAACCCCCAAACATAATCCATGTTAAAACAGGTAAATATTTTACATATAATGTACAGTAAATACAGCCCCAAGACGCCGCCATCCCACGTGGTGATGGCCGTTGATGCACGCTGTACAAAAATCAAACAAAAAAGGAAGACCCATGCTATCAATGCACATATCTGTTGCCGTGGATTTTAAATGCCATGTCACATGCCGCGTTGTAGAACGAATGGAACTCCTGATCAAGCTGCTCGGATTGGTTATTTTCTGTGGCCAAGTCAAGTTGGGGAATATCCATGCCCAGAGAGACCTCATTTGTCCGAGCAGCAAGGAGCGAGCCGCTCTCATAATACCGGTAGTCAAGTGACCGCCCACCAAGATTGTACTTTTGGACAACCGCACCTCGAATGTCGCTGAGTGGAGGGAACATGTATTCGACGGCGACGCTGTTCTCTGTCATGGATGCATCCAACTCTTTGGATTGAACTTTTTGCGTGGAAGACTGCTGAACAAGATCACAAGGAAGAGTGATGTTGCAAAATATAGGAAGTGAAACAGGGCGTTTCGAAGCCCCAATACTGATTATTGAGCCTTCGAGGGAGATTTTGAGGCTTTGTAGCAGTGCTTGGATCTGTGGCGAGGAGGGCTCGGGCGAAAAGTGCCCAGAAGAGCTTTGCGGGAGTTCTGGGTTGGAAGATGGCTTATATAAGAGGTCTTGGGAAACAGTCCGTGTGAAACGCAGGTCTAGGCCATTTTCCGGAAGCAGGTAGTCAACATGGTCTGTGGTGAGGATGGCCTTTACGCTGTGGAAATCCACGCCATCCAAAATTGAGTTCATGGATACCTCAATTTCGAGTTCCGGCGGGGATCCTGCGTTGGAGGTTGGAGACAAACGAAGTCGATATAGCTGTGCCTCGTTCTTTGGGCGGATAGGCGTGAGTGAGTTGATAAAACGCGACACTCGAGGTATGTCGTTTGTGAAAGCTCGCGGAAGAGATAGTCTCCCCAACTGTGCCGGGCTGATGGCTGTATCATCGAAAGGGGTCTTTTGCATAAAAAGACATTTCCCAACCATGGCTGTCACAGATTCATGCAAACCGGTGACTGAACTGGTTCTCGGATTACTCACTCGGAGAAGCTTCAATAGTTCATCTGAGAGCCGTGTTTGATGCTTATCGAAGAAAGGAGTTTCAAGGTTTTCTGCCTCCGCATTTTGACTAGAAGACATTGCCCACCGGAACCACGACTTTTGCTGCTCAAACCACGAAGCATGAGCTTCCGGTTTGTAGCTATATGCACTGGCTAGTTCTGAAGCAGGTAAATAGGTCGAAAATGGCGTTGATGGAGATGTGTTGTTGGATAAGGCCAAGTTCAAAGTCCTCCGTGCATTATCTGCACCCAGCTTATTCTCGGCAAGGTAAAGAATCTTTTGTGGTGGTCTGTATGCTTTGTGTTCCACAAATACCCCATGTGTGCTGTTGACCCATTCTAAAAAGTCTGGGCTAAAGACTTGACTGGCTCCATCTCCGTGGATATATGGGTTGATTCCAACATCATCCTCGCGGATTCTGCCAGTGGCATCCATGATAATCTCATGAACAGACTCGCAATCATTTCGTTTGCCAGTAAGTGATACTAGGCCCCCGGATTGCGTGACATCAATACCACAGCCATGGAGACTAGCTAGCTCGTGGAAAGAGAAATGCTCGGCATGGAGAAGCAAGGATACGAACTGAGCTGGTATACGGAATTCCAACAGACCGCGCTCGCCAACAGCCACCAGCTGCCAACAATTCCGAACGATCGTCTCTGCAGCCCGGGATTTTCCCCTGGAGCCCCTGGTCTTTCCCAATAATTTGTCCTGCGATTTGGGGTTACTTGACCCCCATGTCCAATCTTTTTCTTTTATCACAGCATTGCGGTTGTACTCCAAAATGTACTCCAACAATTGCTTATGTGTGAAAGAGGAAGCCAATTTTGACCACAATGTCTTCAGATCGGCAGCAGGCAAGGTCTGTCCCAGTTGATACGATCCACGAACCTCATCAATTCTTTGCTGCACCGACTTATCGCTAGGCGATGAGTTCTCTTCATCAAGTTCATCTAACATGGAGGTGATTGTGCCGCCGGATTCATGTTTGAGGTTTTTGTTGCGATTGCGTTTTAACATTCGGCGGCGAAGTGGAGGCACAACAACGATTTGCCCTGGCTTTCCAAGTGTGTCCACATCCAATGTAAATTTCCCTGCTTCATCTTTCGGTTCACGGTTTCGTTCGGAATTGGGTCCATCAAAAGCTTCGCGTTCATGATCACGACTCCAGTTACTCTGATATCGGGGCAGAGCGGCGTGCGGGTGTGACAATAATGGTCTCCGATATGAAAGCGACTGGAAGCTCAGAAGCCCCAGCTTGTTCCCTGCGGAACGTCGAAGCATGACAGAGCAGTAAGTAGGTCTATTGCGAAACGTGGAGAAGGCAAATTATCCTGCGATCGCTTTTCTCTGGCGATAATCGCCCGCTAGGCCGCGATAAGAAATCAAGTTCTGCCTCAGGCATCACCTCCACCGCCGCAATGGTATGTACAAAACTGTTGACTAAATTCTTCAGTTATGTAGAAGTCCCTCTTGAAATATTTCTCTTGGGCATATTTAAAACTGCATAATTCAAGCCATATACTAATACATAGTGCAGAAATGTACGTAGAGTTCATTCCTTTGGTGCAATTTCCCAGCTGCGCAAGTCCTCTCTTACATCGAACTCGGAAAGCTCATTCTGCGTATCTGGCACCTTCCATGCCCGACCCTTGACTCCTTCATACAACTGCTGTTCGATGCTTCCACCTTTTTTCTGATGCCCGAGCGCAGAAAGAGAGTCTGGGGTCTTAGTGCCACTATGTGAGCGATTGCTGGAAGAACTCTTGCGGCGACGCTCGAAACTGGGTGACAGATTTTTCCCGGAGCGACTTTGCCGTGGGACTGTCTCTGGGCTCAATAGAGAATCCCGGTGATCGCTTACGGAGATGCCAGCGTTGGCATTGTGTGCGTCGTTGTTCCAGTAAGAACTTCCAGCAAACAACTCCTCAACCAACTTATCAGCAGGCAGATCACAGGCTCTAGAAGACCACGATGCTGCTAAAGTGCGCCGATACATGTCTTGCATATCTGCAATCTCCCGGCTCTTGGTGTCAATAGACGGCAGCCGACCAAACTCATCAGCGTTGACGGGCTGTTCAGTAGATTGAACAACTCCAGCGATTCCTCCAAAGACTGTGGCAGATTTCAGCTGTGGTCTGTTCTGATTAGTATTGAGAATGTGGATCGGAAATAAGCTTTGGGATTCGCTTACGTCGTGAAGTTGCGGTCTCCTTCTAGCTGGCGCATCGCGATTCCGATCTTGACAGTACTGTTCACTTTGCTTTCATGCATCAGGTAGCGCCGTATAATCCCTTCGTCTTCCTCTGTTTTATCCACGTATTCGGCAAGATTGAGTTTGATTTTGCCCAACACGCACTTTTCGGACATGGGCAACGAGGTGTACTCTTGTAAGACTTCGAAATTGAGTTCACACTCCTGAAGCATTGATGTTCTATCAATTGTAAGCCTTACATGGAGGGATTTCTCATAGCCCCAGTAAGCGCGGTGATCTGATAGAGTTGCTTTTTCTGTGTGTCCTTGGTGTTCAGTGGAGCTCGATGATGGTAATCGCCATCGCACAAAAGCGACACTGTTACCCAAGGGGACATTATTGATATCGATGATCTTTTCTAAGGTCAGAAATCTTAACGGTATTTCCATAGTCAGTTTATAATGCATACCCTTAAACCGAGCTCAAATCTAGGCTGTAGCAGAAGTCAGTTACATATTTATGTACTTCACTCGGCCGTATGAGGTAACCTACTCGTCTATTCTTTGGGACTACGGTGAGAGCGTTAGCTTACATCAATCAACAAGTATAGAGGAACATACCAAATGCCTGCATATTAGCGGTCACGTCACCGGTTCAAGCTTGTGATAACTCAGTTGTCATAGGCACACCAACTGGTCTCTCAGAACCGGCCTCGATAAAATATCTCAATCTGGAGCTGAAAATAAACCGAACTAGCATGAATATCAAATGTCAAGCAGTGATAAAGTCATCAATTTGATTAAGAGTCCTCCCCGCATGCCCATGGATGCCGCGGACACAGTGGGCGGTGAAGTGGCAGAATCAATATCTTGACTTCCAAGGTCCTTTCTCCGCTAATACCCACCTTTTCTTCGACAATCTCAAGCGATCAATACTAGTGACTTGCGAAATACTACCAGTTTTAAACCTTGTTCTCAATCCATAACCATGGTGAAACCCGAGCCTACCCCTCCCGCTTCGTCTCCCCCGGCGTTAGCTGCCGTCGTTCCTTTGGATTCACCAACCCGCATTATCCCAATCCACCCTGATCTCGCCGAAATAAAAGTTCCAGATGGGCCACTGCCATCATACCGCTATCACCCAGTAACATGCCAACCAATGAAACCTCGAGATTATCAGACTGAGATTAAGCAACTGGAAGAACAATACAAATCACGCGAGGCCGCACTCCATGCACAGGAACAACTTTCCAAAGAAGTGAAAGAGAAGATTGAGACTGCTAAAAGGAAACGAGAGGAGGTTCAGAAATCCATGGACAAGAAAATTAAGGAACGCGACACCGAGATGAAGGTCGTGTCCAAGTTTCAAGAGACCAAGGCATCGGACATTCCGTCTTGAGTGAGACAATTGCAACCTTCCTTCCAACTATTCAGACCATGAAGGAAAAACCAAGACTTTTCTCATAGTCTTATCACCTTTCTTGGTTTTCTTGGTAGACAGACTACCCACTACCACTACCGTTCACAGAAGAGACTCCCTTCGTTCCCAGGCGCGCTCGAAAGAACTCTCATCTACGATCCTAGTGAAGGTAACTTTCTCGTCACTATGGATTAAATCCTTGCCAACATGCCCCAGTGAAAAAGAATGCCCTTTGCATTGCAAATGTGAGGAGACAAGGACGTGAAGGAACCTTTGCGCCTATTTCTACCCACATGAGAGCTCGTTTGGCACCCGCACCATGCCAATGGGCTCTCTGATCTACTTGCAATATCCTAAAGCGAGCATCATTTGCCTCTTTAGGAATTCCGGAATTGGATCGGCAATGATAATGGCTCGCCCAAACACCAAGATTGTGAAAATCGACGAGTTCTAACCACATGTCAAATAATTCTCATATCTACAAGGCAACACATCCGTACCAAAGCCTCAGAAAATGCAAATGCCATGGCAATCAATATTCAGCATTTTTCGTCATTCAATTATATCATATTAAAGATACTCATACATAACATTAATCATCACGAGTCGCCATGAGTGTTTCATTGTGAAAGGAATTAGGGAGAAGGAAACATCTAGAACACCTTACAACGACTCAAGCAGCTTCATGACAAACGGGGGGTTTAAATCAAAGTCAGTAACACATTCAATAGATTATGTGCCATTCTCAATCAGAGTCTGGGTCTTGTTCACTAACTTTAGTGTGAGGAGATCACCAGTATTATCAAGAAGACCACCCACCTCGGCGAGGATGTTGGAGTGATGATAGACGGGACATCAGTGATGAGAATGAGTGTTGTTTATTAATGATGGGTTCAGCAAGCCAGCAGCATTTCCGAGCAAGTAGAAGACGTCAATCAGGAGCTGAGACGTGGTAGCCGGCGTGAGAAATTGATCAGGCCCTGGGCTAGTTGGCAGCACAGGTCAAGCTCGATTGATAAAAAGAGGATAATATGGAGAAATTTCAATATCATGAAGCAAAGAAAGACATGATGATGATAATACTACTATAGACGTCTTATTCTTTCTCCTGGTAGCGAGGTCAGTACGATACTCGAATCCTTTCTGACTTGATTCTTTTGTAGGGTACATTGTTTCCAGGGTTACCGAGTAGTATAAAAATTGTTCGGAGGTTTCCAACACAGCCAAAATTATTTGGAATTTCGGGTACGACTCGACACTGAGATACCTAGGAAGAACAAGAGAAATCTCATCCGGGATCTTTAAAAAGTGAGTAATGATTTATGTGTCACGAGTTTCATAATCAAGTAGTCTTTAGTCTAATATATGTCGGCGCAAGACCCGGAGCTTGCTGCACCATTCATTCATAAGTGAGTCCTATGGATATGTTCTAAACATAAGTCACAGTGAAGCAGTCATTTAGCATACCTAAAAAGCAATGGTAAATTCTGGTTTCGCCTACGAGTTTGTGTAAAACGGTATATCATGCAATGTTAGGACATTGTCTAGCTTCGTTTCAAATCGAACATTATCAGCACATATATGACTCATAACCGATGCAGTCTTCGAAATACAATGGATTTTGATATATTGTTCCATTTGTAGCGCCGTAAAGTCACTATTCTAACTTGATGGCAGCCTGTCAATCATGAAACCAGGCTTGATCCAGGCCCGACAGAGCTGAGTTTCAGCACCCGCCTGACCGTGGATGTGGTTAAGATCTGCCTGAGATTCCAGCTCCCAACTCTTGCCAACTCATATCCCTTCTCCAACCAGTTTTCGGTAAGACGTATGAAGTGAACAAAAGTGAAGCAAGAAACTACGTTGTCTCCATAGGGACTACACTACTCCGTAGGGCTTTGCATATTTACATGTGGGGCCGGAGATATCCGCCACACGTGGCAAGTAATCTGCACCGCCTCATATCTATTTTAGGAAAAAACAACCCAACTCGGTCGCATATTTTTCCATACGTTATATGCCCCTCTATAGATAGCAATGACGAAACCTCGTCCGACTCAAAGCGAACCTTTCCTATACACCCACACACGACCATGTGACCAAACTCATATGCAGCAGGGATTCCATTTCAGGAAAGAAGCAGAGACAGAGGCGCCTGCAGAAGTACAGAGTAAGATGAGATCATTGAAAACTTGAATCATGTGGACAAGAAAAGAATAAGAAACGGTATTTCAGTACGCGAAGGCTAGTGGCGCCGTCCCAAAGTCTGGCAATGGAGGCTCAGCCCAATAGCGGATCATAGCAGGGATCTCAGCTCTCTGTGCATCGGCCAGACTCGGTTGGTCTCAGCGAATCCCAGCCCTGAAGTGACTCAAGACGGGCTTTGCCCCACGCTTGCTCGACCCTCCATCAGCTGAGGTCTACGACTCTGTATCGTTTTAGCGGCACTCGATAGGTCCAAAAAAAACCTTGATATGGTTATTATGGTTGTTTATGACTGTTATGGATGTGTTTCGTGTAATATTATTAATACTGTAAACCTTGGGGAATATTACTTTCTCTTCTCCGAGGCCTCATATCCAGTTGGATATTGAAACACAACAGTAATGAAACGCATTGAATGGAGGATCGAAACTAAGTCTTGGCCTGCAGGCTGCAGCCAAATTTAAATAGACTCTTCACCCAAAAGCATGGGATTTCTAGTGTTGAGGATCCAGCTATCTATTAACGATGTGTAGATCTTGGCGCACATTCAAATATGCACATCGCCTAGCTGAGAAATGTATTCAAGTCCCCGCTAATTGTAGACAGTAATTTGATCGCTCTAGACGATCAATGGAGACTCGGGGATTTTCTGTTTCTTGCTATTTAAGCCGTTTCGTGGATTATTGGGGCTTAGCTGTTGCAGTTTAGGGCACCATGCATCTGGTGCCAAATGGACGTGCAACGGGTGTGTGTGAGACTGGAACTGTGCGAGGAACCTGTCAAATTCGATGAAACATTGAATGTCTTTTTTAACCGTTTCAATTATTCAAGTATTATCGCCACTGAGTCTTCAAGTTGCAGACCGGGGAGTCCGATATGTGGCTACCGTCTACTCCATACATTATAATGTACATGGACTCCATCTAGCTGCATATTCAAATAATACGAAGCGTAGTAGAAAACATGAAAAACATGAAAAAAAAACATGAAAAAACATGAATTCTATTCTTCTAATATCTAAAGAGAGAAAATATAGGGAAAAATTAATAAAAATTAACCTATTATTGTGTCTATTAAATCTCCACTATTGGTTCTCCCCTCTTATATTATTCTTCTTGACTTCCCTCTCTCCTTCTATAACCACTCTTGACTTTCATGTCATCTCCTTTCTTTTATATTCTAATTACTGTTCTTTTTGCGCATTCGCCCGCACTTTAATACTGGATTATACGACATTTTAAGAAACACATTTCTCAATTCAAATCCAATTTTGTGTGGGCGAATGTCGCCTTTATGATTTTTATTCTACTTTCTACATTCTTTTATATCATTACCAACGCCGGACGTATCACCTTTCGCACAGTATCATAATGCCAACAGTCTTACTCCCATCCTCTGCCGCTGCCTTTGCGCCGCGATCATCTCCGAATGTCGTGTTGAACACTAAGGTTGAACCTTGGTTGACGGCCACCCTGAAGCGAGTTAACCGGGTTAAGCGTCCTTTGAACAATGTCACCCAGCATACCCGGTGTCTGACAGAAACACTCTCGTCGAAAAATGCCATCTGGACCCTGTGTTCCATGATGTTCACCAAAGCCCCCCAGGCAGAACTAGAGAAGAATGAGAACATGCTATGGGAAGCCCTACACAACCACCAAATGATTCACATGGAGGCCTATGTTGTACATGTTGATATGGTCTCCCGTAATGAGGTGGCCTTCAAGTTGACCCCGGAAACCATCGAGTCCCTAATTGATTTCCACAAGGAAGTCTACTCGGTGGATGCCGCCGCCAATACATACAACTGGTCGGGAAAGCATGGTGAGCTGAAGAGGTTACAGGAGGAGTTTGTCCAAGCTGTCAACAAGTTTGTCTACCGCGCCAACGCCCAGGCACTCGAAGGGCTAGAAGAAGACGGCGCCGGAGAACTACTGAGCGGTCGCAGCGAAGAAGCAAAGGCGGCTATCGGCAAGCTCTTTGTTCCACTGGTAGCCCCTCCACCACCAGTGGTGGATGTCATGCGCCCAATGCCTCTCTTGCCAAGTTCGACAGGCCCGGAAAACTGGTGGCAGAACCCGGTGCCCCAACCAGCGCCACTCGAGTCGTGGAAAGTACTGTCGCCCAGCCCCAACCCGGCCACCACGGGTGATTCTAATCCGAATCTTTGGGCTAGTATCAGTTTCAGTGACGCCCAAATTGCCTCCCCGACCCCGTCTTACAGCCAGCCATTCACCCCTTCGCCGTTCCAGGCCTACGACTGCCTGCCGACTACCTGCATGCCGACCACTTCAGCCGCTATCAGTCCGCTTCCATTGCCGAGCATGTTCCCAACCATGTTCCCGAGCATGCTAATACAACCCTGTAGTACAGCTGTCAATATGGGTATGGGGGGCTTCGGTTGGGGCGACTATGCTCCGATGTCATATGGCACGATTGCCTAGCTCAGCTCCCCTGAGTAGATTTGGTGTGATGTCGACCATTCCCAATTTCAGGCTCCTCTGGCTCGTGTAATCTGGGTTTGAGAAACGTGGATCGTTTCTTAGAACTAGATGCACGCGCAATTTTTCGGATTCTTCACGACTCCACGACTCCTCAACTCCCCTCTCTCCTCCCTCGCCTATCTCCCTACTGGGAACCCGATACCAAGCAACGACAATTCGCATTCTTGACGGCGTTCTCCTCGATTTGATTCTGTGCATCTGTGATACTCCCTACTGCCTTTTGCATAACCAGAATTATCTTTTTCTGCGCTTGTTTTGATACTTTCAATGTTCGATTCTAGCGTTAGCGATTTTTTTGGCTTTTTTTGGCTTTTTTTTCTTTCTTTTTCTTCTCCTATTTGCATCAAGAAGCGGCGGGTCGGCTCTCTGTTATGTTTCATTTCTTTTGTTATTCCCGCATATATGTCATGAAGACTGGTCTGCCTCACGGCATGTGGAGGATGCGAATTTGGACGTGGAATGTCCAACGATATGTTTTCGATTCTTCTGTCGCAGCTTGAAGGGGAAGGAAGCAAGTTTAAGTTACTCGACTGGACTGCGTTCAGCTTGTGCTTTTGTTTTCTTGCCTTTCTTACAAGGTCTGTCCTTCTGGTACTGTGTACCAGACTGGCTAGTTCTCTTTATCGGAGAATTGGAGCATAGGCTTATGCGATGGGCGTCATCTTCCTTGCATCTGTGATGCTTGGTCGAAGCACGCACTTTTAGTCATCTTTGGTTTTAGAAGGTGAGAATCAGTGGCGCGAGCGTGAGAGAAGGTTACATTCACCTCTCGTCAGACTCGAGTACATCCGCCTGTGGCAGATATCGAGCGCGAAGGGCGATGCACTGGATTTTCTCCTTTGGTCTGTGACCTCGAGATTTTCATATCCCGCCCCAAGCGACGAGTGGTTTGAGCAGCAATCATCTCTGTCCTCTGCGCTACGGGCTCACCTTCAATTATCATAGTTGGCAATGATAGATTCATCTCCTATCGTCCAGGCTAGGTTTTAGAAATTCCTGGGCAAGCTTGATCTGTCGGTAGGCTCTTTCACTGGATGGAAGAGCCCTTCATTTTTTTTTGTTCCGACGACGAGAATCGGATGCTCGATCTGACAGATACTCTCCATTATGATCTGTCAAATCGGGGGGGCTGGTCCCTTGCACTGGCTGCTTCTTTTCTCCTGGTTCTTTTTGTTGATCCGTCAGCAGCTCTGTCCACATCTTGTATGTACTATTCTTTAGCTTGGTTTGAAAAAGTGCATACTTAATTTTATTCCTCTCAGGTTGTACCTTAAACTCTATATACGTATAAATTTATATTATCAAATACAGTATAGAAAAACTTATGGCCAAGATGTAAGACAATAAGACTAAAACATAATCTATGGATGTCTGAAGATCATTTGAAGTCAATTAACCCCATGCAATATATCTACCCCAATGTATGACGTCAACTGCCAAGATAGCCCAGGCTACATCATATCCAAGTTGATCAAGACTCTTTGAAAATGTTTCTTTTGTTCACAATTCATTAAGACCTCTATTTGCATTTAATTTAGACTTCATGGGTTATTGTCTCTTTGCATTGTAATTTTGTTGCATTTGTCTCTTATCTGGAATTTACCAGGTGATAGATTCATCAATTTATAACCAAAAGGCTACAAAGCAGTTGCAGTTCCATCTGAGCAAAACACCTAACCGTTGTCAGGCATTTCAGTCTTACATTCTGGAGATCCTGGTGTCCCCTACCGCTTATCCAATCTTTGTGGCCTGATTTCGGCATGACTGCGAGCTGACAACCCCCGCTACTCGAAACATCACACTGTACAATCTGCTAGACTTTACAGCATCGCAAAAGACTTGAAGCTTGAAAAAATATAATCGGCTCCGATCGCGCTTATGGCTACCCTACACGAGGCCCTCCAATGCCTCAAACCGACGTCATGGGACGAAGTTCCCCGGTCTCCCGACGACCTCCGTGACTACGTGCGTGAGATCTTCAAAAACAGCCGCCTGGTAGCAGAGTCACTTCCAGATCCCCCCATATCCGATAATGATGAGTACCCTGGGTTAGACAACACGACAAATTCCTCCGCCAGACGAATCGTTCCATCATCCGCACGAGTGGGAGAAACCGATCCGGAGATTACAGACTTGCAAAAGGAATGGGGGAAGCCGCTCAAAATGGGTGGACCAAAAGACAATCCTTTAGACGTGACTGTGTGGAAACTTTCCGCGAATGACGGCAAGGGCTCATGGTTCGGGCGACGGAGTGTACATGAAGGCCTCCCATTCTCACAGTGGCGGAAGAAGCTTTCAACTGAGTACGATGAAACTCTGAAAATAAACCGCAAAAAGATTGAGAAGGGACAGACGCCTGACAAGAGCATCCGTGGGATCGGCGCCGAAGAAAAGATCGAGACTATTGAGATTAAAGACCATGATAGTTCGATTCTCGGAGATTTAATGGTTTACCATGTCTCGGCACAGTTTCCTAAACCTACTGCTCCACGCGATTTTGTGGAGTTGATCATCAATTCGGATTCTGGATTACAAGCTGGCGGGACTAAGCAGCCTGGGCGCAGCTGGATAATGATATCTAAGCCGTGTGATCACCCCGATATCAGGCATAAGCCGGGGTATACTCGCGGAGAGTATGAGTCTATCGAGCTCATTCGGGAGATTCCTAAGAAAGGTGGCAGTGAGAGCAGTTCTCCTAGCCAGGGGAGTAAGAAGCATACTGCTCCATCCTCCGCCCTGCAACCCCCTGTGGGGCTACCTGAACATGACGGAGCTGGGGATGATGAAGACGAAGAAATGAATCCTGTTGAATGGATCATGGTCACCAGGAGTGACCCAGGCGGCAACATCCCGAGGTGGATGGTGGACAAGGGAACACCACGAAGTGTGGGGACGGACGCTGCTAAATTCATCAACTGGGCTGTTCAAGATGACAAGCCGCCTAAGCAAGAAGCAGGCACAGGTGCAGAAGCTGAAAATACTCCAGCAGGCGCCAAGTCTAAATCTGGGGACTTTGCGAATGAATACGCCTCCGACCAGACAGGCGACTCGGACTCGGATTACGAATCGCTCGACAGCGACGGCGAGCATTCGCATCATGGTCTGATCGCCAGCGTGACCGGCTTGCTTAATATCGGACTAGAACGGCTCGCACCACAAGTCCTAGGCTATGGCCATGGCGCCCAGACCAGGATATCGGGGGATCTCCCACCTGCAGACGAGGTTTCTCATATCGATGCACATGGCATGGCACACTTAAGCCCAAAAAGCGTTCAACAAAATAACTCAGCGTTGGACGCCGAATCTTCAAGATCTGGCGAGCGCGACAATGCTTCATTTTCCTCAGGCAATTCCGATCAAGCCGCAACTGCGATCAATGAGGTAGCACAAAATAACATGTCCCCAGAGGAATTGATCAAAATGACAAAGAATAGCAAGCTCACTTCACACGAGAAAGAGCTCGCAAAGCTAGCCATTCGCAAACGTGAGGTCGAAGCCCAACTAGATGAAATCCGCGCCGAACTCGACAAGCTTCAGATCCCGTCGCAACCGCCTCCTGTCTCAGGAACTCCACTGAACGGCATCAGCGAAGCAGAAAGTGATACTAGCGGAATGCGCAATCGCTCAGCGACGAACAGGTCTTCTAGACCCCCCAGCACTCTCACACAACAGAGCCAGAGCCAGAGCCAATCGCAGGGCAAGATCAGCAATGAAGACCAATCTTCTTCGCGAACGGCAACACCCGACCGGCCAGCGCATCTCTCCAAAGCAGCCTCTCACTTTTTGAACGGGGAATCTAAGCTGCTTAGGCAACTACGCAAAATTGAGGCTAGCCAGCTAAAGGTTGCATCAAAGATTCAATCGAAGCAGCGAAAGGAGGCGGAGCGGTCGGAGAAGTCCAAGTCCAAGAATAAATCTGAGGTTGAGGCCTTGAAGCACGAGGTACATGATCTCAAGAAGGAGCTCAAGCAGCTTCGCTCTGAGCGCCAGAAATGGATCGATCTTGTTTCATCGTTGCAGGCGGAGAATACGAAGTTGGCCGCCAAGTCGGAGAATGCTTAATCGGTGGGTAGATCAGAATTCTATTGCTTGTACTCCGTACATACATGACTTGTTTTCTAGCGTCTTATATTTGTTTATTTCAAGTTTGAATCGGGTCTGATCTGTGCTATGCTTTTGTAACTATTTATCACGTATCTATTACTACATCTCTCTACATCGGAATGGATTTAGATCTTGAATATTTCCATGTTTCAGATATTATGACTGGATTATAATATTGCAGACCATGATGGATCGAGTGAGATACGGCTTTAGACCGGCTTCTCCCTTTCATTGGGTGAAGCTGAGGAACTGAGTGCCCGTCAAGCAATCTTAGGTTATCCACACACAGGTCATGATGCTGGTTGGGTACTTGGGTACTTGTTGTTGAGCGCACGATTTCATGTGGCAGACCTGCCATGTCACAAGTTGACCTCCTTACTGATAAGGACAGAAAGATTCTTGAAGTTTCAGAGGCCAAAACAACGGCCAATGCCTAGGAGATACTCCCATAGACAGGGAGATGTCGGTTTTGTTCGCATAAAACGTTTCGTATGTTGAGTTGGAATTGTTATTCCATACCGAGGGAATCGAGGGCAAAATCTCGAGAAAATGGGTCTTTGGCAGTTTCAAAACCAGTATACAGAGGGGATCTCATGTCGGCCAGATTACTGAGCTGGACGAGGGGTCGTTGGAAGATCGGAGGATCTGTCTTCCTAGATGAAAATCCAAGGGTGCGACAAGGGATATCAAGAAAAAACAAGAATAAACCACACTGAGTAGCTTTACTCTTGAGTCTGAATCATTGGATAGCACATGTTAGCCAACTCATCTTTGTATTATGTTGGGCAACTCTGCAAGACGCAACATACCTCTGGCGGATTACCAGCGCCTCTAACCATTTTCTCCAGCATCATTGCACGCACCTTCTCCTTTGGTTCGCCCATACCGACTGCCATGTAGGACAGCAGGGGAGGGTGACCGACATAGGAGGAGTAGCTGTCACGGAGTATGTTGGACGTCCATTCGTACTTGGTGGTATCGGCGTGTCCGGTACCGATGTAACGGGCCTGGAGAGCCTCAAGGTTCTGGATGGTGCGGAGCTTGTCGGCCATGGTGGATAGTACAGACGTTGACGTTGGATTGAGAAGGATGCGGAAAGCTTGAAAGGAGAAAGGAAAGAACCATCGACGCCTCAGGCATAGACAAAATTGATTCACGTGATCATACGGACATCTCGAGATTCTTCAATCTTGTCCTTGCCTTTAATGAAACATTGGTTGTTTAGGGAATTCTCATTAGAACTATGATCATATCCAATGTCTACTGATACATCTAGCTTTTTGTTACCGTCCCGGATAGCGTCGCTGGTTCATGCACATTTCGATGCTCTGCCAACACGTAGTAAACCAACCATATTTCCGGATGGATCGAGGGAATGGATCCCAATGAGCGGCATTGTGGCTGTTAAAGGTATGTTTTTACTCAATTATTCATAAATGATTTATCATCCCTTGTCCATTTATGTACAGTGAAGGGCATCGGCCCATTTTTTGCTCTTTATTCGCTTCACATGTCGTTCTTTTGATCCTAATAGTAACATTTTTGTCTCTTCGCTTATAGGAGAGAACACACCTTCGGAAAGTCTGACGTGCATATCTGTCACGTAAGTTTTGGATTTCCTTTCAAATCTGACTAAGTCATATGCAAGCGACCTACATTCAAGCAGGCTAATGTTTACGTAGGAGTGGCGCAAAGTGCCTGTCGGCATCTCATATCCCACACTGCAGGGGTCTTGTGCTACATGACTGTCATGCCGAGATATTGGCCATCCGGGCATTCAATTATTGGCTTTTAACAGAATGTAACAGCGTCCTATCCCGGGAAAAGCAATTACTGAATGGCCATGATACTTCCACCACCGATAATGAACAAGTCCCCGATTCTCCATTCATACAAAGGAGAAAGATTGAAGAAGATGGAGACAGTATTTGCGCATCACCCACAAAATGGCCGCCTTTTAAGCTTCGGCCTGATATCAAAATTTACATGTATTGCACATGTGCTCCTTGCGGCGATGCAAGCATGGAACTCTGCATGGCAGCCCAAGAAGATGCGACACCGTGGGAAGTATCACAGCAAGAAGGTCCTTTGCCAAGAACCCAAGATGCAGAAGTTCCAGGTACAGAGACCCTTCTAGATGGTCGGGCCCACTTCTCTCTCCTCGGAGTCGTACGTCGAAAGCCGGCGCGCATGGACGCCGAGTCCACGCGTAGCAAATCCTGCTCAGACAAACTTGCATTGCGGCAAGTGTCCTCCTTGCTATCCTGTGAGACCAGTCGCCTCGTTGCTCCCACTGAAAACGCATATCTGGCAGGTCTGATTCTTCCCGAGGATGAAATCAGCCAGGTTAGCTGTGACCGCTCCTTTGGCGAGAATGGCCGAATGCAGGCTTTGGAGGGCCGATCTTGGCCTAAGGACGCAAAGTTCAAAGAAGGCACACCAGGGTATCGATTCCGGCCATTCCAGGTTCTCTCGGTGCCGAGTGAAAAGGTGGCAACACTTTGGCCTTTTGCGAAGGCAAATTCTGTGCCTTGTCCTGCAACTTCTTTAGAGCAGCAAGGAGATTCCTCGACGTCTGGTGCAAGTTTTAAAAGATCCAGGCCAGGAAATGTGAGCGCCGTTTGGGTATTGGCTCCCTCGTATTATCACTCATCGGCAATGACCTTGGATACCGGCAGCAAATCAGTGCCGACTCTTTGTCGTTCCAAAACCGGGTTGTATGAGACTATCATCAACGGAGTGAAGCAAGGAAACCGGGCGTCCTCGCCTGGTGCCCGTGGGGCCTCGTCTCTATCCCGAGCTAAGCTTTGGGCTCTTTTTCGCGAAATTGCGCCTGCTTCGGCCTATCAAACCAATATATCCCCAGCCGAATCGCTAGCGGATGCTTCAGAGACTGGAAGTTTGCGCGTCAATACAGTTCAGCACCATATGTCAAATATAACCACTTACCAGGATTTCAAAAATTCTAGCAACTTGGAAGACCACTTGCAAATCCGTATGCAGGCCATTGGGGATGCGAAACTGGTTCTCAAGGGATGGGTGCCTAATACGGGAGATGGATCTTGGGGCTTGGATGTTTTGGTTGGCCCCAAAAAGCGAAAACGTTGATTGTGTGTGCAATGGAAGATTGCTGGAAGATTACTTTGGGCGATGTATAATAACCTCATCGTATCTCTTTTTCAATATACCCATAGAATATATTTGTGTTTGCATATATAAGAGCTGTATGGTTGAAAAAAACTTTTCGCTTTCAAAGAGAGAGGAAAGAGACTGGTTTGTTCCTAATTAACATCACCCTTCTACATACGTATGTCGTTAGCAACCCACAAACCGCAGCCTAGTCAATCAGGCCTTGAGGCAGAGCCCTATGAATCTCACATAATGTCAACAATGGGATGTCTGAGGATTTTGCTCAGGTGCCTTTTTGCTTCTTACTTTTCTTGCTCTCCTTGCTCTTCTCGCTACTCTCTTTCCTCTCTCTCCTGTTTTCTGATCCCCAGTATCATCAATCTGCAACTTCACACGCCAGACGTCAACTCCCATTAGCAACGATCGATGAAATATTTCGCGTCTTCAACACAGCTTTGATTGAAGCCATCACTTTTGCCTTCAGAATGGCTCCAAAGGGGTTATTCGAGTGCGCAAGATGTGGTACAGAAACCAAGACAATGTGTTTGGGCTGCTCGCATGCACCCGAATACAAACCCGGCGATCCACCAGCTGTTTATTATTGCAGCCGCAGCTGTTTGATCATGGACTGGCCAAAGCACAAAGACTATTGCAAGAACATGCAACAACGGAAGATGCTGCTCCGATCGGCCCAGATACTGAAGGCAGCCATCTTGACATACAGAGAGACCATATACGACGTGGATCTGACCAAGATCGAGTATCGAGATGGTGTCCTCTATCTCCATCAAAATCAAAGATCAGTTTCATCTCAATCCAAACGCGGTCCCTTCCCAAACCACATGACCGACAACATCAAGCACAAGGAAGCGGCTCTTGTTAAAAGCCAATCCACAGCAGCTATAGCGCTCTTGGGTCCCTTGACCAGAAAACTTCTGCGAGGTAAGAAATTTTCCTAGCCCTTACGTACCGAAGCGAGCCGTGACTAAAACAAAGCAGGTATGTCCTTGAAACTTGAGACGATGGTCATCAATATCGGAAACCCACGGGTTCCAACTAGGCTTGTTCCTGGGCCTGACTTGCACGGTGGCCCACACACGGTATTGAAGATAGAATGCCTCGAGAGCAACGAAACATGGATCATCGATCCGACAGGCTGTCAATATGGATTTCAAGATGTGCTTGTTCCATTCGGCAAGTATCTTATTGACAACGAATGCCGGATATTAGGTGGACCTCGTATTTATGACATGTACGAGACAAGGGACTTGGACTACTTGTCGACTCTTCATATCTTCACCAAAACAAAAGCGCAACGGCAGGATATGCGACTGGAACGATTGACCCGTCACCATTTTGCTGTCTTCATTTATCTGAGTGCGCATGACCGCCTCCTTGTGGGATCTGGCGCTGACTACAAGAAAAACCTTGATCGCTTTATCACTGAGCTCAAAACCCACATGGTCAATTCTATACGGAAAGCAGGCAATGATTTTGAAGACTCTGAAGATGATTGAAAACCAACGGAGAGACTCATAACTGGATGTATTTTTTTCAGCCATTTGATTGATTCCAAACTTGTTTCACTTTAAACATCAACTGTAAAACAAAGTTGCACCTGTAGCTTCTCACTTAATAAGTATTGTTGAATCAACAGGAATAACTCAGAGTTGATCTGATTCAAGGCTCTAAGGATTTGGTATGGGACGCGATAGATGGCATGAGCCAAATCTCCACGAGTATTGGTTCGATATACCAGCTAATTATATCCAACAAGAATACTAGGTAGCGGGCTTGAGAATGACTTTAGAACCCCGTGGACTGCCGGACTATCAGCCAGCAAATGTGATGACTAGGGAGTTCAAAAACGAGTTATTAATTAGTACATTGGTCTCGCTTTAGCTTTCAATATTACTTCAATTCTGGAATGCGATGGAGAACAACTGGAAGTGTCTCTTCATAAGAGCTTGCAGGGCAGATTTCGTATTTGCTATCTTCCTACAACAATAGAAGTAACGATGGCCAACTTTGGAAGCTTATAAGCCAAATAGTGCAAGCCTATCATAAAAGTCCGGGATAATTAATGTACAAAATTAGGGCATATAAGTAAGCCCAGGGGCCTGCGGAAGGCCTACGGAAAGAATTTTCTTTGGAATCTCAGTAGATTCCAGGAATGATGCGGCTGCGGACGATGGAGGTATAACGTTTCCAGTCAGCGCCATACTTCTTCTCGCACTTCTCTTCATCGCGCATCTCACGGTGGATCAGCAAGATACCAAAGTACAGGATGTAGAAGTACGTGAAGATCATACCCCAGCCACGGATTTCTGGGGTCTGCACAGCTTGCTTCTGAACAGTGCCACTGGCTGGGTTGATGCTCTCGATAAGAACATATCCTGCAACGCCAGTTGGCATACAGTAAGCCCAGGACATGGTCCAGTCACCCAGGTAGTTGATGTGACGTGCCAGACCCCACCAGCCGGAGATCATCAGTTTGGATCCAGCAGCAGTTTCGATGTACTTGATGTTCTTCACGCGGGGGTCATTAGGATTCGTGCGGAAACGGTTCTTCTGGTTGTTGGCGCCGCGGAAGATCAAATATCCAACGGTTGTGACACCCAGAACAAATGCCATACCGGTCAAGCCAAGTTCGTAAGGGAAGACAGAGAGATACCGGCTCTGGACGCTGTACAGATGAGGCACCCAAACCACGTCACCGAAAGACAACATGAATCCAAATCCATCCATGGTTACATCCATGGTGGTCATGATCGCGGGCTCCATGTACAGCGCATCTAGGATGTAAAATGCCTGGAAAATAGTGACCAGCACAATCGAGTCGGTGATGTACCCATAGGTTCGGTACTGGTGGGCCACATTAGACAGATTCAGAATTGTCCATCCAAGCAAGCCTGGTCTCATCTCCATAAACACCTTGATATCAAGAGTTCGCGATGCCTCGCTGACAAACGGAATAGGCAGGCGAATACGGGGATTGAGTTCACGACCGATAAAGAAGTCGTAGAGCATGTTGCCCGTATGGCCGCCAGGTGCTAGCTGTCGTAGGCTTGGGTTTGCCTGGCCTGGTGCTGGAACTGTGAAGCTCTTCACGTAAACGAACATCGCAGCAAAAGAAGAGATCAACAAGTTTGCTGTAATGACCTGAACATAGTTGTCCCAAAGGAATGTCCACACCACAAAGTCGGCTCCATAGAGGTAAGTGCCGCCGGCGAGGCCCGAGAGGATAATGACAGCAGAGGGGAATGCTAGGAAATAAATCGAGTCAGAAAAAAAGTACCGTTGGTTAAAAATGACGTGTGAACAAGGGCTGCTATTGCCATACCATTGAATTTGTACTTCAGTCGTCCTCCGCAGGCCAACGGAACACCGTCTGCCTCCTGACCGGGGAGGAAAACCTGTAAGAACAGGCTGAAGGCATAATAGCTCAGCGTCCACAGTGTAACCTTGGTATCATAAAGCGCCGTGATTCCCTCCTCCGGCCAACCCACTTCATGCTTCAATTGCTCGAGCGACAAAGTTGAAGGGCTCAGCAGCGACGGGGCGGGACAACCAGAGATGTCGTTGCAGACGAAGGTAAAGAGGTAAATTAGGGTCGGCAATCCAAAGATGATACCGAAAGCACCTAGTCTATTGCAATTGTCAGCTCAGCTTAACTCAGGTGGAAGAGGGAAAAAAACATACGGTCCACCAAACTCATAACCACGTTTCTCCGGCACTGGCTGCACGGGTATTTGTTTGGAGTCCTTTTTGGTTGCCATATTGAAGTAATGACTGAGCCAATGGAAAGAGAAATAATCCTGAAATCCGGGGGTAGATCCCTAAATAAGACCCTGGAGCCTTAAGTCGCGTACGACGCCGGATAGTGGGCGTTCCGCGGGTTTGCTCCGCATCGCCAATCACAGCTGCAGTGATGCTACGTAAGCCTCTCTCTCTATCAGTACCTACATGTACACTTATACACTTACCTCCTTCACACAATTCATGCAGGTCATTTCTATCATTTTACTGCATCTCTTTTTCTAGTCCCTCCACATTCCTTATTCCGTTTCATTTTTCTACCCCAAGACTACCTTGGGTTGACCCCCAACACAGCCCACCATGAAGCTCATTAGCTCCGCTCATTACTCTATTTTCCTTCTATCCTCAATCCTCGGATTATCTAGCGCATCAGACTCTTCTCGTCCGAAGGATGATGCTCCATGTGTTGCCCGCTCCCCGACTACCGGGTTGTACTTTGACCTCAATGCGATCTCATTATCCCCGCCCAAAATGAAGGACGGCAAGAAACTCTCGAAAGATGCGCGGAACGACAGCTGGTATGCCAGGGGTCATGACTACCCAGCCAATTTTACAATCAACATCTGTGCGCCGGTCATTGAGAACGTGACAGACGTCGTCGGGATAGAGGCATCGCGGTGGAAGAACGTCAGCGCATATTACGAGCAGGACGATAAAATATATTCCATAGGGTATGGTAGATCCCCATCCCAACCAGTTCGCATTGGCTGGACTCATTCGCTACTTATTGTGCTGACTATTTTCGGCTATATACAGGCAACAAGCATCTCGACCTTTCTTCCGCGGCCGCAAGCTTGTCCTCAATTATACCAATGGCTCTCCTTGTCCTGACGATTATAACATGGGCAGTTCCAATGTCTCTACACGCACTAAGTCGACTATCATGTCTTTCCTTTGTGACCGCGACGCTGCGCCAAACGTAGCGACAACTTCCTTTGTCGGCTCTATGGATGAATGCGCGTACTTCTTTGAAGTCCGCAGCTCGGCGGCATGTGGTGGAATTGCCGTGGATCCCAACGCGGGCGGTTTGGGACCGGGCGGCGTATTTGGTGTGATGTAAGCACCCCCTTTCAGTTTGTTGGGGAAACACCCAATATAATACATGCTGACCCTATCCTCTAGTGCGCTGATCGCCATCGCCGTGTATCTGATTGGTGGTTGCGCCTATCAACGAACGGTCATGCATCAGCGTGGCTGGCGCCAGTGCCCGAACTTCAGCCTGTGGGCTGGCGTTTTCGACTTTATTAAAGTAAGTATCCTAGCATTGATCCCATGCTGTTGGTCTCGTCGCGGATTCAGATATGGCAGTTTCGTGTCACATAAGTTCCGGGATTCAAATGTGGCAGGGCTACCTGTTTCAAGGATGGATTGAACCCGTTCTAGCTGGTCTGAAGACCAGTAGCTTCGGGGGAAACGGTTGAAGCTGACCTGTTCCATTCATTTCCTTGTTTCTTGTCAGATATAGATCATTCTCCCTTTTTTGCATGGTTTTTTCTTTGACTTGACTCTTTGGATCCTCGGTCGCTTGTGTTGATCACGGCGTGTACATTCTCATTCGTTTGACAAAATGTCTTGAGTTATGCAGGTGGACTGTCTCTTGGGTCCTTGTCAATGGACCTGTCATTTCATCTTCGGGATCCCTGGATAGGAGACAGCTCCTGCATAGTCACTGTCCCTCTTGTTTTATTAGACGGATCACATGTTCTATTGCATGTACTTAAATGATCAATTACGGTTGCGAGCCTCATTGTTTGGAACATGACGCTGACCACTTCTTTCTTTCTGCGCCAACAGGACATGTTTGTGATTATCTTTTCCTCGCTAGGAAATCTCCTCCGCTGCAAGGGATCCCCCGCAGGCAATGGCTACACCCGTGCGGACTCGAATGGCCGCGGCGGTTTCATCGGCGCCATCGGAGGGCGCGGAGGACGTGGTCATGGGCGTGACGTGGATGCCGAGAACAGGCTCATAGATCAACTGGATGAAGAGTGGGATGATTAGTGTATGATTGATTTCGCTCTGTTTCTCTGGTTTCCCTTTTCTTATAGCGACTTGTGTTTCCCATACCCTTGCTCAACATTCCTTTCCAACGTGGTAATTGTTGCCACTTATGTTTCTCGAGTTGCTTCAGCAATGACCTGTGGGGCATCTCTCCTTGTCTGGTTATCTGTAATAAATGGTTTTGTATGTCTCTACCAGTAGATCTTGTAGTCGTATATATCTTTGTGGAATATATATCTCCACATTTGGGACTACGTTCTGTCTTAATTTATTGATATTCACATAGAGGGTGTTCAAATGAGCAAAATTTGAGCCGAACTATGAATTAATCAAGTTATATCCACCAGCTTCGATTGTATAGACCTACATATTCTGTACTGGATCTTATTTCAATGTGGACAATACTGCTCATGGGCTGTTAAGTGATCATAGTCTCGACGATACTCAAGTAATCATACAACTAGCATCATTGGTCTAGTGGTAGAATTCGTCGTTGCCATCGACGAGGCCCGTGTTCGATTCACGGATGATGCACAACAATTTCTTTTTGCTTCGTTTGCTGAATTCTTTCTTTCTTTCTTTCTTTCTTTCTTTTTTTTTTTGGCGTAGGGAGAAAGAAATGAAATGATCTTTTTTTCTTAGATCAGAACCCTTTACGAAGTTATAATGTCCAAGAAAACTAAGCCATTAGATACAAATATTCTTCAAACTTGCTCAAAAGAAAGGTATACATGTTGGAAACGAGACAATATATACACAAATCAACACAAATGGGGTTATAATATGAACAGTAGCGCGAAAAGTAACAGACACCGGCTCCCACAGTCCGACTCCATCCTTTTACAATATCATTGAAAGAAAACTCAAAACACCACGTAGCAGTCATTGAGGAGATGTTAGTCGATGAATAATATCCGACCTGATCACGGCCGTGAGGTTTTCATATTCGAATTAGTTAAACCAAGATCATATGTGCTTAATGGCATGCCTCCAGTACCCCCGAAGCCCGACATATCTACAGAAGGGATCCCAGATGGTGTGCCGCCGCCATTGTTTCCCCCAGGCATGGGAGCCGGGGGTGGGGCTTGTGATGGTGGGTTTCCGCCGCCAATAGGGTCAAGATTGAAGGGTAAGAACCACGCACTAGGCTGGTAGAACTCGCCCATTCCAGCAGGGGCGCTTGGGTCCATATGGCCGGTGAACAGTGCTTGATCTGGATCTTGCGTTTCGACGCCATTGAACGGTGGGATAGCATGATTGTTTGGGACGAACGAGGTCGGGTCGAAGTCGGAAAATGAACCGTAGACGAATTGTCGGTCTAGTTGGGGTAATTGATCTGGTGGAATACTGAAGTCGAATGGCGGTTGGCCGAATGACATTGGCCGGGATTGTTGGAACATGGATGGCTGTGGGAATGCACTTTCTGGAAGACCTGGGGTGTTTCCCATGGTCGATTCCATCATTGATTGCGGTGAAGTCTGGTCCATCCCTGGAGCTCCATTTGATAGTTTGCTGTTCTTGCGAGATCGTGATTTGCGAGGTTGACCTGGCTGTGGAGTAGGGGAAAGGCCAGCAAAGAAATCTTCCACACTCTGAAGGTCGGGTTTCTGGCCCATAACTGCGTCTTCGCCCGTTTCTTTGTGTCGAGTATCAGGGCCCTCCCAATGCACTCTTGACACTCCATGGGGATACTTGTCGAACCAGTCACCATATTGGAACATGGGTGCTAGCGATGCGCCATTAGTTGCCACAGAGCCCTTGATAGCTGCATCAGCGAACTGCCGATAACGATCCTTGGCACTCTCAACCATATAGTGGAACATGCCCCAATACTTTTTCATTTTATTGAGATAGCGGTATGTATGCCGGAGGTTCTCTTTTGAGCGTGCTTCTAACTGAACGTTCTTCGAGAATATCCCCCAGATGTGGACTGTACTTGCCGAATAAGCGCAGTAACCAGCAAAAGGAACAGTGAGGGGGTAAGCTGAAGCTCGATCAAAAAGCACTGAAATGTGATGCGCTGCTTCAACCGCGGCTCGACCTGCATTACTGAGGAATGACTTTGGCATATCTCTCGGTGGACGCCCCCCAGGAGACAAGGGAATAGCAAACTGGTTGAGAAACAGCATATTTTGATGTATGATGATGTGGAGGAAAACGAACTGATTGGCAATCTTCTCCGCTGCATGGATTTGAAGATTCTCGTAGCTGAAGGTCAAAGGAACCGGGAGAGACGCAGAGAACTCCTCAATTTGCCGCTTAAGCTGCATGTACCCTGACTCTGGATGCCAAAGTGGATGTGCATCCTTTCTTTTCCCACCCAGGTTAAGGTAGTCGACAATGCGCCCCCAAATGATGATAGCACGAATAATGTACGCCGAAACACCCATATTTTCTTTAGCATTGAATAATTGGCCTGCATCTTCAGGTACGGGATTAAGGATATCGCCGTCAAGGTCTTCCGTTGGACCAGGTATTTCCATCTGGAAGTGAGTTTCCTTGATAGGAAGCTGTATTTGTAGGAATTTTTCATTTCCAATAGGCGGCCGTTGACTTCCAGAAGAGTTATACCGATCCATCAAGAAACATGCCCACATTGTCCGGCGCCGGATTTCTTGATCAGTGCAACTCAACTGTGAGCTGGTGCCATTCTTCTGACTAAGTAATGGATCCTGATCAAGCTCCTGATGGAGCTGCAACGCGTATGCCATCCGTAATGCCTGACCTCCAAAAGACCAACTTCGTCCGCCATGGCAGGTTCCAAACTCGTGAAGACCAAGAAGTAAGAAAACTGTAAGAATGGTAATGTTTGGCTCGTCGTGCCGGCTCAGAGCGATGGCTGCAGCGGGGTTAGCCCAGTTTTCTCCACGTAAGAATGGCGGATCTGAGTTGAGCTGAGGATGTGTGGAGAATCGCGCAGATACGGCACAGACAGCAAGGATTAGGACAGGGGGGATTGTGCCTGCTTTAAGCCGTCGCATAAAGCTGGGTTTGTGTAATAAAAGGTACGACTGCCCATAAACACAATCAAAGAACACCTCCGCAAGATGCTCTTGAATCTCTAGAGATGGTAAAAATTCGGCTCCCTCGGTGAGAAGCCCAGTACCGTCGGCGGGTTTGATTTCACGATTCATTGGGAACATCTCATGTGGTGGGCGGTCGTCCCCACGAGTCCATTCATCCATTTCTGCCGCAAATGCCTCCTCTGCGCTTCGTTTTTTCTGTGATTTCGACGGCTGGGCCGAGGTGGAAGGTTTGACAACCGATCTTCCAATAGAGATCATATCCCTCGTCTCCTCCTTAGGTATTGTCTTGATCACACGATCTTCCATCCTCTTCAGTCGCTTGTCCAGCATAGCCATATAATCCGTGCGTGGCGCTGCTTTCCGGGTAGTAACTTTATACACGCACGGAATCCTCGAGCGCGTACAATGTTTGCAAGCAGGCTTCTCGCCTGAGCAGCGGATTTTCTTGCGGCGGCATGCGATGCAGGCCAGTGGTAGGCGCTTCCGCTCCTTCCCGGCCTTGGTCTTCATCTCGCTCCAAGCCGGTTTATCGTCCTCGTGCAGATGTTCAAAATTGGACGGGCCGTTGCTAGCGTCGTCTTGTTGGTCTAGCGCGCCGTTGTCCGGGCCTGGCGCGGGGTCGACTGTTTGTGTGCTACCGGGCTCACGGGAACTTGCATGACTTTGGGTATCGAAGTCGTCGAGGGCTGCTGCCGCCTCCTCCTGGCCTAGATTGAAGCTGACGCCAGGGGTTTTCGATGGCGATTTGTCGGAATCGGGTTGGATCATGACGGGTGCGGATACCCCAGGACCCAGGCCCGAAGCATCCTTCGGCACGGTCGGGAACAAGAGAAGGCGCTTCCGAGATGGAGGGCAAGTTTCTTTTGGGGGAGGAATATTTGAAGTGGAATTTAGAGGCCGTGACAGCGGGAGTCGTCAAAAGTCGGGATGAGGAGAAAGTGAGGGTCCCGAATATGGGGAAAGGTTCAGCGGCGAATGGCGGCTTGGCAAATGATTCGGCCATTGGCAGCGCCGATATTACGGAGACTTGACCACAAATCTATACTAGAGTATGAAGAACTAATGATTATGCTGAAGCGCAGAAGGAACTTTCGAAGCTAAGGAAAGTACCTACATATGCAATCAACTTAAGATTACACGTCGGATCTGGAGGCTTCACTCCAACTCTATACCCCCTGAGCTCTTATACTATTTCCGTATAGTTCTAGGACGAGGAATATATTTCCAACTTAACTCTTGATTCATAACTATAGAATGTGCCTAAAGTCTCATACTACCTTCATGGATATACTCGTAGTATCTCCGTCTCTCTCGGAACGGACCCGAGCGTGTAGGACAGCCAGATTGAAATTTGGACTGACACATTGGAAGCTTGACAGAAAACTAGGACTAGCATGTAGCTATGCATGGATGCATCAGGGGAATTCTGTAAGGGGCGAACATGACCTCCTTGGAATAATAGGATATTCATTGATCATCGCGAATGTAGTACAGAATCGGAAGCTTTTTCCTTTTTCTTATGCCCGTCATCTGTTTTTTTGCCCCTCAAGCAGACTCGCTATTGTCATTTCACGTGTCGTATTTCTGTACGCAAGCTATTTCATAGTTTACGTGGCTGATATTAGGTGGATCTGGGGCGTCCGACCTTCTGGCGTGGTGTCGCGAGCTCAAGCGAATTCAAAATCTCGCTTCCGAGAATGTAGATATTATAGCTGGGAAATACAAGCCACATCCCACTAAACATAGTTAGTTTTATGTTTCGTATAAACATGCACTTTTCGTAGACGGAACTCACTTGGGAAGGATCCAGCAGAGAAAGAGAGAGAGCGGATCGTTGTGACCGATGTTCTCGAAGCCAGAGAAGATCTCATTCAGCCCTATTTCTCATGTTAGAATACAACACGCAAAACCTAGCCAATGGATGTAGTTTACAGTAAAGGATAGTCTTGCTCAGGGTCATGACAGATGCGGTGTAGGCGACCAGAAGCGCGATGGCACCAATGCGCCCAGCGACCACCTTGTCTCCCTTTAACAACCAGATGAATCCCTTAGAGCTTTTCTGCGATCTGCTACCTCTGACAGCCGTTGATCCATAGTGGTAGACAATCCAGAGGTAGTATATGTAACCGATAGTCTCGAGGATATTGACAGTAGTCTGAGCAGCCGTAAAGCCATTATGCGCATTGAAAGCGGGCCAGCCGTAGATATAGTCGACTTTTCCGTACAGCGCATAAGGTGTCCAGATGGGAGAGTGCAGACTTCCACCGGGCATGCTATGCGGTCGCAACAAGACATAGCCTGTGTCCCATATGACCAAGGGGACTGAAATGATGAGCCAGATTGTCAGTGCAGCAGCAGGTGTATGGGTCCATTTGCGTGAATTGGCACTGGTGGTAGCTGGAGATATCTTGGACTGCTCTTTCATGGCCCCAGGGGAGGGGAATTCGCGGGGATGATGTCGCGTGGAGACCATGATGGAATGGCTTGCGATATGGTAATGTGAGGGTAGGGAGTGAGGGTAGGGAGTGAGGGTAGGGAGTCGAAAGCGATTTTAATTATTGATATTTACTATGAGAGGGGAAAAAGTAGAAACTAGTAGGCGCAGAGAAAGAATAATGCTGTTATGTTCAGCCCAGACGCGACTGACGACCAATGACGTTGAGCGTGATCGTTTGTGATCTGCATCCGAGAGCTATTTGCATCTCGCTCTCGCGATCGTAGGAGCTGAGTTGGAAGACTGACTGCAGATTTTATAAATTTCGTGAATCCCCTCGAGATTGGCTTTAATTGTTTAGTGGTTTCTATGTATACAACATACTGTCTACCTGTGTATCTCATCGGAACACAGTTCCTGGTACAACGGAAATTCAATTAAACAAACTGCTACCTACATGTATATGTACCTTTCACAAATATCTCACAGCTTTTCATACTTCTACTTTGAAGCCTCTTCTTATTACTCTCTGCTAAGCCAACAGTGTGCCTATACCTCAAATTTATGGGCTCTTCAAATATGTCACTTTTGACCCCGCACAAAAGGACAAGATGTTATTTGACAGTGGAAGCCATTCGTGGCGCTGTTTTAATAGGTTTAGAAATAAATATCTATGCAGTCGATCGTGTGAAGGCCAACTTGGATAGTTACTGGTGTGTAATATTGCTTAATGCCCGACTCTTTTATGTCCCTAATATTTCGCGATATTATTAGGATGAGGAGACTGGCGGCTCAGATCATTGGTTAATAATTTCAAAAGGGAAAGCAGGAGTTAGCTATCATATGCATGAACTGGGTGATGTTTTTGTTTTTGATTTTTTGTTATCTTATATTTTGTGGGTAATCCTTGGTTGTTCTATAGCCGGTGATGGGTAAAGGGGGCGTGTTATACACTGACATATGGTGATTCTACACAACACAATAGGTCTGTTAAAAGTTACTACGGAACAAATCTTCATAACACAATTAGTCTTCGCCAAAATACTAAGAAGTGAAGCTATCAGTGTCGGATATATCTAACTGCTCCCGCTATATTAATGTTGATGATCATCCTCCTATCGTAACAAATAATCAATATGCCCGTTAGTGTTTTCTTGGGAAGAGACCTACTCGCGAAGGCGAATTGAATATGCGGCGAATAAGGCTAAGCTCTAAGCTTCCAATAACACGCTCTCTATGATATATAAAATGCCAATATATGAGCGAGTCAACTATGCGGTAGGATTGCCAATGAGCTTCATAAAGTCAATTATGGAGAAAGGTTGTTACAGTAGTAATACCCCAAGGAAAGGGGATTTGAAAAACTCTTCTCCCAGGTTGCTACAAGACTGTCTTATTCTGAAGATACCCCGAAATTCCACGCTTGCGCTATTCTAAGGTGATACGTGCCCTATCACGCCACTGACCGCGGATGGGGTTAGACCAACATTGCGATCTTTTTTCTTATTTGAGTAATTATCTCATCAGATAAACTGGCATGTGGATTAACTTTAAGAGATATAAAAAGGGTAAAGGATATGAATTTGATCTCCAGTTATTCGGGATTTCTACACAAAACAAGCCTTATAAAACTTTTCATTAAGAAACCATTCAAAATGTGTGACCTCGAAGAAAAATCTCCAACAAACTCAGTTGTTCTACCTCCAAGCTATACATCTATAACCCCTTGCGAGTCATTTCCCGACACCACTTGCGGTATCTTGACATGGCACACCCTCTTGTCCCATCCAACCACTCCGACCGCCGACCTCATCGCCGACATAGCTGTCTGTCCAGCAAAAACGGGCCGTCTTTGCCCCCATCGTCATACGCAAGCAGAGGTTTACTATATTCTGAGAGGTAGAGGCGAGGTGACCATTGATGGGATGAAGCACCAGGTCACCGAGGGAAGCACAGTTGTTGAGATGGTGGAATGCCTTGGTGCCTCAGGCATCAACCCCTCAGTGGTAGATAGATAGTTCGGGAGTTTGCTCCCTTTAGGAATTAACTCTCTCTCTCCTCTCGCTCTGGTCTCTACTACGTAGTGTCCAACAACAGTCTATGTCCCTTCAAATGCGGAGCATGGGGTCGTCAATACTGACGAGTCGACGGAATTGCGTTGGTTTTATGTTTTCGCTACTAGTTCCTTTGCTGATGTGGTGTACCGATTCTCGAAGGATGAGCAAGTGGATTTGTAAATACACCCAATCAAGACTCATTGGGACATATGTAACATCAAGAAAACTCAGCTTTGGGGTTGGCCAGATTCCATCATGCAAGTATTCGTTGGAAGCCGGTTCAGCGAATGTTTACTAGTTCTAGCGGATTTGGTGATTTGGGTACGAAGCTCCATGATTATTTGTAATTTTGTATCACGAAATCATTGACTCATTTCACTCTTTTCATTGACTGCTAGATTCACACAGTAACCGTTTGGGGATCCCACATTGGCCTCTCACTTGATGAGGGAAGCTCTAGGTAATATTAAGCCACCAAGGAAATCACATCATCCGACTTTTGGATCTTTCATCCTTAAGATAGGAAACATTGTGTGAAGATAGGTCTTCTAGTTAGCTAGCGCCAGAAGCGGTTTCAAATAAGGCCCTAGAATTTGCAGTTTTATCAAGATCCAAAGTATCCGGCTCCTCATATATCCTATTTTATGTACGAGACCGGAGCTTGACATGGCGAAGTGGAGATGTTGAGGTCGAGCAAGGTTGTATGGAAAGGGACAGCGAAGTTGCCAAAGAAATCTCGCAATGTAAATATCTTTGACGATTCCTCGAAATAAGAGAAAATGTATATTGAGAGCCCACGAATTCTGAATCCGTCAACGGATCTTAGGACCTGACCTTACCTGTTGGTATATGCATGGATATCTTCCGAGGTTACACGGTATCCATGAATGGATCATCCATATGCTACTATGTGCTGTTTTGTACTTCCTTCTAATTTTTCCCTACCTAGGTGGCTTCAATTGTGTATATTCCTACATGATACTAAAAAAAACCCGAGATAGAAAGTGACGGACGAAAGGGACGATGAATTATTGTGTGGGCCGATATCATAGCTTGACATACTCGACATACTTGACATTACTACACTCTGAACTAAGTATAATTTTCAATTCTATATGAATAGCACAAAAATTAAATATATATTCAAATAACTCGATTGCTCTATGAAAGCAGATAATGCCACTTGATTGGCTCTAAAACAGGGTACACGTGACCATGCAATTGAAGCCATAAAAGTCAGGCAACAAAGCGAAGCATCCTTTCTCCAAACTCGGAATGCAAAGGAGGCAATGTCAAACTGCCCGCCATCATACTTGTTATACCACCAATCATTCAGGTGAGCGATTTATATGAAAAGTACGACAGATAGGAAACTCGGTCATGCCCCACACCCCTTGGTCAGCAACCGATGGATTCAACGAAAGACCAGAAGGTCAGTCACATCCGTTTACCTAGTTGCAGCCAACGCATGAGAACTAACTGGTACAGAATAATGTGGAGCGACTCGCACGGGTGCGTGAGAATCAGCGCAAGAGTCGAGCGCGGAAGCAGGAGTACGTGAATGAGTTAGAGCAGCGTTTAGCTGTGTGTAAAGAACAAGCCCAACAAAAAGACATCGAACACCGACTGGCAACACAAAAGGTCGAAGCTGAAAATCGGCACTTGAAAGCTCTTCTTGGATCAATGGGAGTTGCGAGTGCTTCTATCCAGCAGTATCTGCAAGAAGCGGACACGGGAGAGAATACCAACCGGAAGGTTGCTATCCCTGCTATTCAACGAGTAGAGGGAGATAGTCCCCTATCCCTGTCACGTCGGGATACTCGCAGATCAAATTTGTCAATGACAGTACCTCGCGTCTGCAAAGAGGAATCAAACATAACTGAACTGCCAACAGCGATCAAAAGTACATGTGCTTCGACAACGGTGCAACCGACAGATCAGCCATCGATGCAAACTACACAAGAAGAAGATCCGGCTTTGTGTGGATGTCGGTCCGATAGACAGAATCCGGAGACGGTATCTGATGAAGATTTGCTCAATTCGACGCTGTGTGCCATTGCAGAAGAAATGATCAGCCAATACAACACCAAAGGACTCGACGTTGATGAGATTCGACGAAGAATTTGGTCCGGGTTCCGAGCAGGTGTAAATGGCACTGGTTGCAGAGTTCAAAATCACATTCTGTTTCAAGTGCTAGACGATATCAGCAGTGATGTTTGAGTTTGGCATTGGTTTGGCTTCCATAGTCATTTGCGATATTAGTATTTGAGTGAACCTACTAGTTCCAACTATCTTTCAACTCGAACACGGGGATGGGGACTACAGTCGTTACCAGCAATCTCTTTCAACGCTGCCGTCATCTGCAGTAGTGAGCCTTGAATGCAACAAGTTCAGCCCAGATCCCGCCAATGACTGCTAGAACGGCTGCTTTATTCCGCAACACGGCTCCTCGGCCTCAAACTCCTCTTGGGACGAGCTTATGCTTGAAAATCTTACTTGAGATGTGGGACCACTCTACATCAACAATGGCATATTTTTCCGGCCAGACCCCACACCCAGAGGCTGAAATGGCAACAATACCCCGACTTTGCAGGCCTAGATGGGAGATTAGGAAGAAAGCCAAGATTTTGCGAGATAATTAAGGTGTAGTCATCTGTCTCCTATTTTCCGATTTAAGATCTCAGACCGCAAAAGCTGCAAAATAAATCAGAAACACTCTAAAATCGAATCCACTTAAAAAGTACCAAGTCCATAGCCCTATTATTCCGCAAACTAACAGCACCTGCATGACCCCCTTAGACTGCCGAATCTCCAACCGACAGAAACCTTGAAATGTAAGAATATTAAGTTGCAACGCCGATGATTAGCCGCAAAAAAGGAAAGATGATTGCTTGGCGTGCATTCGGTCAGAGATCAGCGTATTCTCCATATAACGTTCTCCATATTGCGGACAGTAGATTTCTGGAATAGTCCAACTTTCTTTTCGGGTAGTTCTTAAACGTATACAATATAGAGCAGTATGTAGCCGTTGAGGATTGAAACTTGCAAGTGGAAATGGCTACAACATACTGTTTGATCTGAGCCGAACCGGGGGATACGGGGTAATGGTTCCGATACGGGGATTTGGACCGATTTGGACCGATGCCGTAAGTGTGGGGGAACATTCTCGGCGAAGGGATACACACACTAAAACGTACTATTTGAAAATATTATCCAAGACCTTGGCTAAGAACAATTAATCCGCGCAAGCCGAAACTGGACTCGGCATCGTCCCTGGGGCCCCGCACTTCCCGGTACAAAAAAACGCTTAGCTACGGATAGCGCTCCCGTCAAAGATATTTATGTAGAAAATGGACAAAGCAGTTATGTTAGAGAACCGGGTTATAAGGATGATTATTAACATAAAGCCGGTTGTAAATGCAAGGAATACTTGTAGGATTGGAAAAAAACCCTGAATGACGCAGGTCTACTTCCCCACACTCTCGGGGTGATATGAGAAGGGTTTCCCCATTCGGCTGGATGAGCGGCGATCTCTTCGACGTGGTCAGATCAAATTAAAATTCTGGAAGTCACCTTCCAAGGTAGTAATACATGTATGCATTTGATCAGGTGAGATAGCTCAGAACGGTTAGCTGTATGCCGATATGTGTACATGTAGTTGTGCACTGATAATATGCCGAAACTTGGATAAAATCAAAAGATCTTAAGCTGTCGGTTCAAAATTCAACGGAGAATTAGAATTAGAATTAGCGGGGAAGAGGCACGAGCGCGATAGGGTAGCAATGGTATGAGATGCCGAAGTTTACCCGCTCTATGCGGAATTGACGACGGATTCAACGGAAACTAATAACGCACTGTTGTGTCGTGTAAGAGGGAGAGTGGCTGGGTGATACTGCCTAATTATGATTCTGGTTGTGACATCCTCTTGAAAAAAAAAGGGGTTGATCTCTCACCCTGTCCGGCCCTGTGCAGCCCTTTCTCCTTGGAAATTCCCTACCAGCCACAATTATACCTGTCCCCTTTTAAGATGAGTTTTGAGTGTCTCTAAAGTGAGCTCCAGTAGGCTCCAGTGAGTATCAGTCATAGCCAATCATAGAGGAGGATGTAAGGTGACTAGTGGGTTAGTGCATACTTTGTCGATCCTTTGCTTCATTTATTTCATTTCATCTTATTTGATTGACAACCTTGGAAGTTGTACGCTATGAGCACTATTATAGCCCCTGTGAGCAAGGAATTATTCGAATATTTAAGAACCCATGCCTTCCCCGAGATTTGTGACTCGTTCCTTCCTCACGCCTTCTTTTATCAACAGCGCTTCTTATGCTGTCTCTGTGAAATTCTCTCTAGCATTTTCACAGCAATGAAGTTCGAGTGGCTTACAGTGGCCGGCTTAACGGCTGCGGCTAATGCTAATGTGAGTCCAATTTAAATCCTGAATAATATCACTATTAACCAAATCGCATCAAATAGCCGCTAGCCTATTCTCCTCCATACTATCCCTCCCCATGGATGACTGGCGCGGGCGAGTGGTCCGATGCATACACACGCGCCGTCGATTTTGTCTCTAACCTGACACTGGCCGAGAAAGTCAACTTGACAACCGGTGCTGGCTGGGAGCAAGAACGATGCGTTGGTGAGACTGGTGGCATCCCTCGACTTGGAATGTGGGGAATGTGTATGCAGGACTCGCCATTAGGTGTGCGCTTGAGTAAGATTGTCCCCAAATAACCTTGGTGGTGCACTTGAACTAATGAAACTCGAAAAGGTGATTATACCTCTGGTTTCCCCTCTGGTATCAATGTTGCCGCGACATGGGACAAGCGACTTGCCTACCAGCGTGGTATGGCAATGGGCGAGGAGCACCGCGACAAGGGTGTGGATGTGCAGTTGGGTCCCGTTGCTGGCCCTCTGGGCAAGTACCCCGAGGGCGGTCGTAACTGGGAAGGGTTCTCGCCTGACCCTGTCTTAACTGGTGTGATGATGGCCGAAACCATCAAGGGCATGCAGGATGCTGGTGTCATTGCTTGTGCCAAACATTTCATTGGAAATGAGCAGGAACACTTCCGTCAGTCCGGCGAGGCTCAGGGATATGGGTACAACATTTCTGAGAGCGTGAGCTCAAACATTGACGACAAGACTATGCACGAATTGTACCTCTGGCCCTTCGTGGACTCTATCCGTGCTGGTGTTGGCTCCATCATGTGCTCCTATAATCAGATCAACAATAGCTACGGCTGTGCAAACAGCTACGCTCTCAACAAGCTGCTCAAGGGCGAACTGGGGTTCCAGGGCTTTGTTATGAGCGACTGGGGTGCGCATCACAGTGGTGTTTCGTCTACTTTGGCCGGTCTGGATATGTCTATGCCCGGTGACACCTATCTCGGTAGCCCTTCGTCCTTCTGGGGAGCCAACCTGACCATTTCGGTTCTGAACGGTACCGTCCCAGAATGGCGTATCGACGACATGGCTGTCCGAATCATGGCTGCTTACTATAAGGTTGGACGTGATCGATTCCGCACTCCTCCCAATTTCAGCTCCTGGACTCGCGATGAGTACAGCTTTGAGCACGCCGCGGTCAGCGAAGGCTGGGCTAAGGTCAATGAGCGCGTAAATGTCCAGCGTGACCACGCCCAGATCATTCGTAAGATTGGATCTGACAGCACTGTCCTGCTCAAGAACAAGGGTGGTGCACTGCCCCTTACCCACGGTGAGAAGTTCATCAGCATTCTGGGAGAGGACGCAGGATCTAATGCATATGGCGCCAATGGCTGCGGTGACCGTGGCTGTGATAATGGAACTCTGGCCATGGGCTGGGGTAGTGGAACTGCCAACTTCCCTTACCTGATTACGCCCGAGCAAGCCATCCAAAATGAAGTCCTAGAATACAGTGTCGGGAAGACCAGCGTTTTCGCCGTGACTGATAACTGGGCCCTCACGGAGATGGCTGCCCTTGCATCTCAGGCTGATGTTGCCCTGGTTTTCGTGAACGCCGACTCTGGTGAGGGATACATCAATGTTGATGGCAACGAGGGTGACCGCAAGAACCTGACTCTCTGGAAGAATGGCGAAGAAATCATAAAGACTGCCAGTCAGCACTGCAATAATACTATTGTCGTGATCCACAGCACAGCCGCTGTTCTGATTAGCGACTGGTACGACAATGACAACATTACCGCCATTGTCTGGGCTGGCTTGCCGGGCCAGGAGAGCGGCCGCAGCTTGGTGGACGTACTGTATGGTCGCATCAACCCTGGTGGTAAGACTCCATTCACCTGGGGTAAGACTCGCAAGGATTATGGCCCTCCTCTCCTCACAGTGCCCAACAACGGTGCCGATGCTCCTCAGGACAACTTCGAGGATGGTGTCTTCATTGACTACCGCCGCTTCGATAAGGACAACACAGAGCCCATTTACGAGTTCGGTTATGGCCTGAGCTACACCAACTTTTCCTTCTCCGACCTGAAGGTCACCCCTCTTGCCTCATCTGAATACAACGAATATAAAGCGACCACTGGAAAGACGAAAAAGGCCCCTGTTCTTGGCAAAGCTGGAAAAGTCTCAGATAACCTGTTCCCTGAGGGAATTAAACCCGTCCGCCAGTACCTCTACCCGTGGTTGAACTCCACCGACTTGCGTGCCTCTTCTGGTGATCCTGCCTATGGCATGGACTCCAAGGACTACCTTCCTGAGGGTGCTACTGATGGTTCTCCCCAGGACCTTCTTCCATCTAGCGGCGCCTCCGGTGGTAACCCCGATCTGTTCAAAAATCTCTACCAGGTGACCGCTACTATCACCAACACCGGTTCCGTGACTGGCGATGAGGTTCCCCAGTTGTACGTCTCCCTCGGCGGTGATGATGAGCCCTCGAAGGTCCTGCGCCAGTTTGACCGAGTCACCATTGCCCCTGGTCAGACCCTCCAGTGGACCACCACTCTGACTCGCCGTGATGTCTCTAACTGGGACGTTGCCTCCCAGAACTGGGTGATCTCCGACGCCCCGAAGAAGGTGTATGTCGGCAACTCATCTCGCAAGTTGCCTCTCTCGGCTGACTTGCCCCCGATTTGAGTGAATGTGCTTTGTTCTGGAATGAAAACAGGAGGATACATTAGTCCACATGAGTCATGCTTTTGAGTTTGTACAGCCAGCACTGCATTATGCACATAGTTTTTTTCTGCCCCCCAAGACATGCCTCTTATGACTATTTTGATAGTGAACGAAACTCATTAGTATTTCTTATTCAATCCGATCATAGAAGCATAAAACTGTATTCTTGATGTTGTTATGTATCGGCTGTAGCCGTTGGGCAATAGCCTATCTGCAGAACCATACTTCGATTCGAGCATGCATCCACATCCATCCTCACAAGGCCCCATTCCCCAGCCAAGCCTGCTCCAAAAACAACCCTAACCACACCTCTAATCAACATCAAAGCAACAACCATAACCCGCGATATACTCAAATTGATAGAGACATACCACCAGCCCCACACAATCCCAGGTCACGGCTTCTCGGGCACAGTAGCAACCATACCCCAATGTTCAATAACTCGCCTCAAGCGCGGTACCGCAGTCTTGGGCCTAACTTCCGCAAACCATGCCTCATGTGGGCCTCACACACCCTCGTGTTAACAGACGAAGCTGCATGCAAATCAGCGGGCCTCGGGTAAGAAGAGACAGTGGAATTACTGCTTAGCGCGCAGACGGCGTACGAGGCGCTCTCTGTCCATGCGAATCTTCTGCTTCCGCTTGTAGGCAGGCGTGCGCAGTCGGGGCCACATCATGATTAGGACAAGGATTATCAGCAAGCTTGCCAGTTGGAATAGCGTGTTTTGGTTGCTGGTGCTGAGCGTGGGGTTGCTGGGTTTCTTGTGCAGCTTGCTGCGCGTGTCGGGATGCATGTTGCTGCGGCTGGTTGAGTCTGTTGAGAGCAATGGTGTATTTTTGAAGGAGAGTAGTGGCGAGGAGGGTCGGTTTGTTGTTGTTGTTAAACATTGCGTTGGTGGGGAGTTGCTGGCGAGGTGAGGCGTTGGCGGTTTGCGAAGGAGGAGAGTGTTTTGATATTGATTCCACGAGGTCTAATCTTGTCGAGGTGTATGAAAAGTATGGGCTAGGGAGAGATAGGCTAAGGCATTATTTTACGTGAGGGGAATGGGAGGCTTGACGAGGGAAGGTTTAGTGTCGTTTGTTGCTGCCACTTTGGGGATTAACGGTGGGAGCGAGGTCTATGATTATGGGAGGTTCGATGGTCGAGGGAAGATTGTGCTTACAGTTGAGATTCGCTATTTGTACGATTCCAGACCGGCTAGTTATAGTTATATGTAGCGGTTGAGTCTGTCCTGAGAATATATACATACTATTTGTTGGGATAATTAGTTGAAGCTCCCCGAGCTGGTCTGGGATGTTTCAGTTGTTTCTTGTGCTGAGTTGCCTCTTATTTCACCACTTAGAAAGCGAGAGGTTAAAAGTATCCCTCAACCATCTTGATCATTGTACCCTCTTTTCTAATCGTTGTAAATGAACAGAACCTCGAAGGAAGAAAAGCTGAATGTAGAATCGGAACCTTTCCAAGGTTGACTGAACTGTGAGAGTTCATACCTTACTATTAGTACAAATGTGGTTATACGTGCAACTGAAGGGTTGTCCGTTTTATCTTTCTAGTATAACAGTGAGAAAGAGGAAATACATCCAAAAAGACATCTTAAGAGACATATAAAATGACACTTGAAAAGATATTTAAAAAGACATCTAAAACGACCCAAAAAGACATCCCATAAGCCTTCTAAGGTTAGTATATACATTATAGATACATGGATACTACTAGTGTACTAACCTTGGAAGCCTTTCAAAGAGTCGAGACCTGGGGGTTCCAAGGTTCATATAGGTAGAGTGCTATATTTAATCCGACCTCATTCCATCTTTTATACCAAATTATTTTCTTTTCCTTCAACTCACAGTTAAACTTCACTTTTTTTTCCCTAGCCATGGAGAACGCCGTTCAATCTCAAAAGTCAAAGGACAAATCTTTCATAAAATTAGTACGCGCCAGGCGCAAGAAATTAGCAAATAAGCCTACAACCGCCATTACCGCCCTTGACCCCAGCGAAATTCCGCATAACTTTAATCTCACTCACTGCCTGCCCACCGAGTTCGAACTTTCCCCGAGCAAGAGCGAACCGGTCACTGTCCCTCCTCACTTGAGTAAGTTTGATTTTTGATATGAATATGTGTATATACTAACTTGTATAGACTCGATTCTCGCAGATTACGATACGGCAACAGGTGGCTCACCTAGAAATGAGGCGCTAATAAGATCTCGCATTGATGCAATTATCCTGGCAACTCTGGCTAAGATAAAGCGTTGCAAAGGCCAGTACTTCGGCTGCACCAGCCTCATTCATTGCCTCCTCCCCATCACTCAAGTCTGTTCACCTTCAATCAGAACGTGAGATCGAATTCGTTTGGAAAAGCCATATAAGCGATACGCAACAGGTGAAGCTTTCTGGAATAGTTGACTACTCGCTTTGGAATGGCATACCTATGACCAATATGGCAATAATTGAGGCGAAAAGGACGCCCTTGCTGGAAAGCAGTATGCTACATTGTCTTGGCCATATGGGTAAGTGGTTTTGATTTATATTATACGTGGATTAGTGCTAATACAAATAGCGATGATACATGAAACAAGAAAGCAGTCGAATATTCGCGACACGTCTGTGTATGGAATCGTCACCGACAGTTACGAGTGGATTTTTATCCTGATTCGTCCAAATGGCGAGGTAAAAGAGCTTCGTGAAACTTACTATGATATCACTAATACATTTTCTAGTACACGGACAAAACCTACCAATGGCTGCACAGTGCGCAAGAAATTATCTCAATTTTGTCGAGAATTTTCTCCCACGCTGCCGGATTTAACTCCCAGAACAGCCAAAGCGAAAGTGAGGATAACAACTCCCTATACACATGCTAGTGTGAAGATGCGAGGGCTGGAACGTGTCATGCAAATGGAATCTAGGCTTGAACTTAGTCATAAAGACCCTATGATTAGCCAAGGTTAGTAGCGGTAGCTATGCAGGTTCGATAATGAAAGATCTTCACCACCCCTCGAGGTTCTCTCACATAATGTGCTCCCCAGCAGAGCATCATGTATCTTCATATTCTCGGGCCAGGACTATTGCCTAGAGTCCTCATGAGAGACAGTAAAATAGATCAGCTCGCCTTTCCGACCCTTCTTTAGTAATACAGCTAATTTCTTTTACCATCTGCAGCAATATGACCTGGGTTTGGATTTAGAGTCAATCCACGGAGTTGTATGGGGTCTGCCAACATATTGATCTATAATTCGGTCTTTTTTTTTTTTTGGAGAACTTGTCTCTAGCATCAAACCAGAAACTGAAAAAACCACATGCAAAGAGCCAACCGCTGTCTATTATGTAGAACTGTCATGGAAAACCTCCAGCAAATTTCTAAACGCTGATCCTTCTTTTGACAAAAGCGCCTTGGGTGTATCAAACTCAACAATTTTGCCATTTTCCATGAGAGCAATTTTGTCAAAGTCTAGAATCGTATGCAGTTTGTGCGCGATAGCGATGACAGTCTGATTTTTGAAGTGCGTTCTAATGACGGTCTGCATGAGCGTATCTGTTTCCGAGTCCACACTGCAGGACCCCTTAGTATAAGGTCGTATATCTGTTACTTTTCCACATACCTGCTAGTGGCTTCGTCCATGATAATAATACTGCTGGATTTGCAAAGAGCTCTTGCGAGGCAGAAAAGCTGCTGCTGCCCGTGAGATAGAAAATCATCAGACATATCAACATTCAGCCCTCCTTTGAGTTGAATATACGACCATAGATTGACTGCTTCGAGAGAGGCAATGATCGTTTCATCAGTTGCATTTCCTTCGGGATTGGCGTTTAGCCGTACCGTGCCATGGAGGAAAAAGGGCTGTTGCGGAATAGTGTTGATTCTGGACCGAACGTGTGCTCTGGAGACTTTTGAAACATCTATGCCATCAATGAGAATTGTGCCGCTATTCAGTTCTAGTATTCGCAGAATTGCCGAAACAAGCGAAGATTTGCCACTAAAATATAAATCAGTCAGCGTTGACGCAATGTATCTCTGATATGAGACAACACAAACCTGCCAGTCCTGCCACAGAGAGCAACTTTTTCACCGGGGTGGATTCTGAGATCAATTCCCATAAGGACAGGATCTGAAGAGGCACTGAAAGACTGGTCAGCATGTAGCCGAAGAAGCCTAAAAAATCCAAAACATACTCGTAAGATGCTGAAAGGTCAGCTATATCAATCCCACCCTGCTGAGGCCAGCCCTCGGGAACAGCCTCTGTCTCGGAATCTAAATCCTCAGTAGTGGCTTGTTCCGCATATGAGCGAATTCTAGAAACGGCCCCAATGGAAGTCTCCAGTCCAATCCAGTATGTCACGAGCGTTTGAAGGGTGCCACTAAAGTTGACAATATTGAATAACGAGATGCCTAATAAGTTCATGGAAGGGCTACCCTTCATCGAAATTGCGACGGCGATGACAATGACAGCAATACATGCCACTATCAAGTCTAGCACAAGGCCAATCCAGCGCTGAATGCAATAAAGCAAATAGGAAGGGCGTTGGGAACCGTCAAGGGCAATTTGATTACGGCGGTGGTAATCTTCTGTCCAACCATAGGTTCGAATGCTAGAAAGACCGCTCAGAGCTTCTAAGAATTGTGAGAATAATGGTGCTTTAGCTTCAATGTCCAGCAGACGCATTTGACGAGAGGTCTGAACGTAGAATTTTGCCACGTAGTATATAACCAGGACGCAGACTGGGATTACTGCTGCTGTGATATAAGAAGATCCAACAAAGACTAAAAAACCTTCTATAATACAGCTTAGCACAGCATTGATTGTTAGCTCCAAGGCTGAAGGAAGCTCGTCATCAATGAGTTCGAGGTCTTGGCTAAATCTGTAGATAATGAACCGGATCAATAAAATGAGCTGATTTTTATAAAAGAATACCATGCTGACCTGTTTGTGGTGTTCCCAATATCCGTAGAGGTCAGGAAAGAGGTTGTGGCTCTGAGCTAGAAGTCAAAACAAGTAACACTTAACAATTGTTGTTCATTCTTACCCTATTGTAGTACGCAAGAGAATCTCATGGAATCCACGGGATGTTCTGGGCTGTATGATCATGGCGAGGATCCTATGAAGAGTTAGTCGTGGAAGAACACCTGGTTGAAAGAAAGTTTGGAATCACACCAAGTGCCGATGAAGGTAATTAGAAGTGAGAAGCAACCAAGTGCAGCATATACACCCAACCAATAATAAACATCTTCGTTGGGATGCTGTTCATTGGCATGAGTCCACCATTGTAGCCATATTTCTGTATGAACTGTTAGTAACACTTGAAGCTAGGTATTTAGGTGAATTTATTGGAACTGACGAGGAAAACTGAGACCAAGAATAAAGAGAACACAGCATGCAAAGAAGACCGATAGGAGAGGCCAGCCAATGTTCTGAAAATAGAAGCGATAGACAGTCCAGTCGCCAGTTCGTCCACTCAAATCCGTATTTTGGTCATCCAAGTTCAATTCCCGCAATGTTTCGTCGTCTAAAACAACATCGGGGGATTGAACAGTGTTGGCTGAGTAAACCCCATCCGACAGCATTTTAATGTAGCCATCGGAACTCATAAGATCACTGTACGATCCATGTTGGATGATTCTACCATCTTCATCCAACGCAATGACGCTATCGGCATAGAGAAGATGATGCGCTGAAATAATCAACTTACTGAATGGATCGCAAAGACATGGGACATATACAGACCTGAGTTTGTTGCCATAATTACTGTTTGCCGAGAACGCTTGATAGAACCATGTTGAGCAAACAAATTCTCTAGAATTATGCTCTCAGTTTTTTGGTCAAGACCCGTTAGGGCATCATCCAAAAGAAGAACGGGCTCTTTCGAGTAGAGAGCCCGTGCAAGCGCCTAGAGAAATTTGCGTTATTTAAGCTTTTCTCATGTATAGGGTTAGACTTACACACCACGCGTATTTGCTGCCCGCCACTGAGTCGAGAACCACGAACCCCCACTTTTGTCTGATCCCCCGCAGGAAGTTGTTGGAAGTCGGCTTGTAAAGTGCATGCCTTGTTGACCTGGTCGTACCATGGTTGATCCCATTGCGATGCACCAACAATATTTTCTTGGATTGTTCCGAATGTAATCCACGGCGACTGACTACAATATGCGGCATGATTGAAGCTGGTAGAGATTGAGCCAGAACATTCTGGGATCTCCCCCATGAGCAGCTTCAAAAAAGTAGACTTGCCACTGCCAACAGGCCCAACAATCATCGTAATCTTGGACTCATGGATGTCTATATTCAGATCTTTTAGCACCGGCTCAGTGTCAATTGACCAAGCTGCAGAGACGTTTCGAATAACAGCGCAGCGTTCGATATATTGTTCCCAGGACGAGGAATCTGCCTCAATTAGAGGAGTCCTGCTAGAAATTTGCGCTGATTGGGACTCCTGAGTATGGTGCTTTAGTCGATAGTCAACTCTTTCCCTTTCCGTAAGGTGCTTTTGGATCCTTTGAAAGCAGTTGACCACTGCCATCAGATCCTCAGAGCCATTCACAATAGAGCCCATTGGCTGATCCAACAGCGAAAAAAGTGTCAGCGCAGAAAAGGCCAGGCCGTTCGTCAGTGTAGTTGTGTTATTTGCTCGGGCAAGCATAGCATAAACACCAAACCCAAACATAGGGGCTAAACACGAAGAAGCATACCCTATATTATTAGCGAAAATCTCATAGATAGAGCCTAACATACCTAGTGTAATCCCTAATGTTTCGTAGAGTCGAAATGGAAATGAAGCATCGATTTCGGCGGATCGCAAATCTCGAAGACTGCTGGAAATAGTTTCTGTCAAGCCTGTCATCTTGATGTTTTTCATCACCCCAAGAACCTTTGAGGTAACAGTCACCCGCTCTTCGACAGCCTCAAGCCATATACCTTGTGCTTTCCCACAAGCAACTGCCAGTGGGACACCTGCAGCCAAACAAACTGATTCATGCTGTGTCAACTAAGGGGGTTTCAAAAGAAGAAAAAGATTGTAAGACGTACAGACAACAACCGCGGTAGACGCGATTGTCGCTACATTTAGTAGTCGTGCTAACAGCCACAGGGCCAATGCAACCTCGGTAAAATTGGAATATACTTCGTGCATCTCTCTGAGACTGCTTCCGATTCGTTCAATGTCGGTACTCATCAACGTGATGGCAGCAGTGTCTGATATAGCCGTAGTGCTCATCCGCAGAGTTTTGTCAAAAATGAGGGTGACTAGACTCCCTCGGACCATGGTAATAACGCGGTATGTCTTATGCTCATAAGCAGCATATGAGATCTATGAATAGTACTAGAATTAGTAAAGTTTTCTTCAAGCTATGAATGTATACTACATACGGCGATGCCAAGGTACACAATGGCGTAAGCACCGATGAGTCCGCAGGCGTAGTTGGCGGGGTGAACGTGTTCTGGTTCAGTCATAAAATTGAGCACACGCTCAACGAGAAATGGCTGTGTAAAGCAAAATCCTGTATATGCAAGCCGGGGTAAAACGCCCTCCAGAAAGGCCCATTTATAGTGAGATATGAAGGTCCATAAGAGTGAATTTTGATGATATTTGTTGGCTAGTAATTTGGATTAATTCATGATATGATAAAAAGATGTATGTAAAAAGCTCACCTTTTTCCCATTTTTCAAGTATAGACCGAGGATCTGAAGCAGCTGTGATGTCGCTGTCGAGGGCAGGAAGACTGTCAACTGTCAAAATATCTGTTGACCCGCGCCAAAGTAGTTCATTCAGCCACCAAAATATAGCGCGATTCAGCACCCCACTGGTCGACTCGATCGGGCTATTTTCATATCTCTTTTTAAGCAAAGTTCTCTTTTCTGTCGCCTCCAACCCAAGAATCATCGCTTTGATGAGCCATGATATAGCAAACAATATGGTCACAGTTTGAGTAGCGAGCAGGAAATACAAGGTTCGAAGGCGTACAAGGTCGAAGAGCAAGGTAAATATGAGGAAGATATTGATCACTGTGGATGGGCGTATTGAGCGTAGATGCTCAAGATGAGATAAGTAGGCCAGAACAAGGGAAATGATCACAGTCAAAAAAGTTGTAAGCAGAGTTGCTTTTGTTTTGGATGTGACAGGTTGATACCATAGGACTAGCAGGACCATATGACATCCCGTGTAAAGCAGCCACGATAACTGCGTGCTAGTTAGCACAAGGAATCTGGGAATACAGGGGCTTGAAACTTGAAGCCCTCTTTACCTCTTTCGCGGCATACAACCATGATCGGTTGGCCTTTTCCGGGACACTCGAAAGCTTCCAAATGCGAATGGATGTTGCCAAACAAACAATACCGATCGGGCCGAGGGTGAGAATACTTTCTTCAAACAAGAGGGTGAAATCAAATCCATGAAGACAAGAAGGAGGGACAATTGGGCCAAAAGCATCCATAGAGCAGGGGTCTAACATGGCTGTCTTTTGAGAAGGTGTGAAGATGAGGCTGAGTGTGGAGACCTCGGGAGGTAAATAAGTGTATCCACGGAAAGGCGCGAAAAGGCGGGAGATCATTGGTGCCTAAAATACGGGGCTGGACCCTTTTGACTCATACCTACTTGGGTACACTTTACCTTCCCTAGGTTGCATCGAAGGCGAGGCATCTTGATTATTTTGACATTTAAGCGGTTTAATCCACGGAGAATGGCATGGGATTGGCCTTTTGGTCAAGGCTTGGACTCGGTTCATTGTCTTGTTTTGGGTGTCCGAGGTCATGCTAGGGTAAAGTATACTCCATAGTTGGACTTGATTTGACTTGATTGGTCACTATTCCGTATTTTAGAAAAGAAATTCCAAGATGACGGAGAAAGAACAGACGCTACTGGGGACGCCCAACATGATTGGAGCGACATATTTTCCTATCTAGTATAAGTCGTAGCTGGGATTATTAAGTACTCTATATACCTCTGGAGTTCGCAGAATTGCAACTCTTATGCCGGTATACTCAGAAGAATCAAACTCAACCTTGGAACCTTTTAAAGCGCAGGTTCTTCCAAATTTTTTTGATCATATGTGGACCCTTGGCAATAACTGCCTGCCGAGCTTGTGCTCTCTATTCTGCACCAAACAGGATATTTCCCCGGAGTCGACAGCCTCCTCCAAGTCTCTCCCCATGTTGATACAGTCTTGCAGTCCGATTCTCTCCAGATCATCGAAGTAAAGTACAACATAGGGAGGGAAAAAAGGATGGGTTTTATACTGATTGCTAGCCGACATACTATTACAAACTAGGATTCATATTGTGATGTTATCAATACTGCACAAAGCTCGTTCGATTCCGATTTTTAACTTGGGGGCTCTGGCTCCTTGGTTGGAGACCATACCTATTTATGTACATATGTATCTCCTCGATTCTGTCAACAAAATCTAGGGGTTCTCGAAATACCAAGCGCACGCGCACACTCAGTAATGGCATCAATCACAACGATCAGCCGATTAGAAACCGCAATTAAACGACACGTCTAATATGAGTGGTCCGCCGCCACAAAATGTCTTCGAGTTTACAATACCTTTTTCAAATCCATCACACTTACGCTGACCCGATTATTTGAGCCATTTAGCACTCCAGCAGAATGCACAAGCAAGTATCGACCTCCGTTCTCCGACAGCACCCGCAGAGCCCGTGTGTAGCCGCTTTCTTCGGGCGAAGCGATCTCTGTCCACTCTCCTTCTCCAAGAGCTTTGTTAATAAACAGAGTACTCTGTGTACCGGAGCTGACGATGATGGTGCCGTTTTTTCCACCATAAGGTGTCCACACAGCGTACGGCGAAGACATAGGCTTAGTACCACTAGAGACAAGCAGGGGCCGGCCGGGGGCGGATGCGATCTTTTCCGGGTCGGACGACATGCGGTAGTAGATAGGGAAGGAGTAGCTTTCAGTACCGAAGAAAGAGCCATATTCATAAACGTAGAAGTATTGACCATTGGGGAGCTAGAAATGTCAGCATTCTCTTGGCATGGCACAGATCAATCGCAATGAAATCGGTGTCCTCGGTGTAGCTTACCTTGGTCACAACTGGCATGCCTGGGCGGTCGGTATATGTCGGGTAGGTAACATCCTCTACAACACGTCCCCAGTGCTTCAGATCAGTTGAGGTCTGGTGAACCATTGTCTGTCCGTAGGTTGCATTGTCCCGCTGATCCGAGTAATAACAAATCAGCTTGCCCTTGCTGTGAAAAAAGTTAGTGAGTAATTTCAAGACATGGTAGAAAAAAAAACATACTGAGCAAGGAGGAATGGCTCCCATACTGGAGTCAGACCATTGTTTGGCAGCGCTTCTCCTCCGGCAGCAATGTGGCTAACAAACTTCCAAGTCTTGCCGTCGTTCTGCGACGCATAAAGATCGATATTTGTGGTCGACAGGTCAGTCGGAATGCTACTGCCGGCTAGAAGTAGAGTGCCTTTCTTAAAGGAGCCGATGCGCTCGGGCAGATAGTAAAGGAATGGCTGATAACGCAGGCCAAATCCATTGGCAGTGTCATGGACCTTGGAGATCTCCTTCCAGGTCTTTCCGTGGTCCTGAGAGCGGTAGATAGGGAAGTAGACTGCCGGTGGCTCTGGAGAGTAGTTTTCCCATGTTGCAAGAATGTCGCCGTTGGGAAGCTGCTCGTTACGTGGGTAAAGAGTCCGCGGAATATTGTAGTTGGAGGGTGGTGTGAAGATGGTCACATCTGTGAGCGAAGTAGGGGAAGATTTGGAGCGCGGGATTGTCACTGCAACTGCAGTTGCAGCAAAAGCAAGAACCTGTGAGATTCTCATGTTTGGTATGTCGAAGCTAACTGGTATTTTATCTTCATTGGCAGCATGATCCCTGCTTTTATACCTCGATTACTTCAAAAATTTAGAGTTATTTCTACAGCGATATCAAACTCCGGGGTTATCCCGCCGGGATTGACCTTATTCTGGACTAAGTTAGGGTTGCTTCATCTAGAATTTCCATCAATTACATCCGGCCGTACTCCCGTAGAAATCCGGGGAAATATTATGTAAGATGACATCAATTCGTTGCCCAGGCGCTCTGGTCCACGTGATACCACGTGATACTATATGAGTCACGTGATATATACATGACATGGAGAAGCCCCCTATTTTCTCTTGAAAATATACATATAGACATTTCTTCCCTTGGAAGTACAACCAACTCAGAGCATGGGACTCGGGATTTTTAAGGGGCTATGAAGGGTTGGAGGTGTAGAAAATAACTGACAACCTCGTATCGACCACAATATACCTTGAAATTTAAACCTTCCAAGTCTACGCCCATTGGGCAGCACAAGCCCCCAGGCAGTTTGGCCCCGACCAGCCGCATCCAAATTTAGCGATGCCCAAAACGTCGACCAATGATGAACGTGGATCTGCACTCCAGTGCTAAATACGTTGCCTATCAGCACACAGCCTTCCAGCATCGCCTTGATTTGCTGGCAACCAACATGTTTGAAAGTGATTGATTGGGAGAAAGTTATCTTTAATTTCCGGAATCCATGCAGCTTAAGGCTGAGTTAATACTGGATACTGGAAACTTATATACCTTAGTTTTCTTCCATGCTTCTCATTATTCAAACTGCCTTCTAAGATTTCACACTTTGAAACATCCGAAACAAAAATATCCTTTTCCATAGGAGTGTATTTGTCTGAAGATGGCACCCACAGGCCTCGCACATCGGCCAAAAAGCCAGTTGACAGAGAAATTGCAGCGATCGACAAGGAACCTCGTTGGCCGTTCAACAGCCGTGTGGGATGATTCAAAATATCGTTATCGTCAATCGACAATGGAAATATGGCACAAATCAGCAGACACATTAAATGATTCGAAGGATCGGTGTCATCGGTCAGCTAGATCGATGCTATATCGATCAGTGTCAAAATGGAACCAATCGGCAGATCAGTTATACCGAGTCGCCCGTATTGAAGACACGAAACAACATGTTACAGCAGCGCGTGATGAACAAACCCAAGAGCAAAAGCCCTCACAATCACGATTTTACTCACGGGCACTCAACTCGCAACCAACAAACCCATCTCCAACCCCCGAGACCACATCGCCCTCTACAACAGTGAAGCCAATCAAATCTGTCTCGGTCACTGGGTCTTCACTATCTCCGGAGGAGCAGATAAAGGCCCTGTACGAAGCAACTGTCCTCGTCAATTCTATGGCGAAGCAGGCAATACACTTGCGGGATGGCAAAAAGACAGTCCTGGGCGAAATTGAGCTTGAGTGGATCAACTCGACTATCACCGATGCCAATAATGCCGCTAATGACTTAGCTGCGTTTGTGAAGCAGTTCAAACCAACCAACCTCCGAGACCGCAATAGTTGGCAGCGTCGTGACTATCAACTTGCCCTGAAAAAGGAATCTCGCATGCTTCTGTCTCGTCGCAAAGTCGAGACGGTTCTTGACCACCTTCGCTCACTACCAACCAGTTTAGGCAAGGATGACGCATTTTTCTCTCCGTCTGAGCTTTCAAAGGTCGCTCCTGCAATCTCAGAACTCCCATGTGAGACGAATTTCATATCTGTCTTCGAGCTTCCATGTTTATCCCCTGTGAAAGCTGAGCGGCCTGTACCGAAAATTATTGTGACACAACATGATGGTGATAATAACGACAATGACGTATACTCCCATACCGATGAAAGTCCTCCCCCAAGCTACGAAGCAAGCAGGGTGAATAGCCCGGCAGAGTTACAGTGAATTGCATCACTGCATAGCTTCCGAAGATTGGATGAGGAACGATATGATTGCTATGTAACTTATGATACCACACGAATAATGAATCAGTATCTTATTGCTTTAAGCTAAATTAAGTTCCCAAGTTACAAATTTCTTGGCTTCTATCAGTCCAATTTTTCTGTCCTGTCAATTAAATCTAAAAAAGCCCCAACCATAAAGATATATACAGAGTGGACACCGTGAACAATATTTAAAGACGTGACTGAATATCAAGTGCGTTGATCTCCTCAGTCACAGTGTTGACTGCCTCAACCGCCATTCCATACCCAGCCTGGTAGCCAGTTCCACCGGCGCCATAGTTATGAACAACAACCCCCCGGCGTCCTGTAACACCTACTTGCACATTTTCCCTGGCAACACGAGCCCCACCCTCGCGAGATGGGCGTAATCCAGCAAAAGCACCAAGAATCTCAGTCTCGTCTGAGTTTAGGACAGGAAGCAAAGCTTTTGTTCGAGACAGTATTGATTCTGTCTCTTCTCCGAAGGTATCCGGTGTACTGTTGATATAGTTCAGTTACTGTCATATGGAACTCCAAGAGAAAGCGATAATGAAATTATGCTGTTCTGAAAAGGGGCTGAAATGACTCTACTTACCCAACGTTCTTTTGCATAAATCCACCAAGGATCACGTTTCCATTCGAGTATGGTCGAGGAATCACATAAGTCTCATAGTCCTTGCCATGTCTCATGATATTTTGCTGAATATGAGAGGCTCTTGCAAGTAGAATCTGACCTCTAGTGGGGAAACACTTTGAGTCCTGGACGCCCGGTAACTCTTTTGCTGCATTTCCAGTGCAGTTGAATACCACCTTGGTATCCTTGCTGAGATAGCCGGACGAGACATGGGGCAACTTCTTGCGAATAACTCGCACTCCATATTCTTTCGTGACCTTCTGAAACAAATATCGAAGATGCATTGGTGCATTGAGTGTTACTGTCGTGAACTCTATGCCAAATGCAACACCTGCTGGCAGGTCCTGTGTGGCAATCTCCTTGAACTGTTCAATGGCAATATCGATAAGCACATCTGGGATAAGCAAGGAAGTCGACCATAACTCACATCTTTGAGATACGCAGCCATTGAGTCAATCTTTTCACGGGATGGTAGCTCATCCCAATACTCCACTGAAGGTGTTTCCTTCACAAACGCATTCTTGCCATCCTTGGCTGCGAGATTGAGAAGATACATATATCCAAGCTTGTCCCACCGCAAAGCGTTAGGATCACTTGCAGAGATAGCAGAGAAATTGGCACCAGCCCTAAATTCCGGTTAATCTTTTGTGAATGTGAACTGACAGCAGGAGTTTCAACGAACCATGGTGAAGTGTAATTTATCGAAGTGTCTCCTGGAAGATGCTCTGCAATGATGGTTGTGTGCCGACCATAGCCTTTTTCAGCGAGAACGAGGGCTACATTCAAGCCGATTATGCCGGCCCTTATAGAAATCAGTACCAAGATTCCGAAACAGTCGTCGCGTGTTTTAACCTACCCGATGATCACAACAGATTCGCTTTTCATATTTTCGAGTGACTTGATTGACAGTGAAAATGAGCCTTGTTATTTATTCCTTACGCGCTACCTTTGAAAGCTTTAAATACTTTACAGTCAAGGGCAGTTTTTTGGATTATGTGGTCTGATGTTGATTTGAGCCGCGGCAAAGTCCGCGGTGCATTGCCCGCGGGTTGATTCAGCGGATCCGATTGGCGGCATGGCTGACGGGGATAGGCGGGGCTAAGCGGTACCGCTCTTCATTGGTCAATAGATAGTACTCAGTAGGAGCCTCATCGCGGCGGACAGCAACATACTAATTTCAAGGTCCGATAATCATCATATGGCTATGGAGCCAACTCAGAGAAGAACATACTCTACAATTATTAAGTGAGATAATGTAATTTCTATTAATCTATAGTCATTAACTTCATCTGACGAAAAAATGCAGTTTCAATATTGTATGGCAATTTGGTGTAACTAACTGACTAACTATAAATCACAAAAAAAACATATGCACTTTTATGTGGGATTTTCTACCCCGTGGTTCGTTGGTATTTTGGAAAATACCCTGCGTCTGACTGTGTATCCGCCATTAGATTCAACACAATCCATCGTTTCAAATAGGACAAGTTGTGTGGAGAAGAGCTTAACCCTATAGGCCTCAATAGACTCGAGAGCATGCCGTTAATGGATCGAGATAATCTTCTTCCGAAGCGCCAGCAGTCCCACGTTGCACTTTTGTTCAATATCGAGTTTGCTCCAAGGCACGCCCTTCACCAATGGAGTCTCATCCGAATCCAAGAGCTTGTTGTACTCTTCCACCTTAAACTTGTCGCTACCATAAAATCTCTGGATCTTGGATGCGTCGCTAGTGGGAGGAGATGCCTCCAAGATTTTGCGCAAAATATTCAAAATTCTTTCCTCACTTTCATCATCTGTGGCTGGCGATTCGAGATGGTCGGAGATACCTGAGTCTATGCGTTTGATGAGGCTGCCCATAGTGACAATTTGTTGTTGCTATAACTCAATCAGCACTTCCAGATGCTTCGCCATCATCCAAGCAGCAAGCTACACTTACATCCATAAGACGCCAGAGGCGGTAGTCCTTCACAGTGCTTGCCCACTGAGAGGGGCTACATCAATCCCGGTTAGACAAAATGAACAGACGGAATCATATACAAGGGGAGCATACTTGGTACAGAGCAAGGTATTGCCCCCACGGGCTTCCCAAGCAAGTTGCAAATCCTGGTGTAACTCTTGCTCGCTGGCAGTCTCCTCCTTTGAATTGGTCTTGGCAACGCTAGCCCCGCCGCTGGCCCAGGGACTTGAGACGCTGAGTGCCGCTGCAGCTTTCATCTTCTCTTTAGTTGTCGTAACTGAGGATTGTTCCGCCTGTGTGAGGATCCGAGAGCTGTAAAGTTCTCCACCTACAGCGAAGTTGGTCACAAAGGCGTTTCCTAGAAACATTGAAACGTTGATCAGCATATCAAATTCTATAAGTTCACATGTAAGAGATAAAAAGTGTGTCTCACCATAATCGCGATAGAAGTCATCCACGTCCTTGGCATTGGATGTCGCTTTCGCATCAGCAATGCATTGAGGTGTGAGACGCAGACAGAAGTCATCCAACTCAATTACTGCTCGTGGAAACTAGACAGATAATCAGAACCGCTGAATATCTCATTTAGTTGAATTTGACTTACCTTGTAGGCGATCTCTAGTTTCTGTACAGATTTTTGGTTGGTATTTTTGGTTGCGTTGGAGCTCTCTTCCTCATATGCTGCGGAGGCAGATCCACTAACTCCGAAGCCTTTGGCAGAGCTAGATATGGTTTAGAAATGGTTTAAGATGGGCACTTGAGTCACTTACAGATTGGCTTCGATGGCAAGGGAACTAAAACCTTGACGTGCCATACTGGACTGGAAAGCATCAAGCGTCTCGGTGACAAAAACTTTGGCATCGTCGTGAACAAAGAATGGAGGGACTGGGGGCACAGGATCCTAATGGCAGATTATTAGTCCATGAGCAACATGGAAAGTGTGATGAGGACTCACAAGCCAGTCAGCAGAACCCTGATTGGTCTCTTCATCAGTGGAGAGTGACACGATTTCAAAAGCTTTTATCTTGTTAGCAGTGAATAGCCTATTTTTATCAACGCATATATCCTAAAACATACCCTGCTTCCGTGCCTTGCGAAGAGTTACTTTCCCGGGGGCAGCATAGTATCCGTGTAGAGCCCTATTGTTCATCAGAACGCGCTCCCATTGCTGTTCTGTCAAGTCCATTGGCTCAGGAAACTGTTCCGTTCTAGGGATTATCAGTAAACAGAACCCCAGGAGCTACACTACACACTGGACAACACACCCAGCAGCTGTAGCAAAATTCATTGAATCGGCAGTCAACTTCGCAACAGTGTCGGACAACTTCTTCAGATCCTCCACCGCAGCCGCATCTTTCCCGTCGAATTTGCCAAGCATATTCTTGAGTTCTTCTTGTAGTTTGGATTGCTCAACATGCGGCTTAGGCTTGTTCATAGTGGCGCTAGTGATGAGCTTGACTCGAGCCACAGGGATTCTGGTGCTGCTGGCCGGCTTTTCAGCCCCATCTTTCTTTTTGTCGGTTTCATTTCCTTTGCTAGCATCGCCATCCAAACTCTTTCGAAATGCTTTAGTATAAAGATATAATTATAGAAAAGTCAGAAAGAAACAAACCTCTCCAGTCAAAGACAAGTAATATTCAAGAGTAGTCGTATCGGCGATGTAATTTTTATCATCTGCCGTAAATCTCAACTTCTTTGATCTGTAGAATCCCAGGTGGTATTAGCACAGGCTTACTATACTCTGCCAAAAGGTTATTACTGACACAGAAGCCTTCTGACGGATTAAGGCCAGAGTGATCTTGGAAGGATCACCACTGCCGATCTCAGAACTGGGGAACGAGGGGAACGGGGCTCCATCCTTGCTGTCAAGCACAATCTGGAACTTGAGAAGTTTGCCGTCAGACATAATTGAGTGCTTCACGAGGCAAAGTAGAAAAAACAAAATTGATGTTTGATAAACGAAAAAGCAGGTTCCTAGGGACGATATATATAGACTTGATCAAGTCCTTCAAGCGGTCATGATAATTACACGGAAACCGAAGGAAGAAAGGCTGAGTAGCTAAACAACACTGTCAATACAATAAATTCCTCATGCACAGAGTGGAACTAGTATCTAGTTGCGATCGACTATTCATTTGCAGGGACACGCTAGAAGACGGTGAAAGATGAAGAGCGAATTGACCCTATAGCAAGCCACCTATGTGCCTAAGCTCATCTGGAGTCTCCATAGCACTCGATGCTTCCCCTCATACTAACCATACCAAGCGAACATACTTACTTTCTGAGATGTCTCGTGCAGGTGAAATGAACTGCAAGTACGGAATACCCGACATTTGAAAAGGTTCAGCTATCATATATCAAGCCACTCTAAAAGTGGAACTCAGGGGTGTGGGGACAGCCAATCGTGTGCGAATCAAGTCCTTGCCTACCTATGTAGTTACCCCTACCACACGATGATCTATACTGAGTACGATGGGCGTCCATATTCAGCTGAAGATGTAGTCTCGTAATAACATAAATCACAATGCATGCATAAAAAATGCATGATTATTTGGTTTTTGTGCTTTTGGATTACTTCAACTGCCTCAGCCAGCCAAACCTCAATGACCAACACCATGGACCCCTCTATTCCAGCGAACTCATGTAATAGATGACGTTTCCATGCTTCTCTGCCTACTTAGCTGCCCCTACCAAAACGACGATCCATACTGAAAACGTACTCTCGTTACAAGATATATCACAACGCATACAAAATGTATACTAATTTGGCCTTTGTGCTTTCGAACTCTTTTCAGCTGCCCTCCGCCAGCCAAACTCCACTGGCCAACACCATGGACCCCTCTATTCCGGCGGACTCATGCAATGGATGACGTGTCTACGGTTGTACAGTATACACCTTTGTCAAGATCAATGCGAAGCACAGCAATAGTGCATGGGTATTTGGGAGGGAAGATATCCACTAGTCATGCCGAAAAAGTATATGAACTGCCTTCTCTCCGCGCTTCAATTGATATAAATCCAAAATCAGGCTCAACGATCGCATAACCAGAAACTTCTACAACTCCATTAGCTATCTTGATTGTTCATCATGTCCGAAGAGTGGAAGCCCATCGACCACAATGAAGTGAAGAGCAAGGAGGCGTTCGAAATGGCTCTCGTGGATTCACCGAACTCTGTTGTCAAGGAACGGCCCGACCAGAGTACCAATCGGTTTATTCTGCAGACCGACGGGTTCCATGGTATCTTGTTCCACAGATGAAGAACCTCTCAAGAGACTTATTTAACTAATTCTCACTAGATTTGCAGCGGTACGTTAAATCGGGCATGAGATTCCCCAAGACCAGGGATACTTTCGAGAAGGATATGCCCGAATCCTACTTCAAGAGCCTGAGTGACATCGATTCCGGTATATATGCGGTATGTGAGCATCTATGATATAAACGTGTATCACGGCTAATTATTTGTGATAAATAGTTCACGCGAGATTCTATCATCTCGATTTCTGTCAACTGCAATGATTTCAATAGCAATGGGCTTGGAAAACTTGGTAGGTGGTTTCATAAGCTCTGCTTCGCCCCTATCTTTTACTAAAGATAATCAGTGACCTCGGCCAATGGTGCAATTGCGTACGCCACTGAAGCCATGGATATGTTGAAACTCGAACCAGAGACAAATTTCAAAGCACAGCTAGCAGTGCTTCTAGACCCCAAGTACAAGACTGCACCAAAAGACGAAGCCTTTGATGAGGCGCGGGAAGGTGCAAAAATGGCCCTTGAGCAACTGCGAGACACAGCCCGAGAGAAGAAGCAGGATGCGGAGGACATGGTAGCGTTGCTAACCGCGGTGGGCAATTTTGAGCCTTTCTTTCTTCCGATTCTCCAATACTAACAGGATAATGCAATAGTTCCATAATAAAACGGCTGCGGACGAGAAGAACGCCATATTGCTCAAGCAGGAATATTTCGACGGGCCTGTTATCAACATTCAATCGAAACAGGAAATAAAGGGCCAAATCCCATATTCTGGTTTCCTGAATGCCGAAGTAGCGCGACTACTCAAGTTGATCAACGATTCGGTCATTAAACGGGACGACGCTTATTCGAGATGGGTAATTGACTACTTCTCTCACCAAGTATTATCCTAACTAATCACCAATTCAACAGGACAAAGCGAAGGACGGGGCAATCGTTTCAGCTTTCTTCGGAGTCTTTGGTTGGATCGCCTCGGGAATCCTCACAGACCGTGCCATTAAAGCCAGGGCACAGTATGATGACTTGGTCAAGCAAATTGAAAAGGACCGTGCCGAGCAGGCTGTTACGGTAAAGCTCATGGAGTGCATCAACACTGTTCTCTATCAGATGAAAGACCTGCTTCCAATGATGACCAAGGCCCTTGCCGCTATGAAAGAGCTACAAGGGTTGTTCAACTCCCAGCAGCTGAGTTTCGATATCATTATCCAAGATTTGGATGGCATCGGTAAGGGAGTCCAAGCCAGTGCACTAAAGTGGAGAAAGGCGTGGATCGAGAACAGGATTGACAAAGCTGTTGAGAAGTATCGAGAGGTATGCTTCTATAATTACCGTCGACTGCTATTTGAGAAACGCTGATAGGCCTACAGATAAAAGAGACTGCGGAAGAATTCCAAAGAAGCGCAATTGCCGACACTAGTTAATAATGAGCCCTTCGCAAAACCCAATTTGGGGCCAAAATCACGATCCGGCACCCAACCCAGACTCGGTGGCTGGGGCCCGAGACAACCAAGTCTAGGCACAGGTTGAACCCAATTTTGTGTGAAAACGTAGGCTTGGTGTTCATCTTTCAAAACTAGAATACCATTCTTTACATTCTAACACTCATTTGACCAATATCATATTCCAAGTCCAATTCCGAGATCCATTGTGTGTAGGTAGTAGTAGTAATCTAGTAGTAGTAATCTAGCCTGAAGATAAGAACTCACTAATAACCAATACTACACACATATACCTACATTCTATATATAGTTAGCCACAATCTCACGCAATTCTCAAAACTCAGGCAAATAAACAAAATACAAACTGTAGACAAGCGGAGATACCTCGGCGGGGGTATCTCGGTGGTCGGGTGAGACTCGGGTCACAATTTTCAAACCCCTGCCATCTCATCCTTATCTCAATTTAGATATAAAGTCTAGATCGCCGCTTAAATATATATCGAAAAAAAAATCAAGAATTTTTACAAATTCTTGCATATTCTCAACTCATCATGTCTGAACATATAGATTCACACGAATCTACCCCTAAAACAAGCATGTCACAGTCTTCCTCTGTCGAGGATCTCAACGCCACTCAGGAGAAGTCACATGCCTCACCTCTCCAGCGCTTGAAAAAACAATGGAAGGAGATAAAAAAAGATTGGGGACCTCTCATGGCGGCCAAAGAGGACATGGATGACGAGTACACTTTCCCACCCGGCCGTCATTATGGGCAAAGATAGCTTGACAATTGTGAGTGTTTTGTAGTATACCACATCATGGTCGAACTTGTCTAATGTTTTTTTTGGCAGAAATATACAGGACTCACTATTTTTTTTGTCAAGACGGCAAAAGAGTGGGAATTTTCTTCGACCCAGGGAACGCTATTCCTAATAATTCAGCGATCGCGACATGCAAGATATGCGACCTTCCTACTATCAACCTGAACCCCCCAACTGCTTTCCAAAGCACCCTACCTTCACGATATCAACGAACAATTTCAAAATGATGGCGTTTGCTTTGTGGAACACAAGCGGAGACTATTTTGCAACATGGCGTTCGTTGCCCTTTTTTGAGGGTCGCATTTTACTGATGGTCTTCCTGGAATGTTGAGGATTTGGCTGTTTCCAAGACCTATAGATAGCCTCTTTCTCTCTTACCTCTCTTATAATCTATAATATCCTAATGCATATTAGTTGCGCTTCTCTCTTCTCTCTCCTATTGATACATTTACCTATCTGAATTTTGATTCCGAAGAGGGAGCAGGTAAGAGAATGGCGTTGAGAATGGCGTCCGTCCTTCACGGCGTAGATATATTGGGCCCAAGATGATATTTGGGCCGTGATATGTAAGAATATCCCAATTTGTTTTTAAACGTATACGGAGGCTGTAGGGGGCATAAGTTGCAGACTTTTCTATATATAATCTTTGACTGCGTTGAAGGTTGGTTTGAGTGCATAGTGTTCGCCTAAGTATCGAGGCACCAAGGCACTGATAGTGGAGAAATGATGGCCCCGGGGAGTCCCGAGGTTTGTGACACATGCTAAACTCTAAATTTAGAAGGATCCATGGAACATGACTCGGGGACATAAATTTTCTATTCACATCGGTTAGGCATCCATAGGTCCTTCGGGTTTCTGGCCGTAAACCACCCGCAATTTCGTGTATAGGTGATGCGATGTATCTCGCAGCTCCGTTCGAATTCCTGCCAACAATCCCTCGATTTCGGCGCGTGTCCACCCAAGCACTCTTGAAAACAACGCATATGTATAAATAGGCATAGCTTCAAGCATGTTGAGTTGATGGTACCGACCAAGCTCTTTGAGCTTGGGGTCTTTGGGCCATGGACTTTGGGGCAGCTATTCAACAATAAGCATGGGGGTTCATTTCATCAAGGAATGGCGGAACATGCCTTATAGATATCTTCTTTGACATTCACAAACCCGGCCTTCTCCATCCGTTCTTTCCAGGTTTCGGAGGATGTCATTTCCTTTCCAAACATGCGTGATGATTCGTGCATATGCTTAATGGATAACATAAAGTTCGTTGCGCGGAGGTGAGTTCCGTCATCCGAATAAGTATTGACGTCGAAGCTTGCCATCTCAAACCATCCATTGGGATTCAGATTGTCAAGTGCCTGTTTGAAGAGCATATCATGGTCACGGATGGAACCTTCCAATTCGCGCCCATGGATATAGTCAAATGGCTTGCTGTATGACCATGGTTGTTCAAAGTCATCAATCTCAAAGCGGCAGTTTGGAGGCACCCTAGTCATACATTAATATTATAAAAGGGGACAGTATAATAGCAGTGACACGAACCATGATGGCTGAATAGCGCTTAGGTCAATTCCTGTTTCAATTAGCAAATGGTTTAACCGGCTTATAGATATATGCCCATACCAATTATCTGTGAGTTTGGGTGTGTACTATATTGCTTGTTAGTAGTAGATTTGACAGAAATCCTAGAAGAGAACCTACTCTGCATATTCGATTGCCCATAAACCTGTTCCTGTCCCGAGATCTAGTACTCGCTTTGGACTTTGGACTGGTGCTTGGCACAATTCTCCTTTGAGGATCATTAGATAAATGTGGTGGCTCTGCTGCCCATTAATATCTTGTGTTTTCGGAATCAATAAAAGTGAAAACCAACCAGATCAAGGCGATCTTGCTCCCGTTCGTCATTTGGCTGTTTGAACGTCAGTCTGAGATAGAGGCTCAACGTTTACATGGTCACGTACCAGAACGTATTCTCCTTCATGGTATGAGTGATATCTGCGACCGTTCTGTATCTGATCAGCACAGTTCGTGATCCAGTAGCGAGGTAGCACACTTCATATCTGCGATTATTAGCAACTACCGAGCAAATGGTTCCGCCACATTAACATACTGATAGTCTAGCACGCTCGATGTCACACTTGTGGTGTAACTGGCATTGTCAAGTCTATCATGGTCAGCAGGATATACACATCGTTACAGATCACTGCTCTTACGAGTCACAGTATAACGAGGCACCTTCGGCGTCGGACTAACGATGTTAGTTGAATAGGCAAGGGAAATGATGCATAAAAAAAAAAGAGATTTCATGAAATACTAACGTCGGGCTCGACCGGAGTCGATGCATGGTGCGAATCTTGACACATCTTCGATATTTTCGATCTACAAGACAGCATACAAACGTAGCGAAGCGCGTTGGAAACAATTGGCGATAGGGATCAGAAAAAAGCGAAAAGTAAAAACTGCAAAGCACACCGACTGCCGTCTTATGACCCCTCTGTCTTCAAGGCAGCTGTTAGCGTCCCAGGTTATCGGGTCAAGCGCTACGACGTTGAATTCAACGAACATTCGTACCGTCAGCGGGATAAGTGGCTCCTTGCGTAAAGAAAGCTACCACAAGATGTACGTTTTTCTTAATTTTTGGGGTACATATCCCGCACAACGGTTTTTAATGGGCGTTAGTTGGATAATTTGAGTGGTTAGACAACACCTAGCGCATTGATCGCTCCAAGCTGATTAGCCCACTTCTGTGCGATGACCCGCAGTACCAAAAAGGGGTTATTTCTTGGCCAATCAGGGGTGCATTGCAACGGGTCAAGGTCCCTGGATGTAGTTTGTGCCAGCCACAACCCCATTGGATTTGAATGATATCAACTTACAAAGTACGTACTTATGCACTATGCAATCTGACGATAACTTAAATATAATAGCATGTTAATACCTTGTGTTGAAAGAGTCAAGTGTGCAAACTCAACTACCTAAACTAGGTCCGTGCAGTGACTCCAGGGCTAGAGCGGGGCGGGACAACGTAATTGCTTGTAAGGACCTCCGTACTTTTGCCCAAATTCTCGTATCCATGTGAGAAAATTGTTCAATTCGCTGCTAATCACACAGTTTTGACACCATCGGTTCCGAGAACTTGGTTGCCAGTAGAAAGAAGTGAAGAACAAACTCATCCCACTCACCGTACGGAGTAATGATAGTCGCTTCGGCACGAGTCTCAATCATCTTGTTCGGGGATTGAGAAATTTCCCATTTATGCAGACTGGTACATGCCTACATATGTATGTATATTCCCGGTTGTACAGCATTAGGCATATACTACTCCGTAGTTGTTCTAGAACTCAATTTAGTTGGCATTGTCACGTGTTAGGGTGGCGACTTTGAGGCTGTACCTTCCCCAAGGAAGACTGTTGATCTTCAATATTAATATATTTCATTCCATCTATAATTACTCCAGGGCTATAAAGTATACTTACCATACCAAACGGTCAATAATACAACATTTGAAAGAATAACAAAACTTGGAAGCAAATGTTCAAACCTCGGCCCGCCAGCCCGCCAGCCCGCCAAAACCTACCAAGTATCAAATAAAAGTCAAAGCCGTTTTTGTCATGATCGCATGCTATTTTGTACTTTGTACGCTGAAGATGCTTTCAGACTTCAGTGAATCCCATCAATGGCGTCCACCTGGGTAACCTGTGTAGATTACCTAATTGGGTAATATTTTCCAAGGTTCCTGAGGTCCTGGGTTGAAATTGACCTCAAATTTCCCCCGCATTGTCCTTCGTGTGCAGGGATATTCTCCAGCGCTAAAAGCTAGTGATGACGTAAACATGCTTAAACCGTTCTATTGGTCTTTAATCATTTCTTGCTCTCATGCTGCTTCAGTTGCTTGGTTTGATTATCATGGCCAAAAAGGCATTAAAATGTCGGTATTCTTACTCTCTGGGGATTTCGCTGCCATTGGTGTCCATTCGCGTGGTGACCCGCTAATTGATACATCATTCACTAGTTTACCTATCTACTCCACTCTCATGGGTATGTAATCCCTATTTTGTATGTTTGAAAAATTTTCAATGGCAGGGGAGGGTGTCTCTTCCTTCCGTGTGAAAGGCTTTGCCCTACTTCTCGGTTCGTTTAGCACTCCTCTAGCCCAGGGCTCGAGGGCTCAGAATCCAATGATTCGATAGAGATTCCGACTTTTTGACCTATAATAGGCTACCTATCTAAATCATGTTACATGGATGGCACTCTACGGGAGATGTACCTGTTCGAAATATTCTACTCGCCTGGGGAATGACCCGTCCTATTTACGTATTTCGTCGGATATTTCCCGCTGCAAGTTCGCGACGTCGGTTTGTCGTAGGTGGAAGTGACCACTTGGTGCTTTAATTTCATTTCATCTTTCACTTGGCCGCATCGGGTCGATTCTTTTAAGTCTCACGGTTCTTTCAGCTTCGTCACCTATCCGAGACTGAAAATTCTAATATTTTCTCTTCAGTCTTGCGGAATTAGGTGATATAGTATCCAAGGCAAGAAAGAAGGGAGAAAGAATGCATAATGACTAGATGCTGCAGAGATAGAAGGTAGGGTAGCGATTCGTTATCCATGTGCCGCAACAGGTGTTCTCAGCTGAACAGGGGCGATTTAAATCGGCTATGTGATATGACGGCTGTATTGTTGAATTCGGCTTCGTTGACACGATATGATGCCAGGCAATGTAATTACTAGCTCTTCAGCCGGTGACATCCATTTGGACGTGTCCACATCATGCGATAGATCGCGGTGATCATTTAATGGTCAAATAAATCATGTGTTTTCATTTATACGATAGACGGAGGGGGGAAATGAATGAAATGTGCACAAGGGCTATATACATCGAACCTCTTGAGTAGTGCTATTGATTTCCGTTGTCAAATTACTCAAGTGTTTTGCTTAGCACAACGCCATACCAGATCGTAGCAACGAGGCTGACCAAGTTGACCAAGCTTGAGATGCCATGTACGCGGCCGAACTTCTTGTTCAGGGCCAGCATCTCCTTGGAGTGAGGCGCCGGGTCGTAGCTCCTCTTTCCATCACGGGTTTCTACAAATGTTAGAATATTCAATTCTTTTTTACCTGAAACATCGTGCCAGCGGCTAACGCACCTTGATGCTTACGCTCGCGCATCACATTGATGGTGATGGGACGCAACACGAACATGTTCATCAGCCCGGTCACTGCCACAGTTGCCAGAGGCAAGAGGGTATTAAGTTGGTTCTCAGGCGCAGTGAGACCAGACAGACCCAATACCTGTCCGCCGTGGGAAGCAGTCAAAGCAACCACTACCGGCAGCGCAGACTGCAGTGAGAAGTAGATGGGGAAGATGGCGGTCTGCAGACTAGCAAACTGGGGCCGCGGAAGAGCGCGGAAAGCAACAAAACCTCCGACAAAAGTCTTTGAATTTGTTAGACAATGCTTTTGGAGAGGACGATTCGATATGCGCCTGGTTCAGATATCAATCTCACCTGGAAGAACTGTGTCCCCAAAAGGGTGCCATAGCTACCTCATTTATTAGCATATGGGCCATAATTAAGTTAATAAACAAACCTTAGAACGTGGTAGGGGCGAGGATCCATGATTTTGGGATATGTCGTGACTTTGGGAAAGTTGAAGTGCTGATAAAGTTGATGTGAGGTTGCATCGAGGGGAAGAAGTGGTACTTATCGCGACGGTCAGATTCTTAATCAAAACTTTATTTCCACTGCCAAACAACGGAGGTGACTTATAGCAACGCACAGACCATCAAACACCACAAACACGTTGTATGATGTCATGTGCCTTCGCGTTTGGGTCTAAACCGCAAGTGGAAATATCACGCGTCTGCCTGTTGTCTTGAGCCTCAAGCAATTTTGGTTTGCCATTTTCCCAACATCATCATCATCATGGCGGAGAAAGAGGCTACAGTTTACATTGTGGACATGGGGCGGTCGATGGGCGAGTGCCACCATGGCCGTCCTATGACAGATCTTGAATGGGCCATGCAGTATGTCTGGGATAGGATCACCGCCACGGTATGTAACTTGACTTTGTTCAACGCCAGAGAATTGACAATTCCAGGTTGCTACCGGTCGAAAAACAGCTACAGTTGGTGTGGTTGGCCTCAGGACAGATGGTGAGTAATAGCCTACCAGTCAGCATGCATTGGGAGCCCGGGAGCCTCGTCTCATGTTTGGAACAGGAACTATCAACGACTTGGAAGAAGAGAACTTCTCTAACATTTCTGTCCTCTTTGGTCTTGGCCAGTATGTGTGGCATGATGAATTGACTGTTTCATGTTGAATAACTTGACTAAATTGGCGTTCAGGGTCCTCATGCCTGATATCCGGAAACTGCGAGAAACGATCAAACCTAGCAAGACTAACAGAGGTGATGGTATGTGACAGTTGAAACCCCATCGGGCTACTCATTCTAACTTCATATAAGCCATCTCTTCTATTGTCATTGCCATGCAGATGATCATTGAGTACACTAAGAAAAACAAATACAAGCGCAAGATCGTTCTGGTGACCAATGGTACCGGTACGATGAGCGACGATAATATCGAAGGTATCATCGAAAAGATGAAAGAAATCAACATCGAGTTGGTGATAATGTATGTTTCTTGCTGTTGTGACTTTACATTCGTGCTAATACTACCCAGTGGTGCTGATTTTGATGACGCTGGGTATGGTGTAAAGGAAGAAGACAAAGACAGCCGCAAGGTACTAATACACCCCCAATGTGTTCCAATATTCATGTTGATCGAGTTCTCCGTAGGCTGAAAATGAGACTCTTCTCCGAAGTCTTACTGAGGACTGCGAAGGCGTTTACGGAACGTTGGAGCAAGCTATTTCGGAATTGGATATTCCCCGCATCAAAGTGACGAAGAGCATGCCATCTTTCAAAGGAAACCTCATGCTCGGCAATCCCGAAGAGTATGACACAGCAATGACCATACCTGTGGAGCGATATTTCCGAACCTACGTCGCCAAGCCAATCTCGGCGAGCTCGTTCGTGCCACGCTCCGGCACCGAAGCCGGAAGTCAAGTACCGGGTAAAGGCAATGTTGAAGGCGACGGTCTTACTTCAGTGCGAACATCACGGACATATCAAATCACAGACGAGTCCGCGCCAGGGGGTAAGATCGACGTTGAGCGCGATGACCTCGCCAAGGGGTACGAATACGGACGTACAGCAGTTCCTATCGAACAAACTGATGAGAATGTTGCGAATCTACAAACATTTGCTGGTATGGGGCTGATCGGGTTCGTTGGGAAGGATCAGGTGTGTCTCCCTACAAACCCCGAGTATTATAGCAGCTAATCCTGTCACTTAGTATGACCGCTACATGCACATGTCCAACACGAATATCATCATTCCTCAGCGTGCAAATGACAATGCATCTCTTGCGTTGTCTTCTCTCATTCATGCACTCTACGAATTGGAGTCCTATGCAGTTGCCCGATTGGTGACCAAAGAATCCAAACCACCGATGCTCGTGTTGCTAGCCCCGTCTATCGAAGCAGAGTATGAGTGCTTGATTGAAGTACAACTTCCATTTGCAGAAGACGTGCGGTCATATCGGTTCCCACCTTTGGATAAAATCCTCACTGTCTCTGGCAAGGTGGTAACTGAACACCGCAACCTCCCAAGTGCCGCTTTGAAAGATGCGATGAGTAATTACGTGGACAGCATGGATTTTGTTACCACAAATGATGAAGGGTAAGTATACTTTAGTTTATCATCCAATCGACGAGCTAATCAAAAGAGCCAGGGAACCCACCGATGATCTCCCAATTGACGAGTCATTCTCGCCATTACTGCACCGCGTCGAATCAGCCGTGAGATACCGTGCTGTGCATCCCAACGATCCTATCCTCGACCCCTCAGAGCGGCTCACCGAATTCGCACATCCCTCAGAAGACATGGTCAAGAACTCTAAGTCCCAACTTGAGAAATTAATGTCTACAGCAGATGTCAAGAAAGGTAAACACAATTCTCAAACTACATTCTAAAAAAAAGTCTACTCACAAACACATTCTGTTTTATAGTTCCACCAAAGACAAAAGGCCGTAAACGCCAACGCGAAACAGAGAAACCCCTCTCAGGCCTGGACGTCGACGCCCTCCTCAGCCTCGAACCAAAGCGAACGAAGATTTCCACCGAGAATGCAATCCCAGAGTTCAAGCAAACGCTTTCCCGCGCAGAGAATATCGACATAATCCATGATGCTGTGCGGCAAATGGCCAAAATCATCGAGACCCAGATTACGCATAGTTTCGGCCACTCGAATTATGACCGCGTCATTGAAGGCCTCGGTACTATGCGCGAAGAGCTTGTGGATTATGAAGAACCGGTGGTGTACAATGACTTTGTGCGTCAGTTGAAAGGGAAGCTGTTGCGGGAGGAGCTGGGTGGAGATCGGAAGGAGCTGTGGTGGTTCATAAGGAAGGGGAAGCTTGGGCTTATTGGGAAGAGTGAGGTGGATAGCTCGATTGTTGAGGAAGAAGAGGCCCAAGAGGTGAGGTTTGGTCTCTTGATGTGGAATGGAACGAGTGCTGACGGTGCGTATAGTTTCTAGCTGCCAATTGAGCAATTGAGTTGGAGGGGGGCGGAGATTATGGTGTCGTCTTGGAACATGAAACATCACACTTTTTTTCAAGCAAAATTCAGCCCATGTAAAGGGTGCTATGTGGGTGGTGTTATGTAGATAATGCGCTGTAGAAGCATGGCCGAAGAACAGAAATCAAGTACGGTCCACCTCAGAGGACCGAGTCCGATGATGCTGGCTCTCTAGATCAAGGGATACGAAATTTAAAATATTTAAGGAGAAATTGAAATCTTGATCGAGTTCATGAACAACATTGTCATATCAACGTAGAATTGACACATACAGGAGCGGAATCAGCAGACAAAACAATGTGGGATGAGGTGAATCGGTACCCAGTTGCAACACATCTGACGATTCGCCAATCAACAACAGAACCAAACGCCGTGCACAACATGCCTGAAAAACAAGTATTCGCTCCAGAAAACAATAACAGACCGAGATTTGCAAACTCAAACATTAAAAAAGCATCCAGATGCATCACGGAAAAGGGGTATGCAGAAATATTGTCCCTGTGGGACGAGAAGAATGGAAGAAGCACTCTGAAGAAACATGCAGAGTTCCTAGGGGCAAACGAAGAGAGCACAACAGTTAGTGGATAGTCTTGATTGCCCGTGCAGGGCTGATGGTATTGCTACCAATACGGCCACTAGGCTTCCGAACACCACGAGACTCGCTGCGGGTATTTTCCGTTGCCCGGCGAGGACTGGAGCGAACTTTGCTGACTGAGATAGGGGCAGTGCCGCTCTTGCGGGTCACGGGAGTCTTGGGTGCTGAGTGGTCAACCCAGTTCTCTTGGTCTTTGTGGTTGTCTTCTGCAAGGGTGTAGCTGGCTGTGACAGTGGCAGAGTAACTGATAGACCTTGATGTAGGCGAGGCAACAGGAGACCTCGATGTACGCTGGGCTAGGCGGCGAAGCTGTATCTCTTCTTCACTCTCACTGCTCTCATTGCTCTTCCTGTGGCTGCGCTGGCTGCGCTGCTCGTTTTCAACCGCAAGCGATCCGGAGGCGGTTCGGGAATAAGGGTGGTGACGTGAGTCCTTTCGGTGGGACTTGCGAGGCTGGCCAGGGGTCGGTGCAGGAAGATCCTGGTCTGGGTAAGCCGAAGCTTCATTGTGATCAATCTCTCCAAGGGCTGCACGTTTGGAGTGGCTATTGTTTGGTGGGGTTGAAACCACTCCGTTGCTGGTGCGCTTCTTGGTCGACACTCGCGGAGTGACAGGTGTGGACTGTGCTAGTTTCTCGCGCATGCTATCCTCAAACCACCATTCACGGAAGGCACCCTGGTTGAGGTGGAGCCAGTGCTGCTGAGGTCCAACGACCATACCGGGTCGCATGAATCTCATGAAGGCAATCACTTCATTAGCAGTGAATCCATACTTGTAGATCAGGTAAGCACCAATCAAGCAGCCCGTACGGCCCAGGCCTGCCTTGCAATGAACTGCGATACCCTTCTTCTTGATAGTGATCATCTCATGAGCCATTTTGATAAACCGTCTGACAAGTTGCAAGGGAGGGCATGTGCCATCCTCAAAGATCATGTCAATATGAGCGATTCCCATTGCGGTGAAGTAAGACGGGCAGTAGAGCTCCGAGTTAAGTCGTACAACGAGCCCGACGTTGCGCTGGTGGAAATGGGCGAGAACATTCTTGAACGGCATAGGAAGCTTCGAGGAAGAGATTTCCGAGATTGTTGTGGGCAATGCGTTGTACTCGGGCGTGTTGACAGGAATGGGTGCCACGGGCTGTTGCTGAGGAGATGCAAAAGCAAGGAAATCTGGGGTAATCCAGTTGAAGTCACCCATATCGACTCGCTCAAATTTCTCATACCTTTAAACAAAATCAGCATTGTATCTTCGGTACTATAAGCAGTGGCACTTACTCCTCGAGATTGAAGTCGCGAAGTCCGCAAAGAGACTGCTCCTTGGCCTTCCACACTCCATAAACGACATCTTGAATGTTCAAAATGAAATCTGCCTGGCTGTATCCAGCATCGCGGAAAGGCATGTAAGGAGGGTCTGCCTGCGCGATGGGTGCCAATGCTAAATGAGGTGGCCAAGATTGAATCATGACCATATAGCATGCAACAAGGCAGGCCGCATTGGCGCGACTCCGTGAATCGGTCTTGCTGTAGAAGACCACCGGGCGGTCACTGTTGGCTGGATCGCCAAGGATCTCGTGGAAAAGCACAGCAAACCGGTAGAGGTGACCAATGTGGAGTGGGCCGAAATCAGCGTGAAATGCATTGTAAAGAAGAGTGTCATCAATGGTGAAGTACACGGGAGAGCGGCGCTTGCTCGGAGTGGCGGGCTGGGCACGTGCCCGCTTGCTTGGGGACTTGGGTGCGTCCTGATGGAAGGGAAACGGGGTTCTGGAGCTGGGAGCAGAATCATAAGATGCAAGGTATAGGCGGTCTAGAGGATGACATGTCTTAGCTCTCAATTCTGGGTGAAAGACATTCAAATTGTCGAAGACCATTGTACCAACCTTGGATGTACTCGATCATCTGGCCGCCGTGGTTGAAGTCGGTAGTCATATTGGAGGTTGTTTGTTGACGGCCGCCTAGACTTGGAGTGATTGTGTAACGCTGATAAACAGCGAAGATGGATTGATATGGTACCGTTACAGGTCCTGGTGTTGTTTTGGTGTGACTCGGAGGATAGCAAAGCCAATGGTAAGAAAAATAGTCGCGGTAAAACTAAGACCTAAACACTCATGATCAAACTGAGTGAGGAAGATGTATGAGTGTAGAATGTTAAGGATAAAGAGAAAATGAAAGCCTGGATGCGAAAACCTGTACAGGTGGATTAGAGGAAAAGGAAATCAACAAGTCCAAGTTCATGATGTTTGTGGCAGCTGCCATGCCACTGTTATGTTGTACTTTACCTGTTTGGGACTAGTGGCTGTCGTTGGCGTGACAACTCTACAGCCTCAGGCATTAATTGGTGCCTTCAACATTCCAAAACATCAATACCACAACAAACAGACAAACGACACAAACAAAGCAAACCATGTAAACATTAACAGAGCGTCAGAACCCTCACATCTCATACATCTCTTACCTCTTGCAGATGTCCACTCTCGACTCAAGCCCCAGTCTTCAGCCTTCAAGCCTGTCTCCTGATTGCACATTTCCATGGCATATTGCATCCCCAGAATAGAGCATGTCTCTTGCCGACAATTTATTTGCGGGTTGCCATCATGTTCCCAGTCAATGCCATACATAGTTAGCCTTCCAATCACTCCAAATCAGCATATGAGCTCAACAATAAGGCACTTGTGCACGCATCCCTCTGCCTCATCTCGTACAAAAGGGCCGGCATATAATTTTTAGATCATGATGGTCAGTGTATAACATCCGTATTATCGAGGGCCATCGTCATCCCAGTGAGAGATGATACTCAAGCGGCTGCTTCTACAGTTCCTGACATAAGTGGTCCATCTAATACCGAGTGTACACAATTGGCACCCTCTGAGCTATATGGCCAAGGTGTCATATGGGCACAATACAACGGCTTATTTGTGATTTGCTGCATATTGACTTTCCTCAATAGGGCCTATCATGCTCGATAACACTCGACCGGTCGGTCATTCCCCATGGTTCCTTTGGGCAAATGACACTATGGTCACAGCCTGTCCTAATGATACATTCTCCAGCAAACCATTTGTTATGACTAAAAAGAGCAATTTAGATGGTGTTCTGTTTCCACTTCCAAATGGAGCCTGCCTTCATACGCCAGTAAACACCAAGGGCAGTGTGGCTGCTGCAATCTTAGTAGTGGCTGGATTTTATGCAAACTCAATGCAAGGACGCCTCACGGTCAGCTATTTTGCTTCCAAGTTTGAATGCTCCACTTGGTCAAACTCGCGTTCGGTCCCCCCTAGGAAAGCTGTGATCGACGCACAGGAGCCCCCGCAGATAACACGACCCTTGCCTAATCCTACAGTCCATGCGCTAGTACACATCCCTCGCTTGGATTTTGAAATATTCTACGATTGCTTGCTGATTGCTTGCTGGTGCTATCCTTATTCTGACAGAGAAATATCTGATTTGGTTACGCAAGTTCGAATGGACCATGCTAAGTCACCCACGTTGCAATTGTCTCTATATATGAGACTACCAAATATCCCGTAAAACAGAACAGCTTTCTTTAATTTACAAGCTTACTTATTAGTGCCAGCCTTGCTAAAGACTTGCTCCAACTGTATCGCTTGAAACCACTCATCTTAACTCAAGATCATGTAGGCACATACATCCCTTCTTTCGCGCAATCTCCGCTGAGATGAAATTACCTGCGCGGCTTGATAGATTACAGCCCGTTAGTACGGAGTACCTTGACGGACAATAACAACCACGGGCAAACAGTAACCCCCGATGATCGCAAATGTGAGGGGGCTCTCGATGACCGTGCAAAGCCCTGTCAAAATAAACCCAAAGAATGATATATAATCCAGCCTTTAGATTCAAATTTTGCATTCCTTTCTATACACAGGTCACTTATTCACTTTACGTCACTCTTTTTCTATTTGTACGCTTCATCATCAAACCACTCTTTTCAACTCTTCAAGTTTTTACAAACATCACAACAATGAAGTTCACTGGGTTGACCGTTTCACTCGCCCTGGTTGGCTTGAGCTACTCTGCGGCTCTTCCCAGCCTCGGCAATGTCGAGGGTACCGTTGCTACCATTGAGGGTGCTGTTGGTGGTGTCACAGGTTCCGCTGCTAGCATTGTTGCGCCTATCACCTCCACCGCTGGCGGCCTGACCGGCTCCCTCAAACGTGACGATACTACTGCCATTGGCCAGACTGTCGACACTATTCCCAGCCTTGCCAACAGTGCTGTTACCATTGCTGGTAGTGCTGTCGGTACCGGCGAAAGCCTTGTCTCTGGTGCCGCTAGTACTGCCGAGAACGCCGTTACCCGTTCCGGTTCGACCACGAAGCGTCAACTCAACGACCTCGTTGGTAGCACTCTCGGGAGTGCCGTTCCCGCCATTATCCAGGAAACCAAAGCTGGAGGCATGACTGGTACCCTCAAGCGTGATGGAATTGCCCCGCTTGGGAAGGCCATCGAGACCATTCCCAATCTTGCCAACAGCGGTATTTCCATCGCTGGCAGTGCCGTTGGTACCAGTGAAAATCTTGTCTCTGGCGCCGCTGGCGCCGCAGAAAATGCTGTTGGTCATACTTAGTCGCCACGGTATACTTCCAAGGTTTATCCATGGATGTCTCTTCATTTCTTCTCACATATGGGTCATCCTTTTGGACTTTGAATGATTGATCAAGTTTTTATGTACATTATTTCTCGGAGGCGTTAGATACCTCTATATGACTTCCACACAAGTAATCTACCTGAGATGAAAAACCTTGCCCTAAAATCATTTTCGTCTCACTTTCACGCACTATTATCCAAATCTTAGAAAATGCGTTACACCTTGTTCTAGTGAGACTCCAGCATTGATCTCAATATCGTACGTAGTTTCATATTAATTAGAGGCTTTTAGATGCCTTATCTCCCCCCGGGACAGAAGGAAGTGGTTCTAAACCCATGATCGATCTGTTTTGGGTGTAGTCTTGATTACTGGATATTGAACCCCTCACGAAGCTTGGTATCGCTTCGTGAGAATTACTTAACCATACAAACTTCGTTGCAGCCAAACAGAATGCAATTAAACGCAGTCCCACTAAGCCTTCAGTATGGAAATTTTTGTGCGGCGTTTAATTTGTTCGAGTCGCAGTGGATTTTCTTCCAATATGCCTTGATAGCTGACGGTCTAGGCAGCTAACTTCCAGATGGCATGATCATAGGTGAGACATATTTCGTATTGGTCATCTTCGTTTTTTTTATGCTTTGGGATTATCAAATCAAACAAGATATATGCCTGCGGGGCTGCTGTGTACCACTCAGTGTATATATATTTGTAGCCCATTTAGGTCTACCTCCCGGGCTATATTGAATCGAGCAATATTGTGCATTGCAATAGCCGTCATGATCTATATAAATAGACAAGCAGTTTGCATTAGGTCTTGCAATATCTCCGATCAAATATATATCACTGTATTTTGAAACTCATAGTTGCTAGCAACACTAGTTTCAGACTATGCGCCGACAAAATCTGCTCACTATAAAAACCTGGCCTAAAAAAAGTGCCCATTAATGGATAGCCATGGAGATTGCATCGAATGTTTAAATCAACAATAATGATTTGGAATAACGTTATACACGGCCATCTACGGCTACTCCATACAAGTCGATGAACCAATCAAGAGACGGCGAAAGCAAGCCAATCATCAATCGGCTCGGACAATGTCCAATTCCGTTGAATACCCCCGTGGCCAGCCCGTGGCCAATTGGTAAGAAAGTGAGTTGACCTCGGTTCTTCTGGATTATCAGAAGAATACAAGAAGAGAGTCATGTTCTTGTGTTCACAAAATTTCCCTATATCACAATCTGCCAAGTCTTTCCGGTCAACCCTCCGGCCAACGACGTCATTCTATTTATCCCCGCGAACACTCCGGAAACAGTTTCCTCTTTTCGCATATCCACGTCAAATAACAACCATGTCGTCTGCTACATCCTTCTTCGATTTTGAGCCTGTCGATAGTACGTATAATCTCTGTACTGTCGCTGCCTACCCTCCCCCTGCATCACATGCAAACACGAACCCTGAAGAATATAACTGCTAACCAAACCCCGCATGCGAATAGAAAAGGGCGCACCATTCCCTCTCTCTTCGCTGAACGGCAAGGTCGTGCTAGTCGTGAACACCGCCTCAAAATGTGGCTTCACGCCCCAGTTTGAAGGTTTGGAGAAGCTTTACCAGAATCTGAAGGCCAAGTACCCTGAAGACTTCACCGTCATCGGATTCCCATGCAACCAGTTCGGAAGCCAGGACCCTGGCTCGGACGATGAAATCCAATCTTTCTGCCAGCTCAACTACGGCGTCACATTCCCAGTGCTCGGAAAACTTGATGTCAACGGCGCTAACGCTGCACCGGTGTGGACTTTCCTGAAAGAGCAGCAGCCTGGAATCATGGGCATTAAGAGCGTTAAGTGGAACTTTGAGAAGTTCCTTGTCTCTGCCGATGGCAAGGTTGTCAACCGCTGGGCTTCCCTTACCAAGCCCGAGGGACTCCAAGACACCATTGTTAAGGAGATTGAGAAGGCGAAGAAGGCGGGCACTCTTGCTTCACAGAAGAAGGAAGCTGATGCTGAGCAGGCTAAGCTGTCGTAAGGCTGTGCTTGATGTGTTATTTTCTGAATGGTAGTGATACCTTCATCTGTTTTCTTGTATCTATATCCCAGTGCTCCTGCTTGTGACATACTCGTCCTTTTCGGTTTATGATTCCGGCCTACGATGGAATTTCACCGAGTGGTAATAGTAATTCATATCCCAGTCTCAAAGCTCATTGATACCAGTTTTGTAAAAAGTCGCTAAATCAGTTCCTTGGATCTGTCTCCGTAACATGAGGCCTGACTGAGTATGACCGAGAGTCCCTGATGTCCCAATTTAAGCAGAAGAACCACCCTTGGGAACTAGATTCCGTAGCGACAGATCGTAGACCACATCCTCGACCTTCTTGACCTGTAGTGCCACAAAAGTTAGAAACCAAAAACAGTGAAATAGACGTTGCAATAATTTCAACATACGCTGTACTTGATACCGTCGCTGCGCTTGCGCAAGATATCGTTCTTTAAGTTCAAGAGCTGGAACCCAGCGAACACTTCCTTCACAAAGTTACCGATCTGCATGGGACGGGTGTAATCACCCAGGGTGACTGAGTTGACAGCCAAGCGAGCCTAGGAACAAATTAGTTGTGGCTAGAGAGAAAAGCTCCAAGATTTTGGAAACGAACCAGTTCCTCAACCATGGCAATTAATGCCAGTAGGTACTCCTCAATCGTCAGGTGGAAAGCATCCTGCTCCTTCAAGTTGACAGGAACTAATGAAAGAAATGCCAAGTTAGTATTGCACATCAATGTATCCATGCAGCACCTGTGGTGCTAATTATAGATAGAGATAAGGAAAATTTACTGTCCAGGAACTTGCCCACGTCCTCGATGGTCATGAAAGATGTTGAGCTGGGTCCCTTGTGCTCTTGTAGTCCTCCCAGCCATGCGCAAAGCTCAATAGAGGCGACCTGATAGTTTGGATCAGCAGAAGTCCTCAGATATTGAATTTCAGAAAACAAACCAGGTTTTGCAGCTCACGGGTCCATAGCCCGTTGTACTTATAGAAGGGATGTTGGTCTGCCACAGCCTTCAGGCGAGCAACCTCCTGCTTCTGGGCAAGGATTTCCTTAGTGACATCGTCAAGCACGGGCTTCACTATTGCAGAAGTCAGACAGATAGTTCATGAGAGATAGAGGTTTTTGGTGAGCAACGCTGGGTGGGGAAATTTGTAGGGGGTTGAGAATTATATGGGGAAGAAAAGAGAGAAAAGAGGAGTGATCAGGCAGTGAGGCCAAAAATCGAATGGAATCAGACCCCAGTCCTCTTATTAGACCATTGGAGATAGATACTAGATACTTACACTGATCAGCGGGCGTGGAATGAGCCCGTGACAGGATAGCCTGTGTGGAGCGCCCTGTATCGTTCAACATCAGTTATCATGTTGGACCTGCGACTTCAATTCGGGAGTGCCGTCCCCGATAGGGTATGCACCCTAGAAATCCTAGTCAAAGTCACAGATTGTAAAGCATACCTCTTCTGGCGAGTGTTTGGACAATCTCATGTAGCTCCTAATCGAAATTGTTAGCTACCTGTCGGTGTTCCCAGCTCAAGGGTCTTGTTCCGGTGTAGGCTTGGCGCGCGAAGAATTCACCAAGTTTAGGACCCGTTGGTATGACTTACATCACGGACGGTAGTCTCCTCGTCGATCTTCGTCTGGAGATTTTCAAAAATGCGTTGATCAATCATTTTGTTGCTTGGTTGTGGTTGCAGGAAGGTATTTGAGAGAATTGAAGGCAGATTTGCGAGGTGTGGTGTCGGAGGCGCGTTACGTCAAGGTACATTTTTTTTAAAAAAAAAAAGAGGATAGCTTTTGCAACATGCCACAATTATTTGCATGAATTCAAAATGATATACTGATTGGATATCACTTCCTGAAATATATTTTACTTCCTAGAGATAAAAATTTCTTCATATAAAGGTCATATGAGGCGCTTATTATGATTTACTGCACTGGCCTACGGCTACCAGCCACGGAACGATTGATAAAGCTTTGTAAGGATTTTTCTTAGCTGCTTCTCAAGAGATTTGAATCTCGAAAAATGAGGCTTGTGTGAGACTTGTGTTCACCCCCAATCAAAACGATTGTAAAAGCGACTCCTCCCCAGAAACAAAAGAAACTCCAGAACCATGACCATATTTGCAGGTTTTATTGTTGCCAGATCAACTCTAGTGATCGTCATAAATATCGTAAGAAAGTGATACACATACTGGGCAGTGTCATGGTGATCACGCGGCGAGGGAGGTAATGCTTAGTATCGGTATCTGGTCGAGTAATCTGTAAAAGCCAGCTGTCAGCGAATGGCGTTCCTGTTCCGATATGAAATCTGAATTTACCTTTGGGGCTGACCACCAGACCGCGGCCCTTTTTGGCGCCCTTGTATATCGTCTCGATGATGTCGATCAACTCCTGCTTGTCCTCCAGCACCCAGTTCAACTTGTTGTTGTTTCCCGTGCCAAAATCGCACATCATATGCTTGTTGCGGTAGAAGAACATGATTGTCATCCGGTCGTAAAGCTCATACATCTGATTGAAGTCTGGGACCTGGTCGAGGTCGCATAGGTAGATGACGGCGAAGTCTGGGGGCAGGCCTGTTAGCTGCTGTTCAGTTTGCTTTCGGGATATCTCAGTCACGCACTCTTTACCCGCTCGGCGATTTTGTAGAGGAGTTCATCTTGGCGAATGCCTGCGAGAATCGGTTAGTCTGGGAGCCTCGCAATGGGTGCGGGTGGCACTTACAGTCGGGATCGTGATCTCGCCCGAATCGGATCACCACCAGGCGTTCTTCTTCAGAGAGGATAGCCTGATCCACATGCCAGGCTGTTTGCAAGTGAGGGAGGACGATAGAACCCATCGCAGTGGCTGGTTATGTGTCGACAGGTTGGAGTATGCGGAGTGGGGGAAAAAATGGAAGGCTTATCGATTGGGCCCCCGCGATCCAAGCTGTTGCGTCATGTGACTGCTCTGGAGGTTTAATGACGATAATGATGATATTGTAGTTTCTGTTCAGAGTGCAAGGTAGTGGTGATGTCTAAACTGCTTGATCTATTGCTCAGTGTCTCTTGGTGCGTCGTGTCAGAAGCATCACGGTGTTGATGAAGCTGTGGATGACCTCTCTTCATCTGAGCATCTGAGCAAGGAGTTTTACGTCTTATGACGGGATCTATGATCTATGACATACGTGACAGCTAGGAGATCCCAGTAATAACGCCTTACTTAAACTGCTTGGTCTATTATTGCCTAGTATGTCATGTTGGCGTAGTTGTGGATAGCCTCTCATCCTATCGCCTCTGATCACTGAAATGCCCTGTAGGATGTACTGGACTCGATCCTTTTCAAGGGCACTAACTACTACTCTTTTAACAAGACTACAACTATTGAACAGACATCTTCTCCAAGCGCCCGGACAAGCCGAACAGTTGATGAAAAAGGAGTTCGCGTCGATTGGGGGTAGTGTGAGCCCAATGACACTGTGCGACGAGGCATGCGCAAGCACAGGGGCCAAGTCACGGGGTCCAAAAATAGGAATAATCAAAGTGTTTCCTGGACGGAAACTTTCAGAGATTAAACTGAAAAGAACAGATACTACACTTGATCTAAGCCAATAGGCAAAGAGAGCTAAAGAAGAAAGAAAAGAAGAGGAAGCTCTGGGGGCCGGGGGTCCCTCTTATACCTTCAGCGCAGTGGGTCCGTGCGTTCAGCGAAATTAGCCGAGCCAATCGGAAGACGACGGATAATAGTTAAGCCGATGTGCTGTTTGATCGATCGCGATCGGAGTTGCCTATTTGGAAATCCCCATGGATCACGCTACCTAGGTAGGGCTAAGTAAGCGACCTGCTGACTCACTAAAGCTGACTCACCTGTAAATCTTGCCCTACCCTATTTCCGAATTGATCCTAGTGCGACACACCTCTGGTAGTGAATTTTTGATAACCAAATCGGCTCCACCGTGAAATTTAGGAAGTTGTCTTGACCACTCTCTCGCCGGCGCAGGATATTCACCTCTTTGCGACCTTTCCCAATCCTCCAAAATCCATCTCCCCCCAATCCATTAACAATGGCTCCCGCTGCTGTACGTTGAAGTCCAAATTGCTTTGCTGTTCCCCCCACCGGAGTCTCTGCGGGCTTATCCTCGACAAGACTGTGAAACTCGATATTGAAAAATCTGTCGAGTCTTCCATATTGTCGAAGACGAATCTGCGAGACTACCACCGGGGCTCGACATTATGGAGCAGTAGGCTAATTTGATTCTATATGGTATAGGCTCGTGGTCGCAAGGCCCAGAAGGTTACCCAGAAGTTCGTTATCAACGCTTCCCAGCCCGCTAGCGACAAGATTTTCGATGTCTCTGCCTTCGAGAAGTTCCTCCACGATCGCATCAAGGTTGAGGGCCGTGTCGGTAACCTCGGCGAGAACGTCGTGATCTCCCAGTCCGGCGATGGCAAGATTGAGGTTGTTGCCCACATCCCCTTCTCCGGCCGCTACCTGAAGTACCTGTGAGTTTGTCTATTTCCCGGAATAATTCCAGATATGTTGGACAACCAGATTTGCTGACCATTGCCTTTTCGGAAACTCAGTACCAAGAAGTACCTCAAGAAGCAGCAGCTCCGTGACTGGCTCCGCGTCGTTTCCACCTCCAAGGGTGTCTACGAGCTCCGCTTCTACAACGTCGTCAACGACGAGGCTGAAGAGGATGAGGAATAAGCGTGTCGCTCTTGACATGTATTGTTTCTTTGCCCCGTTGATCGATCGGTTCTAGTCTCTGTGTGTCGCGCTTGGGATGTCTGTCTGGATTGAGAGCGAGAGCCATGGGGGGATAGATTGGTCTATGAGGCCACAAATAAAACTAAAAAAGTTTATACCCTCACTTCTTCCTAGTGTAGCGTAACAATAATGTCGTAATAATAATGTTGATTTGGTCAGCTAGGTATACATGCATGGGTATCTTCTACAAAAAGTAAAAACAAAGTATATGAGATGAAAATGAGGAATACATATCCACGAGCATCATCTGCTGGACTTTCTCTTCTGGACCGTGGTCCATGAACACGTGAATGTTGATACTTGGCCCTCTGGACGGACCAACTTGCCCCCCTCGATTTTCACTCCTTTCTTCTTCAGCTCTTTCCATTTCTCGCCCACTTTCACTCTCACAAGATCACCAGTAGCAATTGAATCCTCCTTTGAGTCGTGTCCATTGTCCCCAACCTGTATGTCGCGGCCAAGGTGCCTTTGAACAAGGGCCTTGAGACTTATGCGAATCGGGAGACCCTTGGGGTGGGGGTAGAGGAGCACAGTATCAATGACCGTAGGATGGATGATACGGCAGGCGTTCAGGTCGTTTTCGATTGCATGGCCGATGAGAGGTGTCTCAGGCTGGAGCAGCTTGAGAAGGAGGTCGCGCGCCTCTGCGGGTGACTGAACAAGTTGCAACGGTGGGTTAGTTTTAGTTTTCTCGTCCGCCGACGGTGAATGCATGTTAGGAATTGGAGTCCCATATGGGATGGCAGAAGCGTAATGTTGTGGTGTGACACCGGAAAATCGTGTGTTGAGATCTAATACCTCGCCCATAGGCCTCACCAGCACGTCAAGGAGATCACAGCCTTTAGGCCAGCTGACTGCAGTGAGACGAATCAGTTCGAGACCCAAGGTCGTGTAACCCATCTCGCAATCAATAGCGACCGGCTCCAGGGGCCCTTTTCCTGGCTGAGATGGGGTTGTCTGGAATTGAAGAAGGGATGCAAGTCGCTTAGTCTCCGAGACCTTGAAGACATGTGTCTCGGCTCTAGTGCAGCCGGTAGACGTCCCCAATGCTTCACTGCAGCAAGGAAAATATGGCTGGGAGGGACCGGTGACATGGTCTGTTTTCTTGCGCTGAGGGTAAACGGGCCGCCCTGGATGATAGGTACAGCAGCCACCGCTGGCTAGGGTACCATCCTCACGACGACCTGGAAATACCTGGAATCGCTGAGCACATCTGTCACACTTCTCCCAGCCCTTGGACTCATCAACGCCTCTCTGGGCGGTTTCTATTTCTGCGTTCGTTGGCTGTTTTGTGACATATCCATGTTCTTCGAGGCCAGTGAGGGGTGTGACTAGCTGGGATACAACTGCGATTTCTTCTGGGGGAGTGAGACCTGTGTTGATAGGCCTGGGTATCGCTTGCGGTCGCTGAACGGGGTTTATCTTATAATATCGCGCATTCAGATGAGACATCACCTCCTTGGACCATTCGTCAACCCCCATCTTCGTAACTCTCACGACTCGAAGTTTGATAACATTGCCGTAAACGCTTGGACTGTCCCTCGCAAACTTCTCTTCCTCGTCCAGGGCCATTGTGATGAGTTCGTCGGGGCTTAGGACGAAGCATCTGTTTGAGCTATTTTTGTCCTTTCGTAGCTTTTCATTGAGAGCAGTCATGGCGGCGTGTAGCTTCTGGAGAATGACAGTCCGAGTACTATGAGTTGCCGGTGCATGGGCAAGCATGCGAGGATTCAAAGTTTCTTTTGGAGCTTTGCGAGGAGGGAGCTGTGATGGTGATCCAGCGGATGCAGTGTTGGTGCGCTTCGCAGTCTCACTCCCTGAAGGATTTGGTGGGCCATGGCTTGAGGTAGGCCGGGCGACTTCTTGAGCTCGTGGGGTGTCTTGTGTATTTTGATTTTGCTTGGGTGCGACTGATTTTGATTTGCGTCGCCCCATTTCGACAGCCGTTTCTTTTAAGCTGTAGGATGGAATGGGAGACTCGGGAAATTGTGTGTTTTCCACTTTAGCCCGTTTGGAAGGAGGACCATCGTCACCTGACGCTGAAGTCTTTGAATGCCGAGCCTCAGCTCGAGTCAGCTCATTATCGTGAGAGAATAGGCATTTCAAAAGAGTACAATCCTTGCCTAGCGGGCATGAAATTGCCCCAAATAGGCCGAGCGATGTGAACATGATGAATGATGACCAGATGATAAGACAGGCTAATATGCAAGTTTCTAGGTCTTGAATGCAAGAGCTAGTCAAGGTCGATCAGAATGTTCAGAAATATATAACGAATATGTATAGCTATCGCTGCCCATCAACCCTGTGTTTGCTTTGTGCACTGAATAGACCAAACCGAATATTGCAGGTAACCCTATTGCAATCATTCAGCGCTTATTAAAAACGAGCCAAACTGTTTTTACTCCGAATAAAGCAGCTGGAGCTCAAGTAGAACATAAATTTGCAGGATTAAGATATCAGATTGACATCATTAGAGGACAACATTATTGGAAGCTGTTCAGTGAAGTGATAAGTCAAGGATGCAAAGAAGACAAACATATGATGCCCGATAATACAGGCAGAAACTCATCGCATCTGGGCATCTATGTTGATTCGAGGATTTGGTCGATGCTTGAGTCTTTGGTTTTCGTTATGAGTGGAGGCTCAATCATTACCTACAATAATGTGCACATACATATGTACACAACAGATCTATGTTGTACTTCGAAAATTCGCCTGGCGTTGAAGTCCCTTATCGCCGATAGCTCCAGGCTGACGCAGGTGGGCGCGGCCTTCGGGTGAATAGACATCCGCATGTTAAATATTAGGCTCATTTTATTCTTTTCCCCTAAAATAACCCCGTTCTCAAAGAATCAACAAGCGAAACAATGCCGGATAGCTCTAAAGCAGACCATCTCTGTGTTTTGGTTCACGGGTAAGCTTTCCCCTTTTCAATGACGTATTGATGAGCCCGCTAATGCGACAAATCTTCAATAGACTTTGGGGAAATCCTTCGCATCTCGATTATATTGTATCCGCGCTGAGAGACAGATATGGCAACGATGGCCTTTACATCCTCTGCCCGAAAGCAAACAGCGGCAACTACACCTATGATGGAATCGAGTTGGGTGGAGAACGATTAGTGCACGAGGTTGAGGAAACGCTTGAATCCTTAGCTGAGAAAGGACAAAAGATTACAAAAATCAGTGTCGTTGGATATTCGCTTGGTGGTCTGCTCGCGCGCTATGCGATTGGTTTGCTCAATGCACGGGGCTGGCTAGATAAGCTGGAACCCATGAACTTCACGACCTTTGCCACGCCACATGTTGGAGTGAGAACCCCACTGAAAGGGTACAAGGATCAGATTTTCAATGTACTAGGACCGAAGACGATTTCGGCATCTGGCCGTCAAATGTGGCTGGTCGACTCCTTCCGAGATACTGGGCGACCACTGCTCGGTATTATGGCTGATCCCGAGAGCATTTTCATAACTGGACTGAAGAAGTTCCGGCAGCGGAGTGTTTATGCGAATATTGTCAATGACCGCTTAGTTTTATTCTATACATCCGGTCTCTCTAAAGTGAACCCATTCCGAGATTTGGAAAATGTGAATATCAACTACGTCGAGGGTTATGAAGATGTCATTATCGACCCCGACCTCCATGTGCTTCCTCCAGTGGAAAGAAAACCCGAAACTGCAGCAGCGCGACTTTGGAAGAAATTCAAATCGGCTACCATATGGATACCTCTATCACTCCTGCTCATTTTGCTCGTGCCTCTGGCTTCTACGCTCTTCTTGATAAATGCCGGGATCCAAACATTTCGCAGCTCAAAGCGCATCCGTATGCATGAAGTTGGTGAAAACGGCGAGCGCTTCGGAATATACAGGGTACCGGTTTTGATCCAAGACGTTCAGCATGTCGTGGAGCAGGCCTTTGAGAACGTCAATGCTATACAAGAACCAGCTTATTTGTCCAACAGCGATACTGAAGTATCTGATGAAGCGCCTGAAAAGTCCACTAGATCATCCCTCTTGGAGTCTGCACAAAACGATGCCGACGTTGAGTCTGTATCGGCTAGACGTTCATCAACGATGGAGGTTTTGATGCGTTCTCCCAAGCTTGCATTAACCCATGAGCAATTTGGAATAATCGATTCCCTCAACGCTGTGGGAATTCGGAAATACCCCGTCCACATACAGAAGCACCACCACAGCCACGCAGCTATCATTGTCCGGATGGAGAAAGATGGGTTCCGAGAGGGAAAAATCGTGATGAAGCATTGGCTAGACAATGAGTTCGTGTTATAATTTCGTGATTAAACATAAATCCTTTCTCAAGCGTTAGAGCATGTATTTATAGTCTCAATATCCCAGCAACTAATTCAGAAAATTACTCTATATAACAAACAGATTCAAAGCTATACCTCAATTCCCGGAAAGACATCATAAGACACCCGACTAATCCCCTTTTGTCGACTAATCTTGCGGATAGTAACAGACCCAACAAAGCTCGTCCTCGCAACATGAGTACCACCACAGGGATTATGATCAAGCCCACCTATACTCGCAATCCGGGTACGACCATCATGAGAACGGCCCTCTTCAGCACCCTCCCCATCCCCAACCTGGGCGACACCCTGCAGCCAGGAAATGGGAATGGGCAGATCCAGCCGTACAAGCTCATCCACCTTCTCCTGGATGACCGGCTTGTGCTCATTATACAACAACCCCTCATACTCCATGGAAGCCTCTCTCGGGAAATGATTCGCCTTAACCTTTTTCTTATCCGGCATTAGAAGTTGCATGGCCAGCCCAATGATGTGGCCAGCCGTATGGAGCCGAGAATGATAGTTGCGTTTTGAGTCATCGACCCTCTGCACGACTTGTTGGCCCGCGACAAAAGAAGAAGCAGCGTCTAGGAATTTTCCGAAATGTAGGAATCGTCCATCAGGCGTCTTGCGTACCAACGAGACTTCGAATGTGGGATCTTGGTCTACTAGTGCAATTGCACCGGTATCGCTGGGCTGTCCGCCGCCTTGTGCGTAAAAGATAGTCTGGCGCATGATTATTGCGTTGTCTTCCGTAGGCACATTTTTGGCCAAGCTTTTCTCTTCCTCACAGAGTGAAGATATTGGCTGGGAGGATAGTACCTCCGTGGATAATGTCCGCAGCGTGGCATCATCAAGGTACACTGCCTCTGTTCTGGGGACCTGGGTTGGTGCATTAGTGATGGTATATATAGTTAAACATTTGAAGCCGGGAGGTTCGTACCATTGTTGTTACCTGATGGTGAGTTTACGCCAAGGAATACCCTGGATATATTGTTCAGGGAGTAAAGTCTTGTTTGTATGAGAGGACTTTCCTCTTTAGTGGGTCATGTCAAGCACAGGGCTGAATGCCTCGATATTCAGGCTTCTAATACTCATCCTCCTCGTTAGGGCTATTAGTTGACCGTGAACATGTCAAGTCTACTATGAATTATTTTATGCTAATAATTTCGAATGTTTCTTTATAATTGATCATCGTGGAAAAGGTTTCCGATGGTACTTATAGGGAAGATATCTAATCCATATTGGATTTCTATGTGTAAAGAACCTGTCCTATGGATAGTGACAAGACGCAGAAGTTCAAGAGAACCGGGAATCATATCAAAGCAGGTCGTGAAGAAAACGTAGGAATGGACTGGACAAACTGGTTGTCGAGGAACCACAGCCATAGGCGAAAGATCACATACTGAGATCTAATTATTTGGCAACTTCTTGGCTGGCGTCATTTTCAAGCTCGGAAACAGTTATGTCCTTGGAAGTCTTTCGGTGCTCGCGCTCGATAGCAAATTTGACGGCATCAAAAACATTATCGCACGTCTTCCTGGGTGGAAAGCGTGGGACAGTACCATCCTGGTAGACTCCAGTCTTGACCAAGATAGAGAACCAATCATTTTTGGTGGTCTCGTTGAACTCGTTTGTACCGCGGATATCGGACTCCGGGGTATCGCCGATGAAGTACACGGTAGATGGAGGCCTATCGATGCCGCACGAATCCTTGCGCCACTTTTGCAAAAGCCGAGTGGCAAATTCATAGGTTCCGATCTGCGGCTTGCCGAAGGCAATTGTGTTCAAGTCTTTGCCTGTGAGAGCCGCGTAAACGGCCTCGAGGGAAGCGCGCAGCGCTCCCATTCCAAGGCGTGAATGTTCATGCGATGTTGACCAAACCACATCGGTATGTGAGAAGTAGACCGGTGGACCTTCGGTAAAGGTCTCCGACCGCGTATTCAACCAGCCGTCTTTAGTCATGAGGCAGTCTAAAATGATTTGTTGGTCACCGGCCCAGTCGCGACTATCTGCAAAGACGAAGATCGCTTCGATGCGGACTTTGTCCAGGTCGAGTAGTCGAGAATTTTCGTGCTCCTTATCCGTCAACTTTCGGAACGGCGTAGTATCGTGTCTCGTCTTGATGATATCTCCGGGTGTGATAACATCCTTGAATCCGTATCCTTCAGCTACGACCCGGCATTTCTCACCCTCGCCTCCAACCACCAGGACGGTGTGGTATCGCGCTGCCATTTCGCGCATCGGCGTATGGCCACAGATGAACTGGCCAGGGTTTACCTCTAAGTCGAGTTGCCTGCTGAGATCGAGACATCGCTCTTTCTCTGTCTTGCCGCCACCGTTGGTCAAGAAAATATACGGACTAGGATATTACCATTAGAGTTAAATTCTTCTATATTGACAATTATTACCCCTCACCACGAGGTGAGAGGAAACATGGAATCACAGGGCAAAAACTTACACTTTGACTCCGTAGGGGTTTTCACCGTTGATATACTTCATAGCATCAACGGCCGAGGGAATGGGCTCGCCACCCTTGATGAGAACGCCATCGATGTCGAAGGCGAGCGCAAAATCATCACTAGTGACCATGGGGGGGTTTGGCATCGGCGTGTTGATTGGAGAAGTATCCTCAGATGAGACTTCGTGCTTTGCCATATTTTTGAAGATATGTTCAGAAGTAGGAGCCACTAAGTGATTAGGGACGACGACGTTGGGGCCATAAAGATCGGGCCGAGCGATATCCAAGTCAAGTCGGACCCTTTGAAGTCCGAATCTATTTGTGGCCATATTGAAGGTGAAGGGTGAAGGATGTGGGGCCTGCGGGTACAATGACGCTGGTGATCGCTGCCTTGAAGCGTCTCAATATATTACTAAGACAGATGTGCACCAAACAGAGTCGCGTAAGTTGAATCGGAATGGAAAATGGAGTAAAATGGAGAAGCATGTGAGGGGAAATCAAGCGCAATTAATATAGTAGGCCTAAACGCAGTGGGTTTTGCATCATCGTCCATCTTACCCCCTCCAAATGGCGGTCCACACTATATTCAGGCTCAGACCTCGTCATTATACCAGTTGTTCTGAGTTAAGCAAGCCCAAAGCATCTGAAATCGAAAAGGATTAGCCACAACGGTACAACCTTGGCGCATGAAAACCTGGCCTCGGGAGTCGGGTTGATGACGCTGATTCGATAAGTAAAGAAGCACTTTGGATTTCAAAAGTGGAGTGGCAGTGTTGAATTTATGTACTCTGAGTGGAGTACCGAGTAGAGAATTTCAGATTTCGGACAAAACAACCGATGATGATGGCAGGATTTAACAGGTTTTGACATGGGAACCGCTTCAAGCCTTTCTTGCTTTCGGTGTGGTGCTGTGGTGATATGGTGCTGCATATCCAGGTTACAAAGTAAGAAGCGCCTCTTCCGTTATTCGGAGGTCCTCGGATATCATGTCGAATACATTTCGAGGAAGTATCGCGAGGCTGTACCCTTCCCGAGGTCAGGGCATATGCCATTGACGTCATGAACCTGGGTCTCATTCTCAGGGACGGAAATCAAAATCAGCAAAATCAGCAAATTAACCATCCACGGGTCAATAGGCTATACCGCATGAAGTAAGATCGTAGTATCCAAATCTAAAGTTCTGAGTGATGTAGGGAGAAGAATAAGGCCTAGACCCAATATGTCGACGCCATATGCTGGCTGATACGACCTCGGACAGCATTTGGGTTAAGGAATGCAAGCCATAACCAAAGATCTTAATTTGAATAAAGTGCCCTATTATATGTCTTTATTAATGCACATGCACATTAGGAAGTAGGCTTCAAGAGTAAAAGCCCTACTATTTGAATGCTCAGCGCAATGAACACTTTCGTGCCCTTAACTTGAATGAACCCCTACTCTTATGGTAATATGCTCCCTATCTGCCAGACTTGGTCACAGCGTCGCTGTGCATGCATACCGTGCACCTTATTAAATGCTTTGTCTAATCATAAGATCCTGCGGACTGCAAGCTTGCGAATCTCTATAGGCGATAGCGGATTCAGCCCTCGATCAAGGGATGAAAGCCGGACGGGGGTGTATTCTATGGCGTTACGCGCGGCTGTCCGTAGTAGCTCTGTGTAAGGAGACTTGCACCCAGATGATTTGTGTAGAGAGAAAAGGAAATCAAATTGGGTCCGAGCACAGTCTGTGCAGATAGGCCGGTGGAGAGGAATGGTCACTATCGCAGTAGACAGGCGAGCATCGTTGGATTGAGATGAAGAGTCTAGGGGGTTTTTCACAAGCCAAGTCGAAATCCTATGTCTGCTGATTAATCTTTTGTAGGTCAACCTTAGGTTTAACAAGAAATCCAGGAATCACAAAAAAAAAAGAAAGCGGAAGAGACTTGACCCAGAGATATATCTGCCGACACATGAACCTCACAGAATCTGGGGAAGAACCCTGTCAGCTTATCCACTTAGCTGCTTTTGTGTTGCGTTGTCTATTCCTTATCCCTTAGAGAGCCACATTTGGTGATTTCTACACAATTAAGGGAAATATCCATGGGATAAATCACATCTTCCGTTGATATAGTCACTAGAGACCCATTGGCAGATAGTTGAATATGTTTTTAATGCAGTCCCTTGAGCGCCGCATGGCTTATTTCAGTGCGTCTTGGCAAGCTGGATAAAATATCCCCAGGAGAATAGTCGGCCGGCCGCTTATGCGGCCTCTGTTTTGGTCTTTCCGGTAGTCTTATTAAGTCTTCTTTTTATATCTCTTTTGTTTTATAAATATTTCCCCTCTTTCTCAGTTTTGAAGGCGGAACAAAGCATATGCAGTGCAGACGACTGGTCTATGTATAACCTTTGATGATTTGATTCCGTTTGTAAGAGGACTTCTGACCGGGTTAATTCGTTCTCACACATACAAGAATGTGACACGGAAATCTTACATAGATAATCCCGTATATATCGAAATCAGATTATAAGAGATGCATCGGACTCGGTAGCTCTATTGAATAGAGCGCTCAAGCCGAGGCGTCAGACCCAGATTCCTCCGCAAGATCATCCATAAGATCATCGAGTTCCATTTCATCATCAATGTCGGCCCAGTCATCAAAGAACACGTCCTCCTCTCCCAAATCATTTTCCTCCCAAGGAAGTGCTAGTTGTTTGTACGGATGGTAGAACATACGGTGGTAAAAGGACAGGCATTCGCATGAACACACGTCGTATTTGGGCAGATCAACCGGATAAGGAACTGAGATCATGGACATCTCCACATTCAGCTCCGCAAACTTGTTTTTCCAGGTGTTGCCCTCCTGGCATATTTCGGTAGCGGAGGGATTGAACTTGCTTTCATTGATTGATGGAAGGTGTTCCATGATGTCCGGTACCTCGCAGGTAAAGCGACGCATCTTTGGAAGTTTTCCGTCTTTCGCCATCTCGTAGATAGCCGAAGGAAGCCAGGCCTTCGTTTCATCGTATCGTATCGTAAGACTCTCGATATTCGGCGGCAGAATATCATCTAGGGGATCTAGTTCTATGCATTCTCTCCCTGTAAGTGTGGCGAGGGTTGTTGTGAGATGTTTGAGACGGACTAGTTCACCGAAGTCTGTCTCTTCATCACCGCCCCAGTAAAGATCGTAATCCACGTATTCCAGGGAACCCTCGTGTGTGAGCAGGGAGTGAATGTAACTTAGAGGCTCTCCTTCGGGGTCTATCATATCCTGTGACCTAGGACCTCTGAAGGTGAATCGCTTCAAGGCTTCTGGATATTCCAGCGCGTTTTGGAGGTCCAATGGGCTTATGACGCAGTTCAAAAGGGTCAGTTCCTCTAGGGGCGATGTAGATAATCTTGTTGGGAGAAGATTAGACTGGGTAATTTGGAAAACAGCGCCAGTGACACAAAGTTTTCGTAAGCCTGGATGAAAAAAGAGGGCTTCATTGAAAATTGGTAGGCATCTGCCGTCCATCTTAGGATTGTGCTCATTATGGTCATAGTCGCTTCCGATGTGGCCTGATAACATTAGATTTTTGATTCAGTGGAGATAGTCAGTTATAAGACTCACAAACACGCAGAGCGGGTAATCCTGGCGGGTGCTGAAGAGAAGCGTGGCAGAACAAAGTTTCAACCTCGCTGTCTCGCAAGCAACTAACCTCGTGATCCGGGGGACTGAACGACGATTCTCCCGAAGGCCCATATCCTAACTCTCGGTACTCTTTGGCACTCCCTGATTCTGATTCCGAGCTAATCTTTCTCACCCATTGGAACATAGCGTCATCTCTGGCGTGTGTACTGTCCCACCGAGTAGAATCAAAGGGCCTCGGGTTTCTTCTTAAACTTAATTTCTCCAGATTCGGCAAAGTCACAGCCGTCTTGTAGAATTTGAAATGACGGTGAGACCAAAATTCTGACCCAGTATCCTGCTTGTGTCGAATCTCATGAATGAGGGGTGCTAACTCTGGACGCTTTTCTATCGTGAGAGCAAGACGAGCGCCGCTTTCTGAATTAAAAAGGCGTACACAATTGTAGAGGATAGTGTCAATTCTGTTATAAAGAGCGGGACACGATTGAGCAAGTCGGCTCAGATGTTGGGCAGATTCTTCATCACGTAGGTATTCAATGATGATATCCCAGAGCTCCAGAGGAAAGACCGGCAGTAGTGTGGACCTCCGGACGAACGCCCGCTGCGTTGGAATGGCCATTGGGGATACACAGGATAAGTGGATGATATTGGAGTCCAAATACACCTCGGAATATTGAGATGTAAAAATAGAAGTGGAGAATGTCCACGGGTGATGGGTTTTCTACTCTTTTTGGCGGGACCCCAGCTTCTTATCTAAGCCCCCGCAGGATACGTTTGACGCGTTTTCGCGTTTGCCATGCATCTTTTTTTTTTTTTTTTTCTTCTCTGGGACTGATTCTTGAGACCCGAAGAGACACAAAATCTAAGGAATCTGAAGGAATCTATTAACAGGAAGTCAAGTCGATCTTCAATACAGGTTATGGAATTTCTATACAAGATGTTCTCATGCAATACAAACAAAATTCAAAATTCAAAAGCTCTCCACCCGTATGAAAGAAACATGATAATATACAACAAAAGCAAATTCTCATGACGGCATAAATCCAAGCACAATCACAATCCCTTAAAAGACAAATCTACTAATCAACACTAAGAATCAAATCATCGCCCCTCCTCGACGGCGTCAAATTTCGACTAGTCGGAGAAATTCGATTTGACACAGCGCCGGCCTTCTTGCTCGGACTATCCGGATAATGCACGGCACCCTGATACATATCTGAAGGATAAGGTAGTTCCCCAGACGGTTCTCGGGACTTCGGTGGCGCGAGGGCGCGTCCACGCTCCAACCATAAGTCGTCTGGGCAGTACGGCGCGATGACTTCACTGGGAGGTCGTGGACTGTTGCGTATCTGGACACGTTTGATGTCGTTTCCACGTACTATCCGCGGCTTGGATACTATCTCCGAGCCTAGGGGGAGGTTTGATGATGATGGGACTGGGCAGGGTGGAAGCGCCTGTCGTCCCGGTGACAGGCTACGGTTCTGAGTCTGGGTCTGGATAGTGCCGACGGAGGCAGCGAGGAGGGTTTTTGGGTTTGAGGAGGAGTAGTCATTCTGTGGGGTTTCGGGTGTTTCGCTGGGTGCAGCGCCCCTGTCCGATGAGGGGGTTTGGAAAGCTGGGCTAGGATTGAATGGTGGTGTTAGGGTACTCAGGGTCCCGGATCCTCGTTTCAAGTTGCGTGTTGAGAATCCTTCTTTAAATGCGCGTGGATTGGATGGCAGCCCTGCGAGTTTTGGCCGGATCCCTAGCCTTGGGGAGTTATTATGCATCGTCACCGCTCCCGCTACTTGTTGACTTTCGTCTTCTTCAAAGAGAGTCTCCCCACTAGGTGGCCGATGACTCCACTTCAGCGGCTTTGGGTATAGTCCAGCTGTAGGATCTGGTAGTAGTCGTGCTACGCTGTGCTGTGACGATTGTGTCCGAGGCGAAGCTTCCCAGTCCGATTCGGAGCTGATGGCAAACCCTATTCGTTCTTGATCTCTGTGCTTTTTGTTCTGGCCCGAGTGGTATGCTGCGGCGGATTGAGATGAGTATCGTGATAGCGATTGACCGGTGGCCATTGAATGGAAAGTACGCGGCTGTTGTGACACTGTCTCGCGCTCACTCGCTGGGCTGTATGAAGACCCTATACCTAAACCGTCTGTTGGAAGCCGTGGCATTGGCTTCGAAAAGTCAGAAGGCTCAGACATGGCACCTCCGATCTCGAAATTATGTGGCGCTGCTTGTTCCCGCTGTTTTCGTCTCCATCTCTTGCAGCAGAAAAACACAGCAACGCCGATGATGAAAGACCCTGCCACACCTGATGCCACCGACATTCCAATGATCGCCGCTGGAGTCATAGCATGACTGGCTTTCTTATTCGTATCTTCAGAAGAGTCGCTAAAATTTTGTCCAATAGAGGAAGTTGGTCCCACTTGAGACTCTGAAGATGAAGAAGCAACGTAGAATGTGATCTCGGATGTTTGGCTGGAAGTAGTTGACGTCGGTGTTGATGTCACTGCAGCAGTTGTCACAGAAGCGCCTGAAATGTGTTCGTTTATCGAACTTCGAGTGGAGCTAGTTGATGTTGCCTCTGTGGTAGTTTTTTCGTCACTCGTCTTGGTTGTACTTATATCAGCAAATACTGTTGCGGTAATTGTCTGGTGCGTTTTCGGAAGAGCTTCAGATACCGAGTCGCACATATGATAAGCCTTTGACTTTGCGATAGCCGTCTGTGAGCATACAGACAGAACACAGCTCAAAGCCGCTTCACCCAGTGTCAAGCCACTAGTTGATCTAGTGCGGCAAAGGCACTTGATATTGGACGGTGAAGTGCATTCCATGGGTGTGTATTCGGACTTGATGAAGCTATCAACACAGTCCTTAGCACAGTCTGGGACCATGTCATACAGAGCTGAGTTCGATGCATCGCTGGAGATATCTTCGGCGGCAGAACAGAGTGCGAGTAAGAGGAGGATCGTGATGAGTATCTTGTGGATAGGAAGGAGGAGCATGCTGCGGTAGCCCTATACACGTTTATAATGAGTTATGATCTGTCATGTGCGCTTCTTCTATGAACTAACCTTGTATATTCTTGCATGGGAGTGATTACCCGTGAACACTTGTACACGTGGTTACCATAGTTGGTAGTTGTGTCTGCGAATTGAACAAATGGTGCGAAGGTAGCAAAACAAGCCTACAACACCGGGAAGAAGAAGTAAATGCCAAACAAACAACCCAAAGAGGGACTCCAGTCTAGTTAAACACGAATGCAGGGCGCGACGCCATTCTACGCGCGAGGCAAAACTGTCTATGACGCCCATCGCCCGTTGGGGCCAAGAATCTGCATTTCGAGATCATTCTGAAACATAGTGCTTGAGGCTGTGTATGGATAGGCGCTTGAGTGAAACCGCATGATATTTAAAATAAAATAGTAAGATCTCCCCCCCAAGAGACGAATCGCTGTGCTGGTGAAACGCCCTGCCAGCATGGGGCACTAGTAAGCGGCTCCGATACGCGCCCGGCCATCGAAAGCGCTTAGGCTGCAGAACGAGTATTGGATGGCGCCGGGCTAGGTTTCAGATTTCCAAATTAGTACATGAGTGACTAGGATCTGTGGTTATGAGCAATTCAACGCTATACAGAGTATGGCGTTGTGATTTGTTTCGCGTTGGTTATGGGTTACTCGCCTAACAATTAGAGAAAATGGGTTATCTCAGGGTTCCTGGAATACTTCGACTGGCTCGGATATTCGGAAACTCGATGACTCAAGGGGCCAAGTCACGTTCTTTCCGGCAAGTTACCTGTTTGAATTGTTTTCAGTGGTTGCTGATGGGCTACCCTGGTGTGCCCTCGGAACACTGTGATTGCACGAGTCTACGGAGCAGTTGCACCCGCCTTATGCAACACTTCGCGCCAATCACTTGAACTATTTAAATGGAGACGTGGCTGGGGTCCACAAGGCCCATTATGTATTACATACTATGTACTCCGTATGTTAGAATCAAATCTTGTTTGGTTTGATCTTGTGCCAGTTACAAGAGATTCTAGATATTGTCTACGGAGTAAATCGTGCTCCGTATGCTTTGTACGTCAAAACCAATATTGAATTAGCAGGTTTTTCTTTACTTTCCCCTACGCACAAGGAAGTCGATGATTTATAGTAAAAATCCATGTCCGTGAATAGAAGACTAGCCAACGGCAGGCATTGGTACGAAACAACAGAGCCCCAGAGTCAGACCGTGTGAGCTGGTATCATTCATAACGAAAAAGCAAAAACCCGCAATATCGAGCAAGACAAAGGAAAAAAGAAGCAAAATAAAGCATAACCATGTGACCACACATTAGGGAATTATGAACATCATGTCGGACTCAGGTCGGACCGATGCCAAGTGGTGGAGGCTGCATTAGGCTAGTCTCAACCGGACCTCCACGGAATCACGCTGACACAGGCATTCAGGATATCGAATCGCACCGACCCTTACTCAGAGCGCAAGACATGAGCAAGGGCTGGTGTGAAATTGGCCGCAGTGCATCGCTTTCCAAGGGATATTAGTTTTGAAAAGCATTGGTCGCGAGGGTGTGTGAGAGGCGGGTATCTCTAGTATTTGAAGATAATATAGCTGTGAGATGGTCAGCGGCTGTCGCAAAGTGTTGGAAACTCGACAAGTAAACACATACATGGCGTGGATGACACCGGGGATCCATCCCAGGACAGTCAATAGGATGTTGATCAGGAAATCAGCACCACATCCGCGCTCCAGGAAGACACCCAGGGGAGGCAGGATGATGGCAAAGATAATTTTGCAGATGTCACTGTTAACAATATTAGTACACTGGATATAGTCTCGGCAACAATTGCGATCTGGCGACCTGGCGACAGAGCCGAGAGTGCGAGAGTGCGACAGGGTGACAGGATGACAGAGGGTGATAGGGTGATAGCGCGGAAGCTATAACTTGAAAGTCACAGCATAACAATGGATAACTTACGAAGCGGTGAAAGGCATTTTGGGCAAATTTGATAGAGGTTGGAAATGTTTGAATGGGGATGATGGAAAAAAAGTGGAGGGAGGGAAGTCTTAAAAGGGGAGGGACAGGAGGAGCTTGGGTCATTACATCATGGGCCGCCACCTGCTGTGGCTGTATTTTTCTGGCAGATCAAGGCACCAACAGCCTACGAATATGGCTAAGATTATGACCGAAGGGCATTTTATTTTGTTTTGTTTTTATTTTTCTATATTTACTCCGTACTTCTTAATCTTTTAATTTTACTATTATAATTGTACTCCGTAAAGTGGCTAAGATAATGATCTTCTGTGCTGGCGGCTGCGACACCAAGGTTTCTCACCTATCCAGTTCATTCTTTTGCTCGCTGCCTGGAGGTAGCTTGGCGCTGAGAATTAGCCTGCATTTCCTTTTTTTATTATTTTTTTTTTCTAACCTACTTGTTTTTCTATATTTATAAATGTTGTTGTACAGATGTACTCCGTACTTTGTTACATATGAATAGTATGTGGCTATGTGCCCATGCAATCTAAGTCTCATGATGGTGACGATCTCTACAAACACCGTCACTTCTAACTTTAGGAATCTTTACTTGTTCTGCCACTTGCACAGTTTGTGGCCAGACAGCTCACCAGCCCTATGGACCCTTGGCCCCCACCTGCCAAGGCGCCTGGTATCGGTATGTGGCCTCGATGATTTTATTGAAACAGAAAAGTGGCTGGGGGCCATTCTTAGTGGCACAATACGGAGATCTCGAGGCAGCCGAGGATCTATGTACACACGTTCGATGCCAGATTTAGAGGAAAACTCACTTCTCTCTATTACACATATTGTAGTCAACTGAGTCGGATTTACATATCGTTTTCGAGCCCAAAGCCAACATCATCCAACAAGGAGTTCCACTGTGGGATATCTAGGTCTGGCATGACAGCCACAAACCCCAAAAACTGTTGCCAGCCCTTTTTTTAAATAATGCCATCAGCAAAATCCCAATCTCACTGGTCATTGAAGGTTCAATGGGTCCACTAGTCGATGTACTATCCAGCCCTGTTTCACGAGCCGCTACTCTGTACTCTGTACAGGTGATTCCTTATTTCCTGCAAGAGATCCACCCTGCAGATTGGTGTACGGGGCCGCTGCTTGTGTCGTGTCGACAGTAGCGTCTGCATGTTCTTCTAAACCCCTGGACGGGAGATCTAGATTCCCCTTCCGACTTCTCTAGCGTCTTGCAAGCGGCAAGCACCTTAGCCTTTCGAGCCTCGGCGTCTGGTGGGGTTCAATGAAACATCATTGCCCCATATTCAGGCTCCTGAGAATGCAGCAGAATCGATATCATGGCATTGGCCACTTCACAACAGTGGTTTGCCATTCTGACTCGCTGGATACACCCGGAATTAGTCGTATGAACTGACAAGGGCAAGGCTTGCTGGACCCCATAGCTATCACAGCTCATTGTCGATGTTGATTGGCTAGTTCTCATTTATGCTTCGTCTGGAAGAGATATATATATATATGTACGGGACCTCCCGCGAACACATTGGTATGACCATAAATGTGTCAACGAGGTATTCACTGACAGCGGCGCTTTTTCTCTCGACATCGCATGACAAAGGCAGTCAATTCCACTGGTGCATCATTTTAATCGGACGGCCATGCATATGTGGCTATCCTGCTACATCAAGTTTTTTTCAATTCACCAAAAGCTTGGAAGCATAAGTGCAAGGTGGACAAGAAAACTTGGCCCTTTGGGCGTCTGTTTTCGACACTATATATGTATATTTAAGATAAGCACTGTGATGTATTGTGATATATTTTTAGATATATTTTCCCCTTGTCGGTTTCATGGGTAGAAAGACGAAAAGGCCATAAAAAGTATCCAACGTACTGACAACCAGGCATGTATAACATCCATATGGGATGCTCCGCGGTCTTCCGCGGAAGCTCTTGCATAGAGTTGGTGTGCTACATTGAGGACTTCACATTGCTATAACCTCTAGTATTAAGAATAAACTTCGCTCACTTTTGGATAAATCAATCAGAAACTCTCAAGTACATATGTTGCGTTAAAATAACTACTCCCTACACATACTCGTCATAGAATACGGTGAAAACAGATGTTCCGCTCCGCGGCTGATCCACTAGGTATCCTCCGCATGACTTCCGCGTTTTCGTTATTGGACCAGCTTTGACCTTGATACCTTAATGTCGATGAGATATCAACATATGAGGATAGCCCTCAATTCTGGACGCCGGCAGCTTCTGGGCCCATGCAAAGTCCTTGGAAGCCTCGATCGAGCAATTAGATCTTACGCGACACAGAATCTGGCCAAAGGTGGACGACCTTTAGCATACACATGGCTCACAAAGACAGCAGAAGAAACTGTGAGCAAATCAATCTTTCTGCTCTTTTGGTATCCAAGCTAAACAATCAAAGTCCCCAGATGATATTTTGTCCAATCTTCCTTCAGGGCCTGTGAGTCCATCAGCTGCGGCCGCTTCTGTCCCTCTCCTCCTCGTCACCCCGAGCTTCGCCCACTGGCTTGATTCTTCTAGCCCTTTCTTGTCCCAATTTCTCGGTCGCCTTCATGGAAACTCCCCGGGGAACGATACTCTTTATGCTCTTGCAGCTGTGGTTGACACACTCCCGAATCCTACACCCAAAAGCCTAAATTCAAGCGAGTCCGAAGGGCTGTCGTTTCTGGCAGTAGGGCAATCAGGTGTTCAGGCAAAGGCGGCATCACCACGTCTCATTAGAAGCTCTGCCAGCGAGGAAACCAATCTCTTGTTTTCATTCCAAACCGAAGTGATTGGTCAAACCGGCAAGAGGCCTACGCACGAGATTGGATTGCGCCTTGCGAACACTATATTTGTCAATGGGAGAGAAACAACAATGTTTGGCACACGCTGGTCTTGGGACAAAACCTCGAACGGATATGCCTTGGACAGTTCGATTGATCTCACAAGCTGCGTGATTACAGCGACTTCCCAGGCTGTAAATGCCACATTGGAGTTGCCATTGCATCCCGTGACTGAACGACGACGAGTCATGACTAGCATGGGAAATATTTTACGGCAGCTAGCAAAATCGACGGATGCGACGTCGATGGACACAATCCCTGCTTCCTCGGAGCTCGAGAAGGAGCTTCCGCGGTATATTGCAGAACATAATATCGTTGACCAGCGTGTATCCGTATGGGCGCTTGTCGAGAAACCTGACTTGGAGATGGCCGACTCAAGTTCATCTACCCATGATCGCTTGATCCAATCTCTGCACCAAGGTGGAAAACTGCACCGTGTCATGAGTGGTGGGGGCGGATGGGGAAAGAAGCAAGGCCTACTTTCGCTGGATCCCGAAGTTTGCTTCTCGGGAACTGCCAACCGAGACGATCTTGTCGCATTGAGTCAAGTTTTTGATCCTGACACCGCACAGTTGGACACACTCCCTTCTATTGACAAGGGGATTACTGTAGATGATCTATCTCTCCTTTCACAGGTTGCTACTGCAGGTGATTATATTCAGTTCTTTGTGTCAGTAGAACCGACTCGGGCACAAGGAAAAGTTTCAAACAATCATGACTCCCAGGAAGAGCCTGTCAGCTATCACTTCGGAATGGTAGCAGACTCCATGGAACTTGAGACACATGAAACGGACGAGAACAGCAATGTGATTATTTCTCTGCCTCGTACCTTTGGAGCATTGTCCGAGAAGGCGATTGCCTACTCGCAGCCTATGAAAGGAGAAATGATGTCAGAGTCGTGCACAAAGCTGAATATTCCAGGATCTCGAGTTATCCTCGAAACTGTATAAACAAAATGATACATATATACATTAATACAATATATAACTGTCTGAATAACCGTCACCTAAACCTCTACATGTCACATACTAGTTACAGTGTACAACAAATGTAGTCATTACCTGTCCTGGTGGATATGCCAAGATATAACACGTGACCCAGAGAGGCCAGCATGTTTGCCGTCGACCTCCAAGCCTCTGGACTCTCCATCCTCTCCGACCGCATCCAACTGAGCTTGTCGACCTCGGGTGTTCTTATTTCCTTTTAAAGCTCAGACTACCCCATAGGAACCTCATCGGGTTGTCTTTCATCAAAATGGCCACCGAACTTTGGTAAGTCGTCAGCCAGACCTCTCCAGCCCCTGGGCGCTTGACAGCTCCCGACCGACACCTTGCTATCAAGCCCGCCAATCCTCGGAATTTATGGACCAGACTTGCTAACAATTCAATTTTCACAGCCCCGTCTATGCGGTGAGTTTTACTATATGCTAGAACCCGATGCTCGAGCACGACCAAGCCAATCGCCCGTGTCTCAGCTCCTCCGCGTCATCCACCTGCTCACAATGCATCGGAATTATAACTAATCATTCTTCTTTAGCCCTTCTTTGGTGCGCTGGGCTGCACCTCCGCTATCGTTTTCACCTGTTTCGGTGCCGCATATGGAACTGCTAAGGCCGGTGTCGGTGTTTGCTCCATGGCTGTCCTCCGCCCCGACCTGATCGTTAAGAGTACGTCAATCTTGACAAGAGCTCTGCCGATCTAGCATTGAGATAACCCTGGCCTCACGCAAGGGCATATGGCAACAAGTAGCTGACTCAGTTTCTAGACATTGTCCCCATTGTCATGGCGGGTATCATTGGTATCTACGGTCTTGTCGTGTCGGTCCTGGTCGCCAACGACTTGACCCAGAAGCTTCCTCTCTACACTGGTTTCATCCAGCTCGGTGCTGGTCTGTCTGTCGGTCTGGCTGGTCTTGCTGCGGGGTAAGCTTGCCTCACAAGGTGTTTCCCATTGATCTAGAGCTTTGTTCCTAACTCGGATTGCAGCTTCGCTATTGGTATTGTCGGTGATGCGGGTGTTCGTGGAACAGCTCAACAGCCTAGACTTTATGTCGGAATGATTCTGATTCTCATTTTCGCTGAAGTTTTGGGTAAGTCCTAGCTTGCTCCCCATACCGATCTGTATAATCGCATCTAACCATTTCCACCCTCGCAGGTCTGTACGGGCTGATTGTTGCTCTTCTCATGAACTCCCGCTCGAAAGGAGAGTGCTAAACGAAAGACCTCCCGCCGCATTCCGGGAATCGGACCTTGAATCGCCCCATGGACTGCACCTACGCGATTCCTGGTTTATTCCCGGATATGCATTCTCAATATTTCCCCGGCGTAATCCAATGTGCCTTTTCGGCCGGGGAAGTTGACATGACAAAGTTGGTGCGGGTGCAAGATTGGATGACATCGGAAAATGATAAATCGATTTCAACCCATTTGAGAGTGAAGATTCGATGACTGAGCGGATGTAGAACCGGGGGAATCTGTTCAAGCATTCGCCCTGAACTCGGTGGACAGGTGTGGGTAGATATTGGAATTTTTTGGCTTTACATTGCATAACACCGCGCTGGACTCTGTACTTTATATGAAATTCGCTGGTCCGGGACTTCAGTCTCCGTCCTCTTCCATCACGGTGGTTAGGCAGGATCTTCTGTAAGGAGTTTCTTTTTTCTTATTGTTCTTTGCCTTAGGACATCTATTTCTTCTATCTCGGGATTTTTCAAGTGTTTTGATCGGCTGGCCTTTGTGACCTAGGGTTGGGTTTGGTAGGACAGTAATTCCTATTCGTGCATTCGGCCTCATACATACATATGTAGTGGTGTTACTCACAGCCCTAAGTATTGGAGTACTCATGGTAAGTTTGCAAGAGATGATCTTAAATCAAGATATTCCCTGCTCTATTACTCCTAGTCATATTTACTGGGATCCAGCAGACACTCGTATCAGAGAAAGCAGCAGCACCATGACAGAAATTGAGTAACCAGGATCTATTGGGCTATTCGCAATGCATGCATGGGGAGAGTTAATGCCCACATAACACAAAAGCGCAAGACTGCACCTACATCTGCGGAAGTACAGCAGTTCACAGCAAAAAAACAAAGAGAGAAGAGGTATGCGTGGATATTTAATCGAGTATAGGCGAGAGAATAGGTAGGGGAGAACGAGAAAGTAATAAAAAAAAAAAGGTATGAAAACAAGGATATATGCCCTGAACTCTCACAATACTAGCCTCGACACAAAATGCACAGGCGCAGGCAAGATGCAATTGACAGCAAAAAGAACAAAAGTAAACCAGGAAACCTCAAGCATGAGTCTACTTATCAAGTTTCCGTCTCAGGGTACGCGTTCTCTTCATCAGCTTCTTGAACTTGTGCTTCTTCATCTTGGCCTTGCGCCGTCTCATAGTGCTGATGGCATGCATGGTGTGGTTGTTGCGTAGACGCTCCATGTATGTCATACCTGCGGTAGAATCAGAGGGCGCCTCAATTGAGATCTCGTCGTGCATGTTAGATGGGTCCTCCATCTCTCCGCCGCGAACGAAAGGTCCTGTATGCGCCTCGTAGGTCTTGCGGCCATCAGCGTGGCGAGCCTCGCGGATAGTCAGGACGGTCGAGTAGGTTTGGTACTCGTTATCCATCTGAGAATCGGTGAATTCGGCAGTCTCGGCAGCAGATGTGTCCATGGGGACGGGTGGGGGAGGAGGCTGGAATGGGCGAAGACGACGGGTGAATTCCTCCACGGACATCTTTGCATCGGGGCCATCCAGCATGCGGAGTTCGCCGTCTTGTTCGGTGAAGCTTCGGAACTGGTCTTCGGACTCTGACATGCCCTGAGAGCCAGTTTCCATCGACTGCACGGCCGAGGACAGAGTGAAGATGACATCCTCCGGCTCGTTCTTCAATGGCCGCTTTGACGAGAAGATCGCTTCGAAGGCATCGGTGGTCGAGGTGGGGGGCACAGTAGTTGTCACCGAGATTGGCCGGTGGATGGAGAAGAACGATGCTACATGGACATCTAGCAGCGAACAGACGGAAAAGTTAGTTTCGGGTTATTTCTTTGCCGAGAAAAAAACCATATATGGAGCTGGCTGGGGATTAAGTACTAACCATGTGGCTGTCGGTGCTGTGTTGAGGGAACACTCGGGAGGTTGGAAAATGCCGCATGCTGGCTAGACTTTGAAGATCCATTTCGGGTAGAGCTGTCCTTCCCCCGACGGCGGTTAGCCTTACTTTTCTCGTTAGACGAGTTGACTCCCTTTGCCGGGGCAGAGGTGTCCATTCGTCGGGAGCCATCGCTGGGCGGGACGGGCGGTTTGGAGGATGAGGAATACCGGCGTTGGTGCAGAGGTCGGGTTGCGCCGAGCAAGCTGCTGGTAAGATTTTGACAGGAGCGAGTTATCCCGGGAAGCGGCATGGGCGTCCATGCCGCCCGGACTAACGATGTTGACAACATGGTTGGTAGATATCCCAGTCACTGGGAAGGTGAATGAGTCTGAATCGGAGGCGAAATCAGTCGGCTCGGAACTCGGGGTCACTGATCATGCGGAAGTTATGTAATATTAATGCCTGAGGCATCAAGTTCATCAACACCTTAGGCAATCTTGAACTCGCGTGATTTGACTTGATGGGGAAAATCTCCGTCTTCTGTACATATTGGCCACGTTATTTCGTCGATCATGTGGTCGAGTCTTAGATTCTGGGGTTCTATGCATGTAATTGTGGAGAAATGGTCCATGTCGTGTGATCTACAGCAAGAAATCCGATAGTAAGCGGTCTGACGAGTGGACTAAAGCGAACAGCACTTGATACTTGAACCGTTTTTTATTTATTTTGGAAGATACATTGAGATTGGAGAGGAGGGTTGGGGAAAGTGCTCGTAAAAGAGCAGGATATCGAGTTCATTCAGATATGAGATATTGTAAATAAAGACACAGAATGATTGTGATAATACAGAGCAGTCGTTAGTAAACACAGCTGCAAAGACAAACAAATGGTATCACTCTGCATTAAAACACAAAGAAAAAGTAAGAGAAAAGGAGGAGGAAAGACGACACGGTCGCTAAACCGAAGCGTGGGCATTAGTTGGCGAAATCGGATGGGCTTTTGGATGCAACGTGATAGACCCAATGATGTGAGCAGAAAGCCGACAACAACCTCTCAATCAAGACGCCTCGTTAAAAAGAAAGAAAAGAAAAAGAGATGAAATATGGCAGAGTTCACGAAGGAGTGAACGAATAGTAGCCGCCCTGGAATGCAACCGGAAAATAACTGGTAGGCTAAACAGCTTGAGAAATATAAAATGAAAAGGAAGAGAGAGAAAAGAAATTCATCGTCACAGAGGGACAGTCATGGGGAATGCCTCGGGAATTTGAGGGCCTCTGCCTTATAGTATTAAGGTATGCAGATTCTTCTGAATGATCATGTCCTGTACTGAATCCATAGTCGCCTTGAGTAGTGTTGTATCAGTTGCATTAGTGTAATGGATGTAGATTTCGCGGTCTGGAATGCGGTTGATACCACGGAATCGGTCTGCAAAGTACTGGGCGGAGGAATCATAGTCGGTGTCAGAGCCGGTATAATCTGGGAAGTGTTTCGAGATAGACGAGATTGCGAGTTTTCCTTTGAATAGATCAATCTTGTTGAGGAACAGAATGATTGGTTTGCGCTTGAACCATTCGCCGTTGACTAGTGATTCGAATAACATCATGGCTTCGTGCATTTGATTCTGTAAAATGTGATTAGTGATGTGAGCGAGGAGATTGGAATAATCATGCTTACAGCATTCTGGTCTTCGACCAGACATTGGTCGTATCCAGATAAGGCGACCATGAACAACAGACACTGGACACCCTCGAAGCAATGGATCCATTTCTTCCGCTCTGACCGCTGTCCTCCAACATCCATCATGCGGAAGTTCATCTGTCCGAGCTCAAACAGAGTCTCCGTGATACCTGTTGTACGAAGTCGAGCCTGCAACATGTCCTGGTTATCAGGAAGCCAGCCCTGTGTGAATATGCGATCGAGGGATTCATAGAAACTAAGTTTCGTCAGCCTAGACTCATGTAATGCATCGCCAATTCGACTTACTAGTACAAGTTGTCATGGAGAGCAAATTCGTGCCCCCGTGCAACGGCCTTCTGCACACCTTTGTCCTTCCACATGGCCCTCATGGCATCACGAACCTCGAGATCAGAGAAGGCTTCGTCGGACCCTACATCTGGGTCGGTCTTATCTAATAGGTCCGCAAATGGCTTTCAACCCCCGTTAGCTGGTGTGGGTTTCTTGGGAAGGAAGGTGAGTAGTACCTTGGTCTTTTCCTCGTTCTCGAAATCGATATCCTCGGCATTCATGATATCCAACAAGACTTTGAATGCAATGACGATGTTCGAATAGATTATAGCACGGGTTTGGTGACGCTCTTCCTCGGGGAAGCCCCGGCTATGAATGATTCGCATCTGCTTGATAATTGTGGACTTGCCAGACTCTCCCGCGCCTGGGTATTTCGTTAGCAACACGGCACTGAAGCAAGACGACAACCAGCGACCGAGAATCACCCACCTAATAGCAGAATCTTGATAGTCCGGTCTAGCGTCTTCTTGTCATTCTTGATAGTCCGATCAATCCGCGCATTGCGCTGGAAAGCTTCCTTATCAACCTCCTCGGGCTTCGAAACTAAGCAACCCATGATTTACGTTCGATAACAACAAACGACCTAGAGCGACGGTGGTTAGCAACGATTCATTGCAAGCTGAACTGGCTCAACAAGGAGTCGACGCATCAACATGTATTCGATCTGAATCAGGGATGCGATGGGATTGCGCCACTCGGGAGTCCAGTCGAAGCTCAGAGACAAAAGACTCGACTAAACTCCACCAGACTCGACAGCCGACTAGGTTCTCCGCACAAGGTGGTAGATGTGCCTACCTTCAAAAAAAGAACAAAATCCTCCCCGTGTATTATGCCAAAGTCCAACCCAACGTTGAATGACTGGTGTGCGACGTGATAGGCACAAGCTTGAGAGGTTCGATCGGTGCTTCCGTTGTTTCCCCACACCTATCGACCACGTTCCGTTGTGAATTGGGCGGTTGTGTTTCCAATTGGACCAGGTTATCCTCCGAGACAGGCGCCGAATCCGTGTGAGAAACACAGGGTCAGCCTGCCGAAGGCCAAATAGGAAGCTTGAGGGGGAGAGACGTTGGCGGTAACGGGGGAAGCCGAGATCGCGTTCCAAAGTTCAAAAGATGGGCTTTTCCCGAGTTATGGGGACAAAAGGACGTTCGGAAGTTGAGGGCCGAGTGCTCCGGAGGGGAGAAAGAGAGAGGGGGCGAGAAATGGAAGAAATGGAATGGCGCATTCAAGGCCGGTTGTACATCTCTCCCGTCCCACGAGCGAGTCCACAAGCGGGGAGAGAATGGAGAATGGAGAATGGAGAAAGGAAGAATGTCGGTGATCAGGGCTGTCAGATATTTTGGTATTCTGTATACTTACTTCGGTATCTTTGGACTTTGTATCCCTTAATATTTGGTATTCTTGAGTATCTTCAGGTATTCTATCTATCCAGGTCGAAGGAATACGGAGTACATGATATATCAATGTTTCTTCCTTATCACTCTTTTTTTTTTCTCTTTATCTTTTTCTTTTAGCAATCTCCTCTTTGTCGAATACAAAGGCTTTACTCCGTACTTTCGTACAAAATCTTCACTTTGTTCCCAGGGGGGCCCGCTAGGCCGATCCACCATGGGGGCGCTTGACCCCTGTTCTACTATCACTGCAAACAGATACTGCAGTTCGGTTCTTCTACAAAGTACTGTTATATTATCTTTTTCTGATATATAATATATATATATATATATATTTAATAGTCTAACAGGAGACAAAGAGAGGGAGAGATAGGGTAAAAAAAAAATCAAAATATCACGGAGTAGAGATCCATCAAATGGCACTATTGAAAGCACTTTCGGGAACACCAAACACGTTGATCCAATCAGCAGGTTTTCTGGAACAATTGAATTGTTTTTTTCTTTTTTTCTTTCCTTTTTATTTTCAAAGAAAGAAGAAAATGGCATGGCAACATGTACTCTGTACGGAGTACAGCACCCGATGTACACAATACGAAAGGAGGCAGTAATGTAATCCGTACTCCGTACAAATGTTGCATTCGCCAAGCCAATGCGGAATGCAAAGCTGCAACGATCGACACGAAGGTGCTGAAACCTACATTGGCGTGCCAGTGGCCAATGCAAGGGCCATTCTGAAACGTTGGCGGATTTCTATCCCGGGTCAACACTAAGGGTCTGCTTGGATCACCATGGGCATCTTGCTCTTCTCTCCTACGTATTGGCCCGTCCACTAGAGCCCCGAGATTCGCATTTGTACAAGATACTTCGTTATGTACTCTGTACCTCCACACCACACTGTTCTACCGAGGTTTAGACGGACCTAAGGCTAACACCGAATTTCAGCGCTTGGGGGCTTTCACATACACCAATCAGAGAGCTCGAATCCCACTCGCTTACTTCCACGTTATCAGGGACATTCCGAAGGGCTCCATCACGAGAAACATATGTTCGGTGGATCGCTGTCATTTCCCTTCGCCCCCACAGCGTACAACTTTCACCATGTTTGAGCCGCAGGTGAACCTGCCAGAAGCAAATACTTTGTATGGAGTATGGATCTGACTCGTAACGAGGAGGAGATGACCAACTGTACTTAAAGGAGTTCACTTTTGCTGCGTAGTAAGCCTGTGACACTCGGGAGTCCAGGCCAAAAGTGTCTGAAACAAAAGACCAATTGCCCCATTCTACAGTTCGCAGTCCCCGATTTCAAGATATGATTTTCATTAATTTCGGGCAATCTCACCACGCCATTGTACTACTAAGGCAGGGGGTGATCCATTTTGGGACTGGTCAAATGCACATGTGGAGATCGGTTAGCCCCCCAAAAGCCATGTCACATTTGATCCTGAGAATATTTACGGAGTAGCGTGACGACGAAAAGAACACAATCATCTATAGCCTTTGGATCAGAAACTGTGGCCTTTTCACCCTGGAACTTTTGCCTTGAAGAGTCTAATTAGACCTTACCTGATTTATCCTAATTCTTCCAAGACTCAATTGGTGTCTGAGTCACTCTGACTACGTGAGCAGTTTCCAAGGTTAATCCACGTAGTCTAAGTGTGATTGAAGTTGAATATATGTGAGATATAAGAGTGGTCGAGTGGTGACCATAATCAGCATCGATCCTTAGTCGTTGCAGGCGCGTCGCATGTTGTATGAGTTGTGTTATGAAATCAACCGTGTCTTCTTTATCCATTGCGTATCTAAACGTGGGGGTTTCCAGACTAGAATATGTAGTAATGAACTTAGGCTCTTGGAGGAGGCCTTTGTCGAGGTGGGGTATGTTAATCAGGTTCCCTCCACAGGAATTTAGCGGACTCTCTATTGCAGTGATAATGCTGAGAAGGATTGTAATCGTATCACATGGGGTCAGGATATTACAACATCGATGGGCCGGAACGATCCGGCGTGAAGTGCTTGTACAGGCAAAAGGACCGGCAGTTCACCAGGCGCAGTAAGGTATCCTGTCACCGTTGAATAGATTCTTGTGGGGTAACAATAAGTCCAGAGGTGTGCCGCTCCCACTTGAGTCCTGATCTTAAGATATCCTCGTCCATGCCGTTGATATATAATGAGCAGACATGTGGACATAGTTGCAGATTCTGCGATAACATGTCCAGCCTCTAAAGAGAGGCCAGGGACAGGGCCGTCTTAATAGTCTTGAGATAGGTCTTGCAAAATTGAGGCAAGGTGCAGTCAGTCATATAGGGATTTGCAGGTGAGTCGGAAAGAACACAAGGCTGGGGAGTCTAAGGAAGCGCTTATTTCTAGCAACAGTTCAAGCGGCAGGTAGCACAAAGGGAAAGAAATGGAATCTTTGGGAATTCTGATCTTATGAGCAAACGCGCGGAAGGTCCTTGAAGCCCCACTGAGACTTAGAGATGGACCCATGATGACTTTGTTAAGAGGAAGAGTGTTGGTGCTAGCAACCATGATGGAACATCGAAAGTAACTACTTCAAATTATGGCACACTTTTATATTTGAAGGTCTTCCAACAAGCCCTGAAGGTTAAAGCTACTTGATAATTTCATAATTTAATCACTCCAACTTCCAAGGTTCTCTGCTAGTTCCAAGGCAGTTCATCGGGCGAAGGCATACATAAACAAGCAAACCTCAAGAACTTGGTTCTCACAAATCTCTAATCCAGCCTCCCAAACCAAGTCACCGGGGAAAACTGGGTGGCCAAGTGCAGTATTCAGGATGGCTGGTATACAACATGATAAAAATGCCATACTCTGTGACTGCTAATTCCAGGGAAAGGGAATTAAGATAGTGACTGACGCGCTGTGATGCCAAGCAGCACGTGTACGGAGTAGACCTTTCCTGATTATGAACTCTATACTCCGTACTTAGGTATCCGGTAATTCGCCGAGTAGGTACGAAGTACTCCGTACTCCGTATACCGTTGTACTCTTAGTATGAAATGTCATAAAATGAATCTGGATCAACCTAGACCAGGCTAGTTCGTATTACCGATCTTAGGACGAAAATTCTCCGTGGCCCGATATGCCCAGAGATGCGATCGAGACTATCATTATAGTACATACTCCGTACCCGGTGGGCCGAGCTTCCCCTAGCGGCTTACCAAGTGCTTACCAGGTGCTTGCCAGGTGCTTGCCAGGTGCTTACCGATGTAAAAGAGGAGCCCCGGCTACTCAACCCCTGAGATTGGGGTTCTGCCTCCACATGCAACTTCCCGAGGAATTTCCCGCATGTGTGTTGTGTTTCTCTGTGGTCGGAAGCCCTGGAGGCATATCTGAGGTATTAATTCTCATACGGAGCACATCCTCATCTCCTGTCATTTTATGCATAACGGGTGCTCCACTGGTGTATCATGAAGCTCTGGCAAATCTTCATACCGAAACCCTACGCCTTAACACTAGGTATAAATCAGGAGCTTACAACATTGGAAGCCTGCGGCCCCAAATGTCTTATATTATAATAATATATAACTAACTATTGTATAACTACCTAACAAGTCCCTGGGGGGGGCTCTCTTATCCCCAAGTTTTGCAATAGAGTTCCCGGCAGAACACATGTAAAGAGGATCGAGGTCCGCCAAAGCTAGACGCCACACACGGCATCTGGAATAAGAAATTCAAATTAAACATATACCTAACTACCCATATACTCCGTACCTACCTACAGCATACTATTTGTAGGTAGGAGCTGAAGCAAGTGCAAAAGTTAAGGGTAAACCCGCCAACGGCAAACGGGCAAACCATTCAGGGGCGTTGAGTGGGACTGGAGCAATTTAAACGTTGTCGATCAGCATTTGACAGCAGGTCTAATTCCAAAATTTCCAAAGCCCGAGCGTACGTCGTTCGGGAATAGCTCCGGAGCTGATATACCTAGTCCAGCATAGTGGGGAGATGTCACTTGCTCGGGATTTTTTTCGAGGGTAAAAGAAGTAAATAACAAATGAAACATGGAGAATCATAACCATTTTTAGTGGCCGTTATTATGAGTCTATATTTAGACTATGTATACTCCTGAAGGAGAGGACTTCAGTACTTTGTACATACTCCTAAAGGGGATTTGTTGAGAAGATAGACGTTTTTTTTTGTTACTAGTCCCTATGCTAAGAGATACCTACCAATTACGGAATACAGAATCCCTGCTCTCTCTCTCTCTCTCTCTCTCTCTCTCTTCCGTAAGGGAATGGGATACATAAACTAATGGTGGCGCGGTTTCCGCCAACTAAATCGAATTCTTGTACTCCGTTCGTTGTATGTTGTACGGGGGTAAAGAATTGAATAGGCCCACAAGGCTAGTGTCATTTTATTTCAGCAATAATAATTACAGCTCTTGATCATGTACCTCTATATATATGCCGAGGTTATTCTGGTCAGTTTCCCAACGCAACTTGAGTAATAGATGTGAAGCCAAGGTTCGCATTGAAGATACCAGAGAGCTAAGTACGGATTAGGGCATTCAGCTGATTCTGTCAAGTAACCATTCAAGATTATTCTTTATAGTGATTGGACAAATTGATGTTTCGACCATTGGGAGATGAATGGTTTAGATCACTCTCATTCGGAGACAAAGTGTTGGTGACGTCACTGAACAGTTCCAGAAAATTGCATGTATCCATAGACTACACCTCGCAGAACCGATTTTCTTATTCTCCATAGTCTTCAAAGTCTACAATGGGCCGCATACAGAAAAGAGCGCTAGTGGTAATCTTCCCTGAGTTCAACATCCTCGATGTGAGCGGTCCAGTTTCAGTACTCTACAACTCGAACTTCTCCGTGAGCTATGCCGCCAAGGATGAGCTCACAACATCTCAAGAGAACGCGACAGTTAAAAGAGACATATCATTTGCTGAGGCCAAACTTCAACTTTCCGATTATGAGATATTGATCGTCCCTGGCTCACGACCAAATAATATCCTACCACATGTGGAACACGAGCAGGGGCAGCTATCGGAGCTTGTCGAATTTATCACCAGTTTCGCGTCATATACGGATCAAGAAAGCGTGCGACAACGTACCATCCTGGCCGTCTGCATTGGAGCCTACTTCTTAGCTTTTGGAGGTGTGCTTGATGGCCTCTCTGCAACCACACACCGTCTTGCTATCCCCGGGCTACGAGATGCAACCCAACGTTATATAGATCAAACCCCCGGTGCCAAAGGGACGCAAGTTGTCCTTGAAGGCACCTCGGGTCCGGTCTCCTATCTAGATGCTGGTCGGAACCATTTTGGAGTAAGAATCATCACGACTGGCGCTATGATCAATGGTATCGATGCCGCATTGCATTTTGTCAGCCTTGGTTCGAGCCCGTCACTCGCAGTTGAGGTCGCGGGACTCATTGGGCATCAATTGAAGGAGATATAGATATAGCGCTAGTGGTACAAGGAAAGCGATCAGGTCACGCTCATCTTGGCAGAACCAGTCTTTAACATCAGTTTTTTTATATTTTAATCATGTCATGCGAAAAATTTGGAGTATCGCAGGGTGCTATCTACAAGAAAAGTTGAATATAAAATCACCACATAGAGTTGAAGCTTCGTTGGGGGCAGCTCATGTGGCTGTCCAACAAAAACTACCGCAAACGCTCCTATTAATTCCACGATTTCTTCATAGCAACGTGTAATACTCAAAGAGTATAGTACCATCCTATCATGCCCTCAATCTGGATATTTGTCTCCCGGGCTTTTTTGTTTCTTCTCCACAAGTAAATGTCCATAATTAGGATTAGGCATATGCTAACCATTGCAATACCGAATGTCACCCAAATGCCCGTAGTATAATGCGGACTTTCATCAGACTTGAACGCAACGCTTGCAATGATACCGCCAAGGCCCCCGCCAATGAGACAGGTTGCCGATGCGACTCCGCGCTTCGAGTGGGAAGTAATGTTGTTCGCTTGGAATGCGAGTACACCGGGGATACAAAACTGCAGGAATCCCACTCCTAGAGTATAATGTTAGATATATAGCCATTCATCTTGAAAAGATTGAGAGCTCACCTATGAATATCCCAAAGTATCTTACCCCACTTACGCCACCATAGGCTGTGATCAACATCCCTACTGCTGTCAGAAGTTGATGGACAGCAATCACCGGCCCGCGGATTTGATATCTATCAGTGAGCCAGCCGCCGAAATATGTAAAGACTGCAGCCAGAATGTAGGGAGGGGCACTGAGAAGCTGACTCTGCGTGCTGCTGAACCCCATGCCCGTAAGGATGACTGTTTGGAAGTAGCTGTACGCATAACCGGGCAGGGTGGAGGCCATGAGATTAAATGCCCAAAAATACAACTTCCAGTCCTTAAGATGATGAAGAACCCGTTCCATTGTAATTGGATCCTGTTCCGCATCTCCACTGTCGTTGTTGATGCGAGCGATGATAAATTCCTTTTCCTCCGGCTCGAGAAACGTATCTGCCTGAGTTGGAAAATCTATTATGATGAACCAGCCAATCAAACAAACGCTACTGGTAATGGCACCCTCGATGATGAAAATCCCTAGAGTATAATCACGATTCACAGTCAGCCGCTGCCATTCTCATGGCATAGAGATGAACACGTACAGCGCCATCCGTTCAGCCCATGAGTTCCGTCTAGCAGTGTCAAAGCATAGGCAAAGATTGCAGCGAAAGCATTCAGTACAACGGAAACCAGCCAGAAAGCGGCCAGTCTCTTGCCCACCTCAAATCGCGTGTACCAGCAAGTAATTAGATAGGTGCAACCTGTATAGTTAGTTATGTATAACTTGGAGACACAGTTTATTTCGATATACCTGGAAGAAACCCGGCTTCCATTACACCTAAAAAAGAATACTGGGTCAGCAAGTTAGAATGGAAAAGGAGGACATCTCTTTACCTAACAGGACTCGGCAAGCTATCATTGTAGTCCAACTTTTGGCGAAACCCATGCCGATCAAGATCACCCCAAAGCTAAATCCAAGAAATCCTAGCCAGTTTGCTGCACCGGCCCGAGGAAGGACGAGATTCTGTGTTTCTTTCATTAGTAATGATTCCTGGTCGAAGAGTGCAGACATACGCTAGGTATCTCGAATATACTAATTAAGATACAAAGTTAGAAAATCAGTACACTCAAAATGTTTCCGGGTAATATGAAAGGGCTTACATGTATGCCACGAAAAATACCATAACAATTATCGTATACCTATTGCCGATGTTGAGTCCAAGATCTTCCTCCATCCCTGCTACAAATGCAAGACCAAGATTGGTCCTATCAATAAGGGATATGGAATACATTATTCCGAGAATTGGGAGGAGGCGAAGATCAACGCGTCGACTAGTCCGAACATTAGAGTTGGCTTGGTGACAATGCTGGAATGTAGAGGGAACACACATCACTCCTTTTTGATGTGCCTCGTCAATACCATACACAGGGGATTCATTGCCTGGTTTCTGGTGTGCCGGCTCTTGTTCCTCAAGGTGGATAAATTCCAAGTTCTCTTTCTTCATAGATTCATCCTCCGGAGGGGTGGCCGAAATCGATGCCATTGTTGTGAATTGATGGGTTTATTGATACTTCGACAAAGCCAGAGAATGAAAAACTGATATAAATTGGGAACAAGGACGTAGACGGTACTTTAAGAGATTATATTGAAGAAGATCTTAACCGAGCTTATTCAACATAGCACCAACAGCCTTGGTAGAGCCTCGGAACAAGATGGGCCCTCGGAACAAGATGGGCAATCGAAGAATCCGGGAAGCTATCAAGATTACCCCTCAACTTTTTGCTTGATGCCAAGCAACAGAGGACATCAAAGCCGGGGGGGACTTTTCTTAACTTGGCATCGAGAGGGGGTTCCTATCATATACAGGAATCTCACAGATATCTAATATAAAAAAAGGGACGGGGAGGATTGTAGTATCAAAACCCCGCACCGTACTCAAATCTAAAGAGGCTATGGCGAGCAAGTAGCCTTTATTTTGAACTTAGCTTGCCAAATTGGAAGCAAGACCGAGTGGTAGCAATCAGTTTGCTCAGGATCTCCTAAAGATGTAACCAACTAGCAACTGCGACTGCTAATTGATGGACAAGTGTAACTAAAACATCAACATTGTCAAGTTCGGGTTGGTAATTGATAGAAAGCATAGTGCAGAAATAGGAATAAACTATCCACTGGCGATTCTAGTGGCCTCATAAAACATTGAGGCTCAGGCTTCTGACATCCTAGGGTCTCTTTATATCAGTCTTCCTCGATTTCATATATCTTTAGTGTTTATGTATTTGAACCAGTTCTACTGCACACTTTCTCCATGTGTAATATTAGTATGTATTGGCTTTTTCAACCCTAAGAAGCAAACCCAAAAGTGGCGGCTTCATGCGATATTCGGCTATATGCTCTATATAATAGTATTGAGTCCCGCCAAAATATCTTGATAAATTTTCCAAAAAAAGAAAGTATTTCAGTACGTACTCCAATTTCCAGAGCGTTGACAAGATTCTGTAATGTCAGGTTTTTTTTTCAATATTCTACATGTACTCGATAGTGGTCGAACAAAGTCGCAAGGCTTTCGAGGTTCACGTCGAACAGATCTGTCATTGCGTGGGGCACTTCATACAGCTGGAAACGCATGTTTTGGACGCCTTTCGTACATTGATATGACTATCAGGCTAATATAATCAATGAGCTGTTCATATCTAGAGGATGGAACAAGCGGTAAAGCTACAGATGGAATAATCTCCCCACATTTACCCCTCACGTCAGGTATCAAGATGTTGTGTCCTTCAGTACATCGTGCACATCTCCCATTATTGCTTGTTTTATTTTATTTGTAATGGCAAATAAAATATTATCAATAGCTGACCTTGAGGAGGTTGCTTCCAACTCACTATCCATCTCCGCGAGAGGTATGAATTGAATCTCCCTCATGTGGCCACGAATATTTATCTCTTAACGGGGAGAAATAGACTTCTTCAACTCCGGTGCAACAAATCAAGTCACGCTTCACGACAATTATGCTGCGTATAGAAAATACCGTCTCTTACCAAGGGTTCTAAGAGATGTCTCATGCGTCGACACTGGAATTTCCCTCTTTGACCGAAATATCCTATTTCCGCTCTGTGTCTCACCCACCGGATTGCAGGTTATGGCCCACCCAGAAGGTGAGTTGGCAACAAGCCGAGCCTGTGCCAAAATGGGTATAAATATGGGCGTCTCTTCCTATGCCAATCACTCGGTTGAAGAAATCACCGTCGCTGGAAAAGAAGTGGGACCAATTCATCATGTGATGCAGCTCTACGCGATGAACGACAAAGCTAAACAAGAACGGATTGTCCGTCGGGCAGAGGCTGCGGGTTGCAAGGCAATATTTCTGACAGCAGATAGTCCGGTACTTGGGGTGCGTTGGAATGAATGGCGCAATGGATTCATGCCTCCAGTTGGCCTGGGGTACCCGATGTATGAGAAAACATCTACCGAGATTCAGCAACAATCTCATGATGATGGCTTTAGCTCGACAAACTCAGTTTCCCATTCCTGGGCCACGGAGATACCGTGGTTGCGCAGCGTCACAAAGATGGAGATTTGGATTAAAGGCATTCTCACCCCGGAAGATGTCGAGACTGCTATCGAATATGGTTGCGATGGTATCATAATTAGCAACCATGGTGGTCGACAGCTGGATGAGACACCAGCCACAATTGATGCGCTTCCTGCCTGTGCTAAGACTGCGCGGGGGCGGATCAAGATTCATATTGATGGTGGAATTCGATCTGGGGTGGACATTTTCAAGGCCTTGGCTCTTGGTGCTGAATGCTGCTGGGTTGGTCGTCCTGCGCTTTGGGGACTCGCGGTAAGTGCTGCTTGTTACAGTAAAAATCGTGATAGAGGCGGGTGTACTGACTCCGTTCGTAGTATGACGGTCAACAGGGGGTCGAGCTAATGCTCAAGATCCTGTTCGATGACTTCAAGCGATGCATGCAGCTCACAGGCTGTAGATCCATCTCTGAGATCAGCTCGGCAAACCTAGCAATTGTTAATGCATATGGACCTTTGGCTAGACTGTGATCTACATTGTTGTGATTATTTCTAGTGGTCGAAAATGTTCTATTTCCGCTGCATGCTCACCCCTTGCCACTTTTTGATCTCGGTGTAATATTGAGCCCCTAAGCACATCGCCTGATCCACCTGTCCAGTCTGTTGAGGACACTCAGATGATTGTCCTTTTGTCTTGGTGCTGTAAAGTGACAGCCTGGTAGCCTTCGAACTCTTTCAAGAAGTTTGCCATCTCAAAGGGATCATGATTTGAGGCGGGATTGCCAGGGCAAATGCCTCTCAAAACACCTCTCTCCTGAGTGAAAGCATAGATAAATATATATCTTTGGTTTCTGGCAAAATGTAATTTTTATACAGAGTGTAGTCTGTTGTTTGACTCTATCGCGAGAAATTCATTGGCGCTGACTGATAGCCCGTTTCTGGGGTTTATTTCCCATGAACTAGTCACTTGGCGTGTGACCTCACGTATTGGAGAGGATAAAAGGTTCTAGGCTGAATATCATAGCTCAGCTGAAATGCAGGTTGCTAATAGTTCCTGGGCCTGCCCAGGTGACCTCGGGACCTTGGGTACCTACCTAGGTAGGTAAATGCAACGCGCTGAGTCAGCACCGGTGGGCTCCAGCCCTGGAGGGCTCCACACCTGGGTAACGTAACCTTGGAAGCTCCCCCTGTAGCCTGGGCAGCCCAGCTAGGGCCGCCAAGAGTTACCTGACCCCGAGTGTGACGCCATTCCCCAGCTTCTCCTCGTTGCCTAAGGAATAATACCCACCGAGATTCGTTCAGTCCATGATTCTCGGATAAGTATCATCTTCTTAAAACACTGTAGTATTTCCAAGAACGGCTCCGCCATCATTCAGGTATGTCTTCAGGAGCGCGTTGTGTTCTACAGCTATGGGGGATGTGCTAATAGCTCCCCAGTGACCATAGGAAACGTGAACTACTCGTTGCACAATATGCAGTCCGAGAAGCATACGCTTTTGGACATAAAAGAAGTCTACAATTCTGATGACAATGGCTTTGTTTCTATCCACACCTGTCGCAATAAGCAACAAAGAAATCGCCCCTGTTGGGCGAGAACCCTAAGAAAAGGGCTCTGCTTCTTTGTGATCACTGGTCTTATTACCTACCATCTAGGTTTCCCGCATGGTATGAGTCCCTTCTCCCTATTAGAATGCGCCGCTGACATGACCTTTCTCATGATTAGGCTCTCCGTCTACTGAGAAGAACCCATCCCCACACCTCGAGGCTCCCCCGCTTTGCCAGTCACAAGAATGCATTCATGCTGCATCCGAAATCCTCTACAACCTAGATCCTAAATATGAGGATATAGATCCCTGCACTGATTTCGATCAATATGTCTGCGGTGGATGGAGGGAGCACCATGACATGCGGCCCGATCAGGGATCGATATTTGCGGGCACAATCATGGAAGAGAATGCCCAGACTAAACTTCGTCATATCCTGGAGCGCACAGAACCGCCGCAGTCATCTGATGCTGACAATTTCAAGAAACTCAAGGCTGCATACGATGCTTGCTTGGATGAGGCTACAGTCAACAAACGAGGCAGTGAGCCTTTGATTAGCATTCTGGATGAACTGAGAACCATCTATCCTGCAAAAGCAGGTCTTGTGAAAGGAGCGCAGGACCAACTCACCAGTGCTCTGTTGTATCTGGCAAACGCTGGTGTTGAAGCTCTGGCTTCTTCCGGTGTTACTGTAAGCCTATGTGGTCTACACTTTATGAGCGCCACTGATAAATTCTCTTAGCCCGACGACCGAGACCCCGATAATGTTGTGATCATGATCTCGCCGCCTCGGGAAATCGGACTTCCTGCTAGAGAGTACTATAATAACACAAAGACCGTGGCTGATTATACGACTGTTTTGAAGCAAGTTGTTCGGGGACTTTCTGGAGACGGATTTGACAAAATTGCCGAGGATGTTGTAGCCTTTGAAAAGAAGCTCGCAGATGTGACTCCGGACACCCAAACCCAGGAAGATGTTACCAAATACTACAATCCCCTTAGCGTCAAGGAAACGGAGGCATTGCTACCTGAGATCTCTTTTGCTGATATTATTTCATCTTTGGCACCCCATGACTACAAGGTTGATCGCCTAATTATTGGCTCACCTTCCTATATGAAGGCATTGTCTGTTCTCTTGAAAGATACACCCAGGGAGACTGTTCTACTCTTCTTGCAGTGGAAGCTCATCCAAGCGTTTGCGGATGTTATTGAGGATTCCTCCGTCGAACCCCTTCGGCGATTCCGGAATGAACTCGCCGGCAAAGAGCCTCAGGCCAAGGAGGAGCGATGGCGTAAATGCCTCGGACATCTGGATGAAGGGCTTGAATGGAGCCTCAGCCGTTTCTATGTGCTCGATGCGTTCTCTGAGGACTCAAAGAAACTTGGCGATCAGATAGTTTCCGATATCAAGGAGCGATTTATCTTCACCTTGGACCAGACTAGCTGGATGTCCCCGGATGTCCGAAAATTGGGCATTGAGAAGGTAGGAAACATTATCCAGAAGATCGGATTTCCCACAAAGAGTCCCAATGTTTTGGACCCCGATGATGTGAATAAATTCTATCGGGATTTGGAATTGTCCAAGGACACTTTCTTCGAGAACGAGGTGGCTATGGCGAGGTTCCAACTTCATAATGAATGGTCTAAGCTCGGAAAGCCCACCAACCGTGACGAATGGGACATGAGTTCACCGACTGTTAACGCTTATTACAACCCGCCAGGGAATGAGATTGTCTTCCCAGCCGGTATTATGCAACCGCCGGCGTTCTATGGACCTTCGGCTCCATTGTATCTAGCATATGGTGCATTTGGTGCCGTCAGTGGCCACGAACTTTCACATGGTATGTTCAATTCTCTGCAACCTGTAACAACTATTGCCGTTTTCTGACTGACTAATGTGATACAGCTTTCGATTCTACCGGTCGTCACTACGACGAGAGTGGGAACTACACTAACTGGTGGGATGATAAAACCGTTGAAGCATTTGAAGAGCGTGCTCAATGCTTTGTCGACCAGTATTCCAAGTTTACTGTCATTGGCCCCGAGGACAAGGTCCTCAACGTGAACGGACGGCTGACATTGGGTGAGAACATTGCCGACGCTGGAGGTTTGACAGCATCATACCACGCATGGAAGAAGCATGATGAGGCAAAGCCTGACCCCCATCTCCCGGGATTGGATGCATTCACCAAGGAGCAGCTGTTCTTTATATCTTATGGTAACTGGTGGTGTGGGAAGACTACCAAGGAGGCGGCTGAGCAAGCGATCTATAACGATCCCCATGCGCCCAAATCAGCACGGATTATCGTGAGTCTTATCAATGAACTCTTTTACTTGTGTGCCATCACTGACTGTTGTTACAGGAAACTATGGCCAACTCCAGGGAATTCAAGAATGCCTTTAGTTGCCCAGATAAGAAGCCAGTTTGCAAGCTCTGGTAGTTTTGAGTAATTTACTATCAATGGCATTTGCTTTCAGGAGTTCTGAGTAATTTGAGTATTCTGACTTGATCATAAGTGTGTAGCACTGGGATATCTAATCCATCACCGACCCTACAAATGGATTCTAACGATGCTGAGTGGGGGATATTCTGCTCGGGCAAGATGCTGAAACCCTACAGCTGCTAATCTCCACAGCGATCGCTGCTCAACACAAGCGGGAGCAAGCCTCGGGGCATGACCGAATTCAGCATCGACGGCCAGATCCCAAAATGACTGAGGAAGAGGAAGAGAATGGATCTACCTAAGTATGTACGTAGTCGCCTACCTAGGTAGATCAGCAAGTTCCGAGCTCCTCACCTCTTCAGAGTCAGGTGATTTTTTTTTTTCTTGCCCCCCTTACCAGTTTGATTGAGGTTTGACATGTGAGGTCTCATTTACGGCAAATGATGGCCAGGTGTAATTGAAGTCCAAATTGCCGGATATGTATAACATATGCTTAGAGGCCGACATTGAATACTCCACAGTAGGCGGCTCATTTATGGGCTAGTGAGATAATAAAATATGAACTTAATCAAGAAAAGCCCACCAAAAAAAGCCCCCAATAAATTTCGACTCTCTAAATTTGCGGCAATCAGACGATCGTGGGGACCTCAGATCTTTTGGGTCATGTGAGAATCTAGTATTTGCGCTAGTATATGGCGTATAAAGTACATAGAAGTAGGATAGCCAATAATCTAAACTAGGGCGTTATTGCGCGATAATGTCCGTTTCCCGGTCTTCTAACGTTGTAATGAGAGATGTCACACAGTTAATATAATCCTGTGCATTTGAGAAACATCGACACACATTTTTGAGTCAAAATATTATACGGAATACTCCCGGAGTAGGTACCTCTCGTATAAACGTAGTTTAAAATTAAAACATATAAGTTGATAGACCCGATATGTCAAGACGGTAACTCCGCCAACTCCCCTTGGAATGTTCCCATTTTGGCGCAAAGTGGAGATGGAAATAACGGCTGAGGATTGAGCCAACCAGCATCCCCTGTTTTTAACTGAGTACTTTTGTTTTTGGACTCCGTACTTCTTGTAGACAAGTTCGGCCCCGAAACAGGGTTCTGGCTGTTCACTAGCCTTCCGGAACATAGTGACCTATCATCATCCTCTCGAGAGAGAATGTTTGAAGTGATGAGTGGCTACTCCGTATTACAGGACGTGTGAGTAGATTATTAATATATATTCCGTAGTTAACTACGGAGTAGGTAAGGAAGTAAATCGAATTAAAAAGAAAAGGGGGCATTCCTATCGGAAAAGGGAAGACCCAGCGTTCCCAGTACAGCCCAGTGTTAGTGTGTTCGTGTTAGTGTTCCCTCCGTTCTTCCCGCCGCGTCGGGCTATCTCCACAAAACAAGAGCTGTCCGATTTCTTCCTTTCTTTTTTTTTTGTTTAAACCCTTCTGACCTCATAGGTCATGTATTATTTTGTATGATTTTGTATGATTTTGCTCTGACATCTTCCAGTGGTACAAACTCTGGCCCCGTCGCGACGGGAGTATTCTGCGCGTCATGGAGCCATTTCCTCCACCTATCGATCCATCGGAGTTCAAGGATGCCTTTTTGGGCCCGCAAGTCCAAATCAATGAGCTCTCAGCCTCAAACCGAATGTCTAGTGGAGGGCATCCAATCGCGAATCTTCGTCGTGCCAATACCGTAGCCCAGGGTGGTAATCTCAAGCGGAACCTAGAATTGAAGGCAGCACGCGAGAGAACAGCAACCGGGATAAACTCCAAGGCTAGCTATGAGCTCCTACGACAGAACAGTCTACAACGGTCCCAAACACATCGTGGCCCGCTAGAGGCGCGTCCATCCGGGAGGAAGGTCGGCCATTTCGCCGTAAAAAGTGTCGGCCAAAATGGGAAAATATTTCTCAGGTATACCAATTGATCCATTATTACTTGTGCTGTGTCACATAATGCGCAGCCTGCTGATAGTAAGACTATTTCAATAATATAGGCCGATTGCCAATTCGTCCCAGAAAAGCCCACAGCCTACGTCCTTCTCTCCTGTCGATACTACGAACCCTGGTCTTCTTCAGCCGCAGCCTCATGCAAATACCCGCGAGGATCTAGATCCGTCTAGGTGGTCGAGCTCGCAGCTCTCTGAATTACGCCCGCGCGAACAGCCCGAGGATCCCGAGTCCGTCTCCGTGCCTCCTCCTCCCGAACTCTCGAGCCAGCACCGCACGAGACCGATCTCGTTTTCGACAATATCGGAGCAGCAGTCGATAGCCGGTGCTGGGAAGCGTGGGGAGTTGCGGATCGTGATCGATAGATCTGAAGACCGGCCCAAGTCTGCACGTGAGAATTCGACACCAGCCTTGGAGGTTCCTATTCCGCGTTTTCGGCTCGGGTCGCCGCGATTCAACGCGGAAGGCAGTGCAATGATCCAGAGCTCAGTCTACACGCGGGCCTCGATATCGGACAACTTTCGGAATTCAACACTACTTGGAGGCATGACAGATACTCTGCCGGGACTCCATAGTCCATACCCTCGAGACTCTTTCTCGCGGCATCGGCCATCTTTTGCAATTTCAATGTTTTCGGGCACCGCGGCGGCTATGGATATGAACAGAGCTTCACCAGTTCCGAGGAATTCCATGGTCTATGAATTGAAAGAGCCAGTTGAGCCATCAATTTACGAAACGCTGGTTTATGATATGGATGATGGGTCTGTTGTCCGATATATTGCTGGGACAAAGGACATCAGTGCTGCTACGCCTGCCCGCATCGTTGCGCAAATTTCCTGCGAGTCATTCATGGACTATGAGCTAGTATCGGACTTCTTCCTTACCTTCCGTTCATACTTATCCACAACACACCTTTTGGCTCTTCTTCTTGCACGATTAAAGTGGGCAATCAACCGGCTACAAGATGATGGACGCATCATCAGGATCCGCACATTTGCGGCTTTGCGACATTGGATTCTCAATTACTTCGCTGATGACTTTGTTACGAATTACGAGCTTCGAACCCACTTCTGCGAGACCATCAATAAACTATATTCAGAGGTCAGGTCTCGACAAAATGGCGGCACGAGTGATCGAAAGATTCTCATTGACTTGAAACGTTGCTGGAATGGCAAGTGTTCAGTTTATTGGTCTTCTCCCGACTTGTCTCGCGCCTATAACGACCCAGAAATCTCAATTGTACCTGGAGATGTTCATATTGAGTTACCTAAAGCTGAAGAACTGCACCAACCCGTCCCTAGTTATGGCATGATGCCCCGTGCAGACACCACCTTTCGTGAAAGTCTCCCTTTCCCCGTACAGCATGATCGAAATGACTCTGCAGCAACTACACAGAGTATTCCATTCTCTGCCAAAAGCGAACAAAGCTTGATGGCGCTCTCGTGTTCATTACCACCTAAATCCCCCAGGCGCTTGTCCATGTCTGCCTCTAAAGGCAAGGCACCTCGCCCTGTGGTATTGGGCCTCACAAAGTCCAAGTCCTCGTCCAGGACGCATGAACCACCCAAGTCACCCGTATCTCCCATGGTCTCGCGGCACCCATACCACAGTCATAGCCATAAAAGAAGTGGAAGTTTTTCGGACTCGGTGCGAGACGATCGACTGCCGATGTTTGCGATGGAGCCCGAAACGGGATTCGTACCACAGGAAATATTCGATCCGGTCAGTTTAATACGTGGAGAGATGTATCCTCCTGCAGAGTCCTACATGACAATGATGGCACCGGAATCGCCGCCACTTCCTCCGCCGTTGAAGAATCCAAATCCGGATCGTCGAAGTACGCCCGATGTGCCCAAGTCGTCACCTAACTCGGGTATGAGAACAATAATTGGCTCAATCAAACGAGCATTGCACACGAGGAACGGTGGACAGAGTGTCTCTGCCCGAATTGCGACTTCCCATGAGGCCATTTCATTGCCTTCCCGCGGGAAGACATCCGCAATGCCAACTGGACTGGCCTTCGGCTCTGAGTTCTACAGGGAGAGGAAGATGGCAGCCGGTCCCAGATATCCAGGTCGGATTGATGTACTGTGTGATGAGGTCCTCAAACAATACCGCTTGATCATGAATCAGGAAGGAACGAAAGACCAAATTCAGCCGCCAGCTGCGTCTCACTTTCACCAAGCGACCACACAGGAGCCTACATCCAGAACCTCTAATCTTTTACCGACGCAAACTCCCTATTCCGACCCCAAACTAAGGAGTGGTATCACCATGGGCAGTGAATCAATCATCATTGTCGATGATACCGGTTTCGAAATGCCCTTTATGTCAGGGGCTGCACAGGAACCAATGCCAATTGCTGCTGATGATGGCACTCATGAAATGCCTGATGATGCCTCAACGCAATCGATACTCGTGGAAGGAGAATATCTTCGGCCAGTCTGCTACAATGCCAACGAACCGGAATCACCTGCGCAGTCAAACATATTCTATCCCCTTCGCCCTCTCACGCCACAGAGATCGTCCTCGGTCGAACGTGGATCAATGCCTATGAAAAATAAGACAAATTCTCTATCTCTTCGACTCAGAAAGTACGCGTCCTTCCAAAGCGGGATCTCGAGGCAGCGGTTTTCGATGAGCAGCGAGACGGCTCAATCCACCATCGACTCTAATGGGACACAAGATCAGAGCAACAAACAGTCCGGGCCGGTTCTTCGCCGGCGCCGAGGTGGAAACCTGCGTCAAATGCAGAGTGGAGATGAGACCGAGCCTCCTTCCTATCGTGACTCGTTTGCGTCTTGGGATGACTCGATTGTGGACGAAACGACCTCTGATGGCGATGTCTTGAGACCTCCTTCGACGTTGATCCCTCCGAATCCCCGGTATTCACTTATTCAGTCGCGCACTTCCCAGCAAATTAGGCGTTCCTTTGAGTCGGTCATTGCAAAGTTCGCACAGATTCCTGATGACGACGACGGTGGTATTGAGTCCACGCTGTTGAAGCTGGAGGGAAAGTGGGATGGACCACTCAGCGCCAATCGAGATTCTTCGTCTGCACAAGCGGAGGGATCTCACTCTCACGCAGAGCAGCCTTGGGTTCCGCATGGTCTCGAATCAGCAAGGCCTGGGTGGGATGTTCTCTCCCGCAGGCGACAGACGGACAACTCCGCGTATTCCACGGTTGGGGGTCGATTGGCGCCACCTAGGCCTTATTCTGATTCTGTTACCGAGTCTGAGGAGTCTTATAACTCTATTCCGCTTCTTGAGAGAGGACTGACCGACGAGTCCATGAAGCGGCAGCCTAAAAGCCAGCCACTCCAATATGACGCGCACGGCGCCCCGCTCACCCTTGTACCAAGCCATGACACTTCTGAGCTTGCCTCGTCACATCCTTCGATTCAAATTGTGCACGAAACCGACAGTATGCGTCGCATTCCTCGTGGCGCAACCATCCCGGCCTCGACTACTCATGACGCTGGTCAGGTTACCCCGAAGCGCTTCTCAGCTCTGTCTTCTGAGATATCGATCGACCTAATTGATCGGCATGAAGCTATGGGTGCAAGGGTTTCGACAGATACCCGTAGCCTCGGTTCATCAACTGTTGAGATCCCGTCTCATCCTCTAGCGCAACCACCCTCCCCGCCGATGACCATCCAAAATCCGGGATCTTTTACTTCCTATCCTTCGCCATTGAATACAGTCTTATTCCAGGCCCAACCCCTCACGCCCGATACATCCCCGCAACGCAAAGAAGTTGGCATTTCTGCTTCGCGTCCTCTAAACATACAGCAGGTTTCGAGTGACGTGTTGTTCAATTCAGAAAACAATCGTCCCGACCAGAACCCCATCATCAATCTTTTACCCGACCACGTCCCGTTCATCCTAGCATGTGAATCCCAGGTCCTCGCACACCAACTGACATTAATTGAAATGGCCGCCCTGAGCGAAGTCGACTGGCGAGATCTGGTCGAGATGAAATGGAGCAGTGCATGCCCATTAATCACGAACTGGGTCCAGTTCTTGACATATGAGGAACGCAAGGGTATTGATTTGGTCGTTGGTCGCTTCAATCTCATGGTCAAATGGATCCAGTCTGAGATTGTCTTGACTCGTGACATCAACGAGCGGGCCCGTACAATTATCAAGTACATCCATACAGCTGCACATGCACGTCGCATCTGCAATTACGCCACGATGCTCCAGATCGCCATTGCTTTGTCTTCATCTGATTGCTCCCGGCTACAGAGTACGTGGCAATTAATTTCGATTGAGGACAAGCGGCTGTTCAAGGATATGGAGTGCTTGATCCAGCCGGTGCGCAACTTCAATGATTTACGCGTCGAGATGGAGACAGCCAACTTGCAAGAAGGCTGTATTCCCTTCATCGGTGAGTTTCGAAATCCTTTGCTCGAATTAGCTAGATCTTGTGTGCTGATTTCTTTTTCTTCTTTTCAGGCCTATACGTCCATGACCTCACTTATAATGCGCAGAAGCCTGCGCAAGTTAACAGCACTAATGGCGGTCTACTTGTCAACTTCGAGCGCTACCGCACCGCAGCACGAATCGTCAAGAGCCTTCTCCGTCTCATTGACGCTAGTACAAAATACAAGTTTGAGCCTGTGCAGGGCATCATCGAACGGTGCCTGTGGATTGCTTCTCTTCCCGAAGACGAAATCCAATCGCGCAGCAAAGCACTCGAATAATCTCTCGTTTCCCCTCTCTTTCCTTGGTCCTTTTGGTTGCATATCTATATCCATTTTTGTACTACAATCTTGATATCCGTGATTGGATACTTTATACCCCCTTTCTAGAGGCTACTTTTGTCCCTCTGCCATTTTGTACCGATACTTGCATCTGGTTAATACCTTTCTTTTTGGACTTTCTTTTGTGTCTTGTTCATGCCGAACCGGGCTGTTACTTTCAATGGAGACGTCTGTTTAATATGGCTTGGATCTGCCAGTCCACAATGACAGCAATCCTTGTCCATACCTTCCCATTCCAGCCATGCTCGCATTGAATCTTACGGTGTTCAGCATTCCGAGAATGCCCAGGCGCCGCTGCCATTTTCTCTCTACCTAGCATCCCCATTGATCTTCTTTTTATCTGCCAGTCCAGAGTGATACCACCCATCATGCACACCTTGATCACCCCGACCGGAGCATCGAGGATCTCATCTTGTCAGCGTGTGAACATACTGGGAATGGCGGTGATAACTTCATGGTGGGGGAAGCCACGGCCATTCCCAATCTGTTAGAGTCTTACGCGGTTCGCGGTTCGCTCTCTAGCGTCGCCATAGTTTTTTTATGCTTGCCAGCCCAGAGTGATATCGCTTATCATATATACCTTGATCATCCCAGCTGGGGCATCTCACCTTGTTGGCGTACAAACATCTCGGGAATAGCAACAGTGCGTTTACGGGTCAGGGCGCTATCATTCCCAACCTGTCAGAGTCGTCTAGTGGCTCGTGGCTCGCTCTTTAGAACCACTATCATTTTTTTTATATCTATTTTGTTGTTTGTTCTCTCATGATCACAGGCCTATACTTCGTGAGGATTTGGGTGTTCATTTTTGCATCAAAGCGTGTGTTTGATATATCATATGCCTCTTTATGGATATTAATATATTTGAAGTGTTTGCAGATGAATCTTGTGTTCATCATTTGTTATTAAACCTTCCAAATCTGTGCCTTCTTTTCGTACTATGAAACTTACCTAGTCCCCGAGATTCATGTCCTGTTTATTAGGCCCTTGCCCTTAAATTACCCCATCGTTCAAGATAGAACATCAGTAATACCCTCTACTATCATATAATATTCTATATAGGGGAAGTAGGATTCGAAACGTAACATTTTTGCATTGAGTGGAGGTTTTCTAACTAGTCTCACTTACGTATGTATACTCTGTGCATTCCATATGTATGTGTTAGTAGAAGAAATAAAACCACAACCAGATAAAAAAAACGAAAACAACACACTAAGTTATCTGGCTTTTATACTGGTTTCATATCCCCCAATATCACCCCAACCTTCAATACCACGAAGCAATTACAAAACTGCGTCATATCCCGACGGGGCCGTGTTGCGGGAGCTGGTCCAGGAACGGAACACCAAATCCACCCCATCACCACCACCTCCTTCCAACAACCAATTTCCAAGTGTGGAGGGTGCGCTCCTTAGAGTACATACCCCCAGAGAGGGTTCTTCGATCTCCCTCCAAATTAAAAACTCTTTGATGTCCCGCCATAACTCCACCGGACAGCCAGCCCGCCACGATGGACATGACCGAACCGCGGCGCGGGGCTTCAGAGGACTCCATCGACTCCAATGACTACAGCGACCGCAGCCCCGTGTCTTTCCACGAAGCTAAACAGGAACTCCCAGATGACTTGCCTAAATCACTGGATGATCGTCGCTCCGTCCCGGTCTTTCAGCCGGAGACTGAGATGTACGATGCTTGGCAAGGTGAGTGCTCTCATGCCCGCGGAACTATTTCCCCGTTTCCCCGACGCGGGAGATCAAACTATATTCCCGTGAACAGTTACATGTTGGAAAACATTACCGGATGTTTTGGGGTTTCAAGCATTAGGGTCTAATCGTTGAATCTACCATAGGTCAATCACAATACCTGACCGCGCCAGTCGCTGCAAAACCCTTATCCTTCAGCCTAGCGCTCGACGATCACTCGCACGACAATGAGCACGAACTGCGGGCTCACTATGGGCGCGACATCGAAGATAGCGACGCCCGGCTGATGGAAATGCTTGCTGCCCAAGCTGCCCATCGGGAGGTGGATTCGCTTACTGCGGACGAAGAGACAATTGCCGCCGACGAGAAATTAACCGATGATGAGAAGCGCGATATACTCCAGAAGAGCTTGAACATGGCTGCCAGTAACGGCGATGTGGATCGCGTGCGGAAACTAGTACAGGGCCAGGCGAGGACTTACGTCGATGTCAATAAGCCCGATGAGGAGGGGACTGTACCCTTGATCTACGCTAGTTGTTTTGTGGGTTGCTCCTATACGCAAACTATTGGTGCGAGACTGACGGGTTATAACAGGGTCATCAAGAAGTCGTTGCTGCGCTCATTGAGGCCGGTGCCATTGTCGACAGGCAGGATCGTAACCAGTGGAGCGCTTTGATGTGGGCCATGACCAACAGACACAAGACGATAGCGAAGATTCTTCTCGATAACGGGGCATCACCGGATATCAAGTCATCATCCGGTGGCAGGGCTTTTGATTTCGCCCAACCCGGTAGTGAAATTTCTGAATATTTGCATGAAAATGGTTACAACTTTGGCTCTGGTAACATCGATGATGACTTCTATGATGCTGGATTGGCGCATGGTCGTTTCGAAGAAGAGCTAGCAGAGAACGAGATGAAGCGGCGAATGATGATGGAGGAGAGCGCAATCAACCTGGAGGTCGATTTGTCCAGTCTAGGGCTCGACGAGAAATTCGAGGTCAGTTTATGTCGTGAAAATAAGGTTTCAACCTAAACTAATCTGAGTTCTTTCATCCTATAGCCGTCCGATGATGATGAGCTCGAGGAAGATCAGCAGGAATTTGTCTGGGACAAGTGTCTGAATGATCAGATGTTTGTCTTCCAGGAACATGAGCTAGAGCGCATTTTGGACATGATCATCACCAACATGACTCCCCAGCGGTCTCCTTCCCAAAAGCCGGTGCCTGCAAATCTTCTGTTCCTCAGTGCCCGTTATGCGCACTATCATGCCAGCCCTGAGCTGCTCACAACTCTGCTCTCGTCTGCAATGGAGAAGATCAATGACGTTGTAGAACGTTATCAATGGGATATGACAATGCAAGCCTTTTGGCTGTCAAATGCCACGCTTCTGCTCCATTACCTGAAGAAGGATGGCGGCTTAGTGGAATCTACCGTCGAGTTCCAGCTCCATCTAGCAGAGCTGATCAACGAGATATTCGTTCTCATTATTCGTGACGCCGAGCGTCGAATGAACAAAGTCCTGGATGCGGCAATGCTGGACCATGAAACCATCCCTGGACTGGAAGATATCGCTTTTCAAAACGAGTGGAACCTGTTCCGCAAAAATAAGAGCAAAACCCCCGAGCCTGATGAGAAGCGATTCCGGCCTCCATCACCGCGGCGACGAGCACAAATCTCGCCTCGAAACATTACGTCTTTACTATCATCGACCCTTTTTGTACTTGATCTCTACGATGTTCACTCAGTTATCACGACCCAGATCCTCTCTCAACTTCTCTACTGGCTCAGTGCCGAGATCTTTAACCGAATCATGAGCACGAAACGTTACTTGGCACGCACGAAGGCGATGCAGATCCGAATGAACGTTTCATCGTTGGAGGATTGGGCGCGCACGAACAACCGTGTGCCAGAACATTACGAAAATGGATCTACAAGCAGTACCGGAGAGTCTACAATGGAGGCTGCTCGTCGACATTTGGCTGCGGTCATTCAACTCCTTCAATGGCTGCAATGCTTCTCCTCGCTCGGCGATGACCATGAATCTCTCGTAACAACCCTGCTCCAACTCCAACAACTCACCCCCGCCCAGCTCCTGCATGCAGTCAAGTCATACCGCCCGGAAGTAGGCGAGAAAGGTCTGACCAAGCAAGCCATGAAGTTCCTTCTCGACATGCAAAATGACCCTGAAGTTCTATTCCGCGAGCAGCAGAAAATTCAAGACGAGAAGGCAAATGCAGCAGTTGGAGCAGGGCTTCGAGCAGCAGCAGATGCCCGTCCAAAGACACCACCGAAAGACCAGCCCTCCGCAGCACCCACATCTCCAGACGCTCTATCCCCAAGCTCCGCTGCTGTATCATCCCGACCTACAAGCATAGTCGCTGCCAAGAACGAGGAGCGCCCAGGTAGCGGCAATAGTGTCTTCCTCGATCCCACCCTCTTCCTTCCCTTTTCCCTTCCAACTAGTACAGACATGCTGGTCAGCTACGGCGCTGGCTTTGGTGGCACGAACCGCGAACGAGCCCGCAAGTACATTCCCACAGTCCCACCCGAGGTCCTGAGTCGATTCGATCGTGGCGACGTATAAACAAAACAAGCATGATCACTACTTTTTTTCACTTATCCTCCAGTTTGGATTCTTAATGGTGCGAACTATGCGGGCTTGAGGCGGTGAGATAAAGATGGCAAATAAAGCGATAGGATACCCTTTGCACCCTGTTTTTTTTGGTTTTTGTTTGGAGAATATGCTAGTTGTGGCTTCTGTGTGGGCATCTGCCGATGTGCCGAGTATATATTTTAAATGAATCTCTTCCCCGCATAGCATTATATCCGGCCACTGTAGACTGATATTGGTAGCCGGTATGGATTGCTCTCCGTTCGACCAGTAGCTCAAGCCCTGGGCTGAACATGGATTTTTACAGCCAAGTATGGGGTTTAATGCAGTGATTGCGGATGGAATGTTGAAGTTATTGCACGAACATGTCTGGGATTTCCAGCCGAATTAGGATTCTGTAAGTGATTTGGAATAAACCGTAACAGAGTACGATAGGTACATATGAACCTAGAAGTATAGTAAAAAAGCTCATACACATTCAAGATCTCTAAACGAAAAGTTCTGCTGACTGGAAGGAAGAGTACGAAATGTCGAATAGGCAAAACTCAGAGAGCTCAGGCTATTCAGATCGCTCATAGCAATGGTATTTCTACTAATCAGGTGTTTCAGATCTGCATATGCAACTGAAATGTACATCTATGTACCCAACCTGATACTGAGACATTTCAATAGGGTAACCGCTTGACCTTGACCCAAGAGTACATATGTACATATGTAGTTTCCTATTTGGGCGGTTTCGTCTCTCTCCCGCCGGACGTACCTGCCTACATAGCACCCTTATGTAGGTATTCCAATCTTGGAAGGTTCTCATCACCTTCATGTAATCCAACTCGCGTGCCTTCCTATCATCCCTTGTATTGATGCAATTTAAAGTCTACTGTCAACATGACCGTCACCTCAAAACCCTCCACAAACCGGACTAAGGACCACTCTCTCCCTCAACTACTGCCTTCGCCTTCTGTAGAGAAATTTCCGGCAATCTCCAATCCAACGATGAGTTTATCCAGAGACCTGGCTCCGCCTTCCGGGCTCAATCGCCTACCACCTCCACTAACAATGTCGACTCCCATACCTCCGCTACCAGCTGGATGGGAAGGCACAGAGCACATGATTACTTGGCTGAAGGCCAAAATGGAAGAAGACCGGCGCAGGCTGCAAGAAGGAAAAACACAGGAGGCTAATTTGATACTGGAACGGCGGCGCATCGAGCAGTCAATGTTGTCGGATGCTTTGAATGGTGGTGTCTCACCGAACTTGATCCCAACCATCTTCAGCCACTTTTATACCACCAGTCTCAATCCTCAACTGGCTGCTGAACCAAAGGAACAGTCTGCAACGGCTTCCAGATCTGCTGCGCCTCCTGTGATCCCCCAACAACAAAGTAATCAGGGCCCTGCGCCGCCTGAAAAGCTCCCAGTTACACCACAACGGCCTCGGCGGGATCTTAAACAACCTTCTCGAGCACAAGCCAGTGGAGTGCTACCGATGACCACAAAGTCTCTGCCGGGAACACCCCACTCGCAGTGGGATGAAGAAATATCTAGTGAACATCGAGAGCAACTGATAGACTCTCAACGAGAGGAGCTGAAGCGCATGCTAAAATCCCAGAACAAAGAGTGCGCTGACATGAAGTTGTTGGATACAGCCTTTGATCACACCTTTCCTATTATGAGCTCTATGCTCCCGGCCCAGTCCCCTCGGAATCACGCTGGTCCTCCCAATAAGGCTTCTGGAACACGGAGAAAACGGCAGCAAGCCCCTCAGGAAGCTCAACCCAGGTCTACACAAGAATCAGGGCCACAATCCCAGGCACAACAAGGTCAAACAAAAATGCCGCCGAGCAATCCTATCAGTGTTTCCAATGGCCTATCTCATTTTCGCCCGGAGCAAACAAACTCCCCTAGGGCAAAGCGAAAGGACCAGAGATCGCACGAGAAACTCCCTCCACCTCGATTTCGCCGAAATGAGACAGTTTCCGATCAACCAGACGCATTCGATGAATCGCAGCTTGATCAGAAGCAACAGCAGCGCGATGTATCCAGCTTCCATGAGTACCGTACTTGTAAGGGTAGTTCGTCCGAGCAAACATCGGACTCAACCTCGGATACAGTAGGAAGATCCAGTGCAACTTCAGCTGAAGAGCTTCAGAAACAATCTGCTCATCGCCAGAGCTCATCAGATACTGTCGATGCATCACATTCCCTGCAAGACATGGTTACAGTCATCAAATTAGAGCGAGACTGAACAGTGTGCCGCTCAGTTTTCTCCTTGTTTTTTTGTTTATCTCTATTCGATTATTCTTTCGGACATCGAGCGTTGCTCTGCTTTCAATGTCCTTTATGTGTGCGTGCGGAATTGGGTCCATTGGGTCAAATAGGTGTTTATGGCGTCTGAAGGTGACGTCTGAGCTTGTTGAATGTTCTGATCTTACCATGGAGGACTTTTGTCAATAGTAAAAATACCAAATATCGTTATTGTTACTTCAATATTGAAGATTGCTCCGTCTGTATTAGTTACCCTCGTTTGTTTTTGATGACCGCTAAATCCTACAAGCCAGTATTCACTGGCACCTGCTGAAACTATTGATATATCAGGCTTCAATGGATTGAACTAGGACTTTACCGCCGGTAATAGTTGTGATTGCGGCAAGAAGATTGCCCAGCAGGGACACAGGTCGACGACCGTATGCATTGGCAAAAGGAATCACAATCAAGGGCCCAATACCCGCAGAAACAAGCCAGGCTGTTAGCTCTATTGTTATCGGAATTGGCATTTACATGTTTGCTTCATGAGAACAATTATAATTAAAAGGGATGTGGCCAATCGGAGGAGGTCCTCTCCCCATGTAGTTAAGCTTCTTTTGTAGTTTTTTTAGGTATATATATTCATCCTACTCCGTAGTAGGAGGCTGTATAACATAACAAAAAGCATTCAGAAGCAAGAAAAGCCCCTAGAATTTCCCCTATCAGATCTTTCTATAATATAAAAATAGATATAAAGTTGTCTGAAACTCTTGGCGTGTTCAATCCCTAGGTATGACATCGAAGTACGTCATCGCTAAATGATGCCAAATCTAGAAACCTGATTTCTTAACTTGCAAGTATATAGGAAGTCAATTCCACTGGTAACCCACACCAAATCTCCTCCCAACCTCCTCCCATATTCAAGAACTGAACACAAAACACAAAACACAAACCCCAGACCTACAAAATGACGACCTTTATGCGCCTGAAGACCCCATTCCAGGCTCGATCCCCAATTACAGCTCTCTCCACAGCACGTATCCAAAAACCTCACATCTCGTTTTACCGAGGCTACGCGAGCAAATCCTCAAATGACCCTGAGCAAGCTACAACCTCGACCACAACCCGCCAGGAAAACTCGCCCAACCGCCCCATCCCCTCCAACAAGGCAAGGCCAACCCTCCACGAGGGAGAGAAGTCGCCTCTTATAGACAAAGAGGGAAACTTGAAAAAGGATCTTCCTGAGGATGTGAAGAAGCACAATCGGGAGATGGAAGAGCGATATGATAAGCCGTATAACTATGCTAATGACGAGGGCACGGTTGAACCTGCTTTCAAGAACTAGCGTGGTTCCTTGCTTGGTATCCTGCTGTACTGGTGATATATCTGCCATGATGTGTTAGGTTATGAGATGGTGCTGGTTCATCATTCTTCTTTTGGGCTTCTAGGTCCAGGTGCCTGCTTTTGGGGGGGGGGGGCTGTGGATGAATGGCTTTTTCTTATACGGGCTTTGTATTTTTATGCTCTCTGGGAGGTTTTTTTATCGTTCTACATATAAATAACTATATGTACCCAACCAAGAATAGTTGGCTGCTTATGCGGTCCTGTCAAGTCTTTGGTAGTCCTTTTGGTAGTCTTCTCGGATTTCTTTTTGAGATGTCTTTTCTTGGATACTGTTTCCCCCTTCTCAATTTTATAGATAGGAACCTTGGAAGAGGACAATATCATCAGATGACCTTTATATTGTATAGCATCTGATGGAGAAGTGAATTCCTTGAAGAATTCAAGAACCCGAGTTGTTTTTAGTAGCAGAATAAATCTTTCCAGGACTTACTATACCTACTAGTGAAGAGTATTAGGCTACATCTATGTTCATCAAATGCATAGTGAGATGATTGATTCTTGCTCAATCTAGCTATCCATGATGATGTACAAAACAAAGCAGTCCAGGCTTGACCCAAACCAATATTCAGCAAAGATAAAATCCTAAGCACATTGCAGTAAGGTAATATGATGACGTTGCAAAAACAGCCATGTGTCCCGATAAAGGAGATGTTAATGTTGATGTTTTTCGTTTTTTGGTTTTGGTTTTTTTCTTTTTTTCAATAGATTTTCTTCAGACAGGCAGCGTGGCCATGTCGCCCTTTGGTGAAAATCAATGTGTCCGAAAAAGCAAATGTTGCATTGCAATGTACTGTTCAGCTCACAGGCAACTTGCCCATATCACCCTTGCCGCCCTTGATCCATTCAGGGTCAACCAGGCGCTCACGCTCCGCGTACAATTGCTTGTAAGCGCCACGAATGGTTCCATCGCTGACGTGCGCGACTTGGGATATTTCCTTGGCAGACTTTCCGTGGCCCATAAGGAACGAGGCCATGTAGATGCAAGCTGCAACAATAGACAGGGGAGAACGTCCGGCTAAATCGCCCATGGCAGTAACGCGATCCGAAAGGGAGACAGAAACACTGGTGACCTGGTAAGGAAGGTCGAGAAGGTTGCAGAAACGATTGCAAAGATCGCTTGGCTTGGTCGAAGTAGTCGCGTTGTAATCGCCGGCAGAGTCGTGCGTTTCGCCATTTTCCAAAGCAGCATTGTGGCGCTCGACGTTCTGGGTGGTGAAAAACTTCTCCAAAGCCTTGTAGATGCGACCGATTTCCTTTCGGGTAACCTTGGTCACTGCGAAGATTTCAGTGAAGGTACGAGGGACCTTGCACTGACGGCATGCGATGAAGATGCATCCGGCAATAATGACTTCTTGCGACTTGCCCTTGAAAGCCTTGGCGTCGTCGACCATCTTGAAGAGATACTTGGCAGTATCAGCGACAGTCTTCTGGATGTTGAAACCGTCGCACAAAGCACCAATTTCTTTATAGGCTGCCAGGAGGGCCTTGTTCGCTTTTTCGCCCGACTGCTTGTTTTGCGCGCGATAGAGGTCGCGGGCACGGCCAGAGCCTCCACTTGCGATGGAAGTCTCTAGTTGAGCACCGTTGAGCAGAGGGTTCGAGGCGTCTCCGACACGGGAAGGATCGTCATTATTCTGGTCATCGTTGGAGAAGGTACGCCATTCAGAGTGCAAGTCGATCTCACGGTCTGCGAGCACAAGTCCACAGGAGCCGCAAACTGTCTCGTGGGAATCGGGGAATTCCAGGTTCGGAGGATCCTCTTTGCATTCGGGGCAAACGAGATGAGCGGATAGGTTTTTCTTCCAAGGAGCCGCAACCTCGGGTTTCGCAAGAGCGGGTGTAGCCATAGTAGCCATATTTTGAGTTTTCAAGTAACTTGCGTATCGATCGTGGCAACGTCTTGCAACGGCTTTTGGCGCTATACGGGGTAGATTGTATTTCCGATTATAATAGTGAAGGAGAAGTGGCGAATACAGCTTGGCGGCTGTAGTGAGAAAAACGAAAGCGGGCCACTTGCAGAGGATCCCTCAGCAAGGGAAAAGGTTGAAAATTAGAAAAGCGAGTCGCTCAAGGCCACTGTTTTGCGCAGTCATGTTAGCTTAGTCCAAAGCAAATTCATTGTCTCCCATATCACAAAGTCGTCTGGTCCTTGACCCAATGTCATGCCAAGATATACTGGAACAAAAAAAAGTCTTCGTTACCTTTCACAGGCTAGAGCCCTCGGGATTCGAAGGAGTCACCCCAGTCGTAGAAAACCTTTCACCAGTCTGCGCTTTCTTGAATCGAAAGTGGAACAGAAATCTCGCCTCAGCTTGTCCAGCCGTGTTGAACCAGTCAAGGTCTCCGCAAGAAGTCTCTCACGAAAATGGGGACAGGCTGAGGAAAAGAGAAAGAAGAAGCCAGGGACTGGGGGAGGGGGAGAGTGAGGGAGGGAGACGATGGGGTGAGGTGAGGCTTCAATGGGCGACCGGGGGGCATCCGAGAAAGGCGCAGTCCAGATTAGGCTTAGTAAGCAAAGCAATAATCACGTGATATAATAGTCGTGTTTTGATTGGCCAAAGAAGTATATGAAGCTTTTTCATTCCAAACAAACATTCTTTGTTCTCGTTTACTACTACAGATGAACCAGACCAGATAAAACAGAGATTTGGATTCGCAATTTGCCAAGAAGCGAAAGCAAATTCTAATATCAAGAGATTCGGATATTTCCTATACGGATGGTCTCGGGAACTTGGGTATGATGTAGATACTAGTCGGTTTAGGGAATTGTGTTCTCTCTTCTTATCAAAAACACACCGCACATACTTGCTTGTTGTAATTTAACCAACTCTCACTTCTCATTTATAAATTGAACTACTGTCAACTATCTTTTTCTCATACTGAAATGCAGGTTGAGTGTTGAAGCCCTGGAAAGAATCGGGAACAACATGGCCCGGCTGAGTCATCTGCCAAGAAACCTTTCCGAACAGAAGTCGTTTGAACCTCCAACTTCACGGAAAGACGGATCAGATCTATTCTGTTGAGCACCACCCCTCATTCCTCATCTACACCCTTAATCAAGATGATGTCTCAATCTCTCCGGGCCTCGGTGAGTATTGATTGATCTACAGCTGTCTATTTCGACCTTCAACTAACGCGAAAAGCAGCGCACCCTCTTCTCCCGTGCCTCTCGGGCACAGGTCTCGGTCGCTCGCCGCACTTTCCTGACCTCCGCCGTCCGCCAGGGTACGTATCCTACCTGGGGACTATCTTCAATATAACACAGATGTCCCTGTTATATCTATCGGTCGCATCATCGCTAACCCACAACCCGCCGCAGCCGACCCCGTCCAGGACCTGTACCTCCGCGAGCTCAAGGCCTACAAGCCCACTCCCATCAAGGCCGGTGACGCCGAAGAGCACGTCCACAAGTTCAGTGCCCCCAAGCCCCCCCAGTCCCCCGAGGAGGCCAACCTCGCCAGCGAATTGTCTGCCTACGAGAGCCAGGAGGTTGAGGTTGAGGGCCAGGCCGCCGCTGGCGAGGCCGCCCCTGTTGAGGAAAGCTGGTTCGAGGAGGAAGAGGAAGCCCCCGCTGCCCACTAAATTCCCCTTTCTTTTTCATTTAGCAAGGTCTGGGGAGATATGGGGGGAAGGCTGGCTTTAAATGCCGGTGACGCAACTAATGTGGCCGCCTCTTGAGGTCCTGAAGCTTGTAAATTAGACCACATTTTTGAACTTTGAGACTTCTTTCTTCCTTGGGTGTCGCCTTTTCTGTCTTTGTCCAAGGCAGGACTCAATAGTAAATGTTTTCAATCTGGACGGACTCCGCGGGGTGGCTGATACCAAAGACTATATTTGGTGAGTACAACAGACACACTCCAGACTAAGGTCATCCGTGATATCTTCAGGTTTGGTGTTGAACGCAAAGAGCGGGGTTTGTAGTATTCGAATGTAGTATTTCAAGAGCAATGGTATACAACATAAAAGGATATCTAGACCTGCATGATTGGCCACGTGATGGAGTACACAGGCAGCATAGGAGAGTGAGTCTTTATGGTCAGCCATGATGACAAGAGCTGTGGGCAATCAATGACTGGCACATTGAGACTAATCCACGATGTTGTGGACCCTTGCCTGTTGTGCATAGGCAAGATAGACCAAACAAATAGCTCGGTTGGAACATGATATCGCACTGCTGGTTTACAAAATGAGCTCTGCATGGAACTTGGGCAAGCTTATTGTCACGCTCATGCAATAGGTCATCTATTACGGAGTACTCCGTACCTGGTCAGTCCTCGGAAGTATATTCGGTGTATGGTGTACGGAGTACTCCATACTCCGTACTCCGCATGAATTTATGAATTTCCATATATGGAAACTATTGGTACTAATTATTGACTGACGAACAGACCAGAAGCTCATAAAGTATTGCAATTGATCCGATGTATCAGATTCCCCATTTCCCTGGATTGAGCACCTATCAGATGCACCAATCGTTTTCTCCATAGAATTTGATATCAACACCCCTGGAGAGATCAACCGGGATAGCTGGCATAGCTAAAGCCAAAGTCAAACTTTAACCAAATAAAATCCGAGAGCGGAAAAAAAGACGATTCGAATACTATTGCACCACGATTGCATACTCACTTCAGCCTAAGTCACTGTTGTTCAACTTGGGTCCTGAATTTTCCGAGCAGGGGGCGCAATGAAGACATTGGTCGGCGAGGAATTATGCAATGTAATTCATTTGTCAACAGTGCACTCGTTTCTGGAAACCCTTCGATACATCCAGAAAAAAAATTAAGGTATGGCACCTGGGAATAATATGTTGATTTATAAGGCTAGTTATGTCTCTAAGGATTTTAAGTGATTTTAAGCGCCCTGCAGGGCAGATTACAGTGGAAATAGCCCCATCCGCTTCATGGATAAATTCAGAAACTGAGTTGACCCTGATCTGGATGT